AGTATGCTTACTCTTCATGTCCATTGGCAATAGCAGTGATAAGCAAGCGCTTGCGCAGCAAACTCTTGTTGTAGTCCTCGCCCTTAGCGGCCTCCCAGCCGACTTGCTTCAATGCCTTGTCGATCAGCTCGAGCGTAAACTTCTCCAACCCGGCCTTGATCTGCTCGTCGTCGCCAAAGATGGACTTGAGGGTTGCAATCGAGTCAAGGGCCTGACTGAGTACACGGTAGTGGGTCTCACTCTTCAGCCCCTGGATGAACGACAGCAACGACGCGGTGGTGGCATAGCCGGAGAAGGCGAGATCGGCAGCAGACCCGGTGATGAAGATCTTGTCCTCGGTGGTAAGATAGTCCAGCTGGGTACCGAGGAGCTTGAAGCGTGACTCAGGATAGTTAACCCGGTAGAAGCCAGTAGCGTTGGCGTTGAGCTGGTAAAACTCCTCACTGACACCGTCGATCGTCGACTCCTTGGTCGTGAGCGTGAGGGGTTCGACGCCTTGCAAACCGATCTTGCCCTTGACGCCTAGGGGCACCCACCAGGTGGTCTGGTCGTCCTCAGGTTTGACATCGCCGGTGGAGAGGAAACGGGACTGTTTGACGGAAATCTGTTGCTTGCCTTCAGACACAGTCAGCACCGGGAAGCCCACTTTCTCGATCCAGGGCTTCATCAGAGTGTTGACGTCGACGCCCGAAGCCTCGCTGAGAGCGTCCCACAGGGCCTGCGTCTTGGCATTTCCATAGGCATGCTTCTTGAGATAGATAGCAATGCCTTTGAGGAAGGTCTTGTTGCCAAGGTTGGCCGCCAGCATGCGGATCATGGAGCAGCCTTTGAGGTAGCTGATCTTATCGAAGATCTGGTTGACGTCAAGAGCATCACGGACTTCAACCTGGATAGGGTGCGAAGACCGGACGCTATCGAGGGAGAACGCCTCGTCCATGCCCTCGTTGATGAATTGCGGCCACACTTCCCAGTCGGGGTGGAGATGATCCGTCACCAACCAACCGGCCCAGGTAGCGAACCCCTCGTTGAGCCACAGCTCGTCCCACCAGTCCATGGTGACAAGATTCCCGAACCACTGGTGGGCAAGTTCATGCGCTACGACGTAAGCGACCCTGTTACGGAATCGCGCCTCGGACAGCTTCTCGTCAAACAAGATAGCCGTCATCCGGTAGGTCACAAGACCCCAGTTCTCCATGGCGCCATGGGTAAACTCATGGACGGCGAGAATGTCGCTCTTGGGCAGAGGGTAGTCGATCTCAAACTGCTCCGAGAAGTAGTCAATGATCTTGGGCGCATGTTCCAGCGCCCATTGACCCTGCTCCTTCAACCCACGGGTTGTGTAGACCCGAACGGGAAGCTTCTTCCCGTTGTACTCGCGGCCTGTAAAGGCCTCGACATACTCAAAATCGCCCACGGCCCACGCCAGGAGGTATGTGCTCATGACTGGGCTCCGCTCGAACGAGACAAGCTTCTTCCCCCCACCCAAAGACTTTGTCTCCTTCTGGGGCATGTTGGAGAGAGCGACCTGGTCGTCGGGAATTTCGATGGAAAAGTCAAAGGTCGCCTTGAGATTCGGCTCGTCAAAGCAGGGGAAAGCACGGCGGGCATCACAGGCCTCAAACTGCGTGCTCAACATATAATGGAACTCGTCGTCGCGGGGTACGCTTGCGGCAGCCGGGACGGCGGGCTTGTACTGGCTGCGGTAGAAACCGGCCATGTCGTGGTTGAGCAGGCCGATGAAGTCAATGATCAGGGACGCTTTGGCGGACACGGGGAGCTCTTGTTGGAAGGTGATGGTCGACCGTTGGGTCTTGGTGTCTTCGGCAAACGTCGTGGACTCCCATGTTTGATCGCTTTTGGCTTCGGTAACGACGACCTTGGAGTTGAGCAGCTTGAGCTCCAGCGTGTTTATCACGATCTCCTTGGTCGGCTGGACGATCTCACCATCGATACTGGGGCTGTTAGAGCGAACCAACTTCCCAATTCCTAACTCTGTGGCCTCCCAAGCTTGAGACCATCCCCAACTTACCGGACACTGCCCTTGAAGGACCAATTCTTGAAGTCCAAGTCGCTAATCACCAGGTTATAGTGGACCGCCTTGAAATAATCCGGAAGGATATCTCGGTCCGTCATATTGGCAAGCTTATGTCGGAACGAAGCGTGGGAGCAGTAGCGGCGAGACAACACAGGTAGGAGGGGGGTAGCACAAGCAGATGCGGGGCGGAGGGGCGATAGTCGTCGAGAGCTTGTCACCGATGACGTCGATGGTCGAGGAGACAGGGCCGACGAAAGCTGCCTGAAGCTGGCAATGGTAGGCCGAACAGCTACTGCAGGCCGGGAGACTCGGGAAATGTGTTGAACAAAGCAGCGAGAATTGGGAAACAGAGATGAACTTGGAGTTAAAAGCCTGGCTCGGGCAAGAATCCGTGGGGAGCTCATCAGTCAGAGAGTTTGTTTGGCGTCGGGTGTTCAGGCCGGACCCCACTCCATGTGCAGCTCAAGCTGACAGAGATGGCAGGCGGGATACAGGGGCAAATCGTTTGGAATCAGGGCGGGTAATCCAAACACAAGGGACGAGCCAAGGTCGGCTTGGGGCGTCACGGACCGACTCAAGATTCGGCGAGGGAGAAAAACCGAGCAGACCAGATGACGCCAGAAGAAACGTAACACAAAGACACAAAATTAGACGAACAATCCCAAACGGGAATGTGAGCGTGAAAAATTCATCACCACAGCTTCCCCTTCTGGGGACAAGTTGGGAAGGAGGGGTTCAACTCTCGTGGTTAGTGGAGCTCCCGCTTGTTATCCCCTGTATCGGCGGGTCCGCGTTGGGGAATAGTGGGGTTCAAGACACCTGCAGCGCCGCATCGCGAAGTTCTCCAATGGCGGAGAATTTTGTGGAAATGTCCAAGACCCGGCGCTATCCGGGCCAGGAACCAACCTCGAAGGAACCCAGATTCGGGGCATCAAAACAATGGATACAAGCGCTCAATGTACACAACAAACATTTGCAACACGTAAAAGTGCAGGTAAAGAAAATAAACAGCGAAGGATGCCATTGAACTAACCCGGGAAAACCAAAGACGCTTGAAGCCTCTCCCGCATAACAATACAACTCATGTTGAAGCCGAGACGGCAGACCAACCAACGTAGCGCAGAGCAAATCATTCCCTATGCCTGTGTGAACCCCCCAGGGAAAAAATAGAGAAAAAGCCCAAGCCCGAGGCCAGCAACCCAAGAGACCCACACCCAGATCAAAAGGAAAAAAGAAAGAAAAGCAATGCGCGGCCAAGTAAGGGCCAAACCCCTCCATGAAAATGTCCTGTTCGATGCCTCTCATCGATCTCGTTGCAATGTCCCAATGTCCCATACCAATGCCCAAGAAAGATATGCATGCCATAGTTCCATACGATCCCATTTCGTGTTTCCTCCTACCGGCATATCATGTCCCATTCCTGTATCCCGCTAGTGTTGCTCAAACCCTCGGAAACAAAAACAAACAAAACAACCGAAAAAAAACAACCCTCATCACTCATTCATTCACTCCTTCGGCAACCTGATCCCACCACGCCCCATGGGCATCCCGATCGACTACTGATACTCGGCCCATCATATCCACCATATCCCGCACCTTGTCGACAAACTCGGCGAGCCCAAGTCCGGCGAGTTTCTCGCCCGCTGTGCTGGTAGCCTTCACCTTCTCGCTTGCCGACGCCGCGGCCAGCCGGGCCAATACATGTCCGCGTAGCCGGCCAAGGAGCAGACGAAGAACAGGTTCCCTGGGTTCGCCTGTGGCGGCTGTTGCAGCTGCTTCTTCCGTTCCGGCGACGGCTGACTCGGCACTAGCAGAGAGGAACTTATGCACGAGACCACGCAGGTGCCGTTTAGTGGCAGCCGGCATGGAGCGGCCGGCTTCGAGAGCGGCCACGATTCCTTCGGCGGCCACATCCTGCGTCATGTCTGTTGTGCGCGGGTTATCCCGTTTCTCCAGCACAGCTAGGATCCTCTGTGCTTCATTCCGCCAGGGCGCACGCACATCGCGTTTGAGGAGATTCTTGCATTGTAACAGAATCGCCCCGGCTGTGATGATGCGGCGGGTTAGTCGCCCTGCCTCGAGGATGCGCTTGTGGTCGAGCAGCAGCATCTCCGGCACAGCCTCGCGCTTGACGGGGGCGACCTGCGTGAATAGATCAACGAGCAGTTGCGCATAAATCCGGTTGGCAGTGGGGCGTGAGGCTGGGTGGTTGATACCCTCCGGATCGCGACGTGCTGTCTCGGCGAGGACCTTCGCGCGTGCGGTGCGCCAAGCTGCTGTGGCGGCGGATAGGTCGTGATGGCCGGCTTCAAGATCGTTAGAAAATGCCTTTGCCTCGTATGCTGATGCCTGTTCGACGAGCTGAGGAGCGGCGAGCTGCAGCAGGTAGTTGGCGTAGTCACTGAGCATGACGTCGATAAAACTGTTGAGCGCCTCGAGGCGGTCGACGTAGCCCCCCTGGCTCAGCTTTTCCTCCGCGAGTGTCTTGACTTCCTCATCCCTGACGGGGGCACAGAGTTTGGGAAGCAACGTGCCCATGGCGTGGAAAAACTTCTCATACGAGAAGCTGCCCATCGCGAATTGGCGCTTGGCGATGTCAGTATCCAGCAGTTCCCCAATGAATGTGTGCATCGAGTTGCCCGACTTCACCAGCCGCTGGAGCTTGTCGCGGATAAGTTCGGCTGCCTTAAGGAGAAGGAAGAAATGAGCCTCCTGGTTGTCGGTCTCCATTGTGGTGCGCATCTCCTGGAAAAGGGGAGCGAGCAGATGTTCTTGCTGCTCGTGGTACTCTTGTGGCTCGGTGCGGAACTCCTTGTTGATGGCCAGTTCGTGGACAACGATCCGGTTGTCTGGCAACAAACTCTTCGCGTTAGGGACTACAACGCTGACCTTGAAAGGCTCAGGCCGCCGTGAAGGCGTCGTCGGTGGCGTCGGAGCTTGTGTTTGCCCCTGTTCGTGGGTAGCCTCCACACCAAGAACACCCATGGCCGTCTCAGTGACGGACTGGTCAGCCACACGAGGCTTTGTATCCCCGACGGGCTTCTTCGCCCTAGTCTTGCGAGCAGCCTTAACGGCGTCAGCGACCAGCTGTTTGCCTTTTGAGGCGCCAGCTAACTTCTTGATTCGGACGAGAAGGATGAGCTGGTTATTTCGAATGCTCTCCTTGTACACCTGGTCAACGGAGCCGTCGGTGGTGTCTTTGACTGACTCCCAGATGGCGTCGAGCTCAACAAATTGCATGACCATGAGGTCGACGAGCGAGCTCGAGTCGCGGGCCTTCCACGCGATCAAGGCGTTGTAAAACGTGGCGTACACCTCGGGAAATTCGCCAAGCAGGGCTGGCGGCGGGGTGTAGTTGTTGAAAGAAGTCAATCGGCCGAGGATGTTCTCAAATAAAACCAGCAGATCTCGGGCCTTACCGACCAGTTCCTGTGACTGGGGGTTCGCAAGATTGTCCTTCGGCATCGGGTGACCCGGGCTCGGCGCTGCTTCTTCCTGGATCTCGGCCTCCTCCTTGTTGCTAAGTACCTGAGACGGATGGCCCAAGATCAAGAAGGCGCTCAAAAATGACCTAACCGCGGCCATTTCTTCTACGGACGCTGGGTCGCCCTCATTGAGCCCGCAAATACGGAGAATACGGGCCGTCAGAGCCAGCACCTTGTCCTGAGACAAAAGCATGGTGACCTCATCAAAAGATGTCTCCCGGACGGCGTCAAGGGACAGGCCCAGCGCGGAGAATTCGGCGACAGCGCGTCTCCGCTTAGTCGCTTTCCAAGACGATTGAATCCTGGACGCAGCGGCTTCCTCGGTCAGGGGTGTCGGCTCCCGCTCCTTGCCCTCTTGGACCTCTGGCATCACTTCCACCGAGGTCGGCTTGCGGTTCCCGAGACTCTGCCCACGCTCCCTGCCTTTCACTTTAGCAGCATTTCGGCTCCGCAGCTCTTCCCTCCTCTTTTCGGCTTCAGCAAGGCGCTCCTCCATCTGGAGCTTCATCTTTCGAATTTCTTGCTCCCGCTTCTCCTTCATACTTTCGGCGACGGCTTTCGCCCGGCGTACTTCCTCGGCGCATGCCGCAGTAATTTCGGCAAGGTTACGCTCTCGCGCCTGGGCTGCGGCCAACGCCCTCTCCTCGCTCACGCTCGTGTTCCGGGGCACGGCTTTGACTAGAGCCGCGCGAAGGCGTACCTTTTCCGCATGGGCGGCCCGATCTGCCAGACGCGCTTTCCGGTCTTCCAGGATCGAAGCCCGGCGAAGATGCTGGGCGATGTACTTGCTCTGCGGCCCGCCAGTAGCCCCGCGGCCATGGGAGGAGAGGGAGTGCGCCGACGAAATACTGTTACGGCGCGACGATGCAGCGCTATCTTTACGACGGGTCTGGTTCGTAGGTCGATAGAAGAGCCGTGCGGCGATACGTGGTGGGGGGGTCGATGCCTTCGGTTCTTCGACCTCGCCATCGACCAGTTCCATTTCCATCTCTTCGTCGGGCGGCGATAGCGGCCGGTCTGGAGTCACATCCGTCATGTCCGTGGAAGGTTGCCCGTTAGATTCTTCAATATTTCGGGCGGGTTCGGCCAAGTCCTGTGAGGGACGTCGCATCGTGATTCGCGATCGGCGAGTGGGTGTTGCGGGGTGGTGACGAAAACGGTCGCGCTGTGTGTATTTGTTGATTTGGGGGGGCTTTCGCTTTGTTTAAGGCGGGCGCCTCGAGGCAATGTCGCTGGTTGGCAAATCGGAGATGGCCGTCTTTCTCATAAGCCGGGCTTAGATGCAAACAATGGTCGGACCGTTCCGGCTTGCGTCGTCACGTCTCCAAGATGCAGCAAAAATCCACAATCTGCACGTAAATCTGTCATGCACAATCCCGGCAAGACCGAACAAAACATGCAACGAGCCGTGTGAGTGGGTGGCTCTGGTTTTGGTGGAAAAGAACGACTCAAGGGACGTCCTCGGGGAAATACAGGAGGAACAGAGGAGCAAAGAGAAAAGTGAAATGTAAGTATTCCGTAAGATGACGGGAGACAAAAGGAGGGTTGAAGAAGAGACGGGCAGAAACCAGCAACAGGAAGCCGGTTCTTTTCTTTTGCTGACGGAGCACGGAGCGGGAGCAGCGCAGCACGCAAGACGAGACGACGGCGATGGAACGCTGGGGAACCATGATGACGGCAGCAGGTGCAAGGGCCTGGACTGCGTTTGCTGCAATTGGAGGCAGGGCTGCAGAGCGGGCAGGTGGGCAGGTGGGGCAGATCCTGCTGCGCTGCAGGGCAGTTGCATCCACTAGCATCGTGAAACAGAGGGCAGGTGTGCACTAACAATTTGTGGTATAATTTAGGCGGTTCTTTGTTAAGACCACTCAAGCTGACGCCGAGACATTGGCCTGGAACCAAAACGAGGCGTTAGGCTGTCACGCCCTGTAATTTCGGTCTTGTGACTGACTCTTCCGTCGCCAAACAGCCTCAAGACATTCGATTCCAAGGCAACAACCTCGGCCACGCCGGGAACGAGGTCTGAGCTCTGCGACATGTTGCGCCATTGCCGAGAGCGCGCCGGCTCAAATCGTCAAATCGACTTCCGGCGAGTCCCCGACCAAGATTCCAGCTCAATACACAGTACACTACGCTTTCTCGTCACGACCTTCACCGTGTTTCACGCTGATCACATCGCCAACCCCGCGCGCGACATCCCCAGCCTCAACCCCTCCGCGCCTCCAATTCCGCCACCGAATTGTTTGCCATTGACGTCGCCGTCGGCGGTTCTCTCCCCCCACCAGATCCCCCGCTCCCACTCCCTGCCCGCGATCCCTGCAACTCGTGCACCAACCTCTCGCCCCAGGTCGAGTCCCCTGGCAACTCCGGCGACATCCACGGGGCGTCATCCGCGATCTTTTCGACCTCGCGCACCTGGATAAACAGCCCGGTACCATCCCCTCCTCCGCCCTTGCCCAGCCGCCTCAGCCTTGTTCGGATTGACGACGAAGAAGGCATGGCGGCTTCTCTGGTCTCTTGCTCGCGCCGTCGTTTGCGCCGCCACAGCAGATAGGTCACTTCCACCGCGACGAGGAGTGATACGATTAGGATGATCCCGATTATTACCGCCGCTACCTCAGCTGGTGACATCCGTTGGCCTGAAGAACCGTTTGGTGTTGTTGATGCTGGTGTTGGGCTTGTTGCCCAGGTGGGGATAACGCGGGAAGTGGCCGAAGATGGGCCGGCGGTTGAGGTTGTTGATGAGGTCGTTGTTGTGCTATGAGGTTGGGTATTCTGCTGGTTTGAGTGGAGAGGTTCGACTAGCATGAAACCAGGACTCCGTATTTCGGGGTCTGAGGCCACAAACTGGCCATCAGTTGGTGGTTTGAACCTAAAGGCGTACTGCGACTCGCTAGCCAGCTTTGTCGTTGGTGGGTTTGAAGTGACGAGCTTGAGGTTGCCGTCGTAGGTGAGGTTTACCGCCCCTTTTCGATTTATGTTAGCTACCGCGGACGCTGTCCTCGCCCCGCGGATCGCGTACTTACTTGCCAGGCGCAGTGCGACTGGGTCGGACCGGTCGATGGTCCAGCTCGTGAGCCAGAGGTCGTAAATGCTGTTGTTCAAGGCATTCCACGATATTGGGATGTCATCCCCATATGTGTAACTGTCCGCGAAGTCACCTTGGGCTCCATTAGGGGCGTTCCACAGGTACTGTACTTGGATGTCGTTATCTGAGCCATCTTCGTGAGGCTGAGGCACGGTGTCACCGCCAGCAGGTTGCTGTTGCGTATGCATATTTGAGTTTGGAATGCGGTTTAAAACCAACAAACGGCCAGTCGTGGTGCCAACCTCAAAATCGACGACGAAGGGCCTAAAAGCGGCCGGCTGCCGTTGGTTTTATTTTTTTCACCAGCCCACCCCCCACTCAATTCACCACGCATCCTCCCCTTGCACAAGCAGATCTGTCTCCAGCTCATCTGCACCATCTTCAGATGTGCTCCATGTTGGGGGCTTGTCACCGGCGGCAGATCGGGCTGCAGAAGCCACCAGGAAGCAGTGCTGGCCAATTTGGGCGAACGAGCTTGTCGCGATGGTCGTCGAAGCGCTTGCTCGAACCAACCGGCCAACAATGGGGGCCTCGGGGTTGGCGGGATTGGCGAGCTGCGCGGGCCGGGCCCCAGCACGGCGCTTCTACCGTTCCCCCGGGACCACCGATGCAACGGCCCCGCCCAATCGGCATCGCGGCAGCTCCGGAGCAGCGCATCGCTCGACGCGATTTCTCGCGACAGCTCGCAATTTTGCGACAACATGCAGAATAAGCCAGGCTCAAATAGCGTTACCCTGGAAGCCGAATCGGTCCTGATGAATGGTTGCAGCGACGCAGAGGGGCATGTCCGGCGATGCGGCCAGGTCTAACCGGATCAAAGGTGTAGTTAATCGAGGCAAACTTGGAGGCAGACTCACCACTGGGCAGCGTTGCATTTCGAAATCTCGAGCTCGGCACGGGTTCCGTAGCTTTCATTATTCAGCGATTCCATTGGGATCGAGCCCGAAAGGATACCATTGCCGTCATTGAGGGCAGTTTGCTGTTGATAACCTCCAACAATAAGTTCACTTACAACGCAGCAGTAATTACCATTCCCCGTAGCACTAACAAGCGGATTGAATGTATATATTTCTTAGTTCGTATCCAAACACAAACCTATTCCCATCGCCCATTCAAATCAGTCCTTCAGACGCCTCGCCAGTCAGCCTCATGCACCCCTGTTTCACAGCCGACCCGGCCCGGTCACGGAACGGCCTGCGGCCCCACACCATGGGCCGGGCTGGGCGTTGGGCGTTTTTGACGGGCATTGAGGGCTGGGCACGTGGAAATATGGGATAGGCGAAATTTGTGAGACTACGAGCAGGCGAAGGAAGAATACAGTAATCATTCATTGTTTGGGGCTTGAGAGAATCGAGCCAATGATTATGACAGCGGTTTTGAGGCTGCTGGAAGCTGACTTTCACATACAAGCAGTAATTATTTGGTGATTAAGACGTATTTATGGTAAGCCAGCATCGACGGGGAAGTCGATGACATCCATTACTCCGGTCATTCGCCTCCATAGCCGGAGAAGACGCTGTTCCATTCAGAGGGATCGGTTGAGGAAGTCAAGAACGGGGAGTCTGGATATGCTTGCTGGTCTCACAAGATTAGTTTGACGTTGCTGGCAGAAGTACATAAGGCCCGAGAAGTTGGAGTTTTAAAAGCAACTCACTAACGGGGAATCTCGGAGCAGAAGAGCCGTGGATGAGAGGTTGAAGCCTTTCTGGACCGTGTTATTCCATCACTAAAAACTTGAAATAATTCATGGGAGGCTACTCTCGGAGTATAGTTCTCCTTGCATCTCGTCCTTCGCTCCGAGGCCGCCGGGGACGGCGATGAACGAGGTGCAACATCCACTCTACCTGAAAGGCTTTCATCAAACCCTCGTTCTGCCAAGCCGCATAGTGAATAGAGTATAGACTGAGTGGCGTTGGATGCTAATGATCACCCGTTCTCACCGGCCCAGTCCTAGTTGTTAGTCTGTTGAGTAAGGCGGCCCTTCCTCCGAGCGTAAAAATACTTCCGATTTGAGCTTCCATTGCGTCATTTTCGTTGTAAACAGAAGGTCAAGTTATGGATGTGGAGGTAGTTTGCGAGACTTTCGGGCCGTAAGGTCGATTGGCAGTATACTCATCCTAACCGGTGTAAGGCACATGAAGAGTTTCAAACCATTGCCGTGGATGTAGACACGCCCAAGTTGAGTGAAATCAACGTGTACATAATACGGTATGTCAAATTGAATAGTTATTTCCTTTTCTTCGCTTTTTTTCTTGACTTTGCTTTTTTTCTAAACATTTTTCTCCCCCCCCTTTTTTCCCTTCTTTTCTTCCTCCCAAACACCCAATTCATGAATTCTACAACTCCAACGAACCATACGAATCATTTGAATACTACATATTACATAGCTGCTTTTTAGGCCGACAATTCGCATCACATACCTGGACCCCAATTTCAGGGGTGGTGCGGAGGAAGCAACCCCTTTTGGGACATGTTTCCATCGCTCACCCTGATTCACCCCGCAAAACGCCGGCTTTTGTTGCATGGTGACGTCCCGGCTGCCCGGCCACGGTCCGGGGATTTGCATGACATGTGGCGCGCCCCAGTACCCTACACTACGGCCAGGCGAATTCTTGCGCCGAGAGGGCCTGCTGTGCGCCCGCGCAGCGAAGCAACCCCCTGGGATAGAAGCTTTTGTGGAAGCTGATTGCAGCACGGGTGGTTCCGTGGCGTCGTATTTTGCCCGTAGGACGGATTGTGTGTGGTGCAACGAGCCATAATTGCGGGTTTGAGCTGGTTAATAACGAGCAAAGATCTACGTTATAGTACCGCGGTTTTGGGGACGGAAGGGGGATTTCCGAGCAGTTTCTCGATATACGCGCCTCCGAGGTGCTCGAAACAACGACATGGCGGTTACTTACCTTAGACTTGGGTGCCCGCAACTAGATATAAGAGGTCCGCCATGGGACGCCTTGAGGGGGTGAACTTAGTTCGGCAACGACACCGTGGATTGTGTGCATCACCAACGACAGCGACACCGCCACCATGAAGTTCCTCAATCTGTTCCTCGGCGCTGCTGCTGCTGGTTCGGCTCTGGCTGCGCCCTCCGCAACCAAGACAACCAAGACGACAAAGCGTGCCGGCAAGTTTCAACATGTCGGTGTCAACGAGTCGGGTGCCGAGTTTGGCCAGACGTCGCTGCCGGGCCAGTACAACAAGGACTATACTTGGCCGGCTGAGGCCACCATTGATGTGAGTTGTCAGAGGGTGCTAGTTGGCTGTGCCGGTGTAAAACGTGCAGGATATGATTGCTAACCCCTATGGTAGACGCTCGTGTCGCAAGGTTTCAACACCTTCCGCATCCCTTTCTCGATGTAAGACACGAGATGCCCGATTTGCCGTTCGCTGGAGACCGACGGTCCAATGAAGTTATGAACTGACTCAACTGACAACTTTCAGGGAGCGTCTCGTCCCCACTGAACTGACCGGGGCCGTCAATGAAACCTACTCCGAGGGCCTGACTGGTGTAAGATGCTGCCCTGGCTTGCTGTTGTGTAATGTTGGAATTGACGTGTTACTAGATCGTGTCGTACATTACCGGCAAGGGCGCCTACGCGATTGTGGACCCGCACAACTTTGGTCAGTACTCGCCCATATCTCAGCGGTGTTTGAACAGGTATTATCGGACTCAGGCTGACATGCATAGGCCGGTACTATGACAACATCATCACCGATGTCGACGGCTTCAAGGCGTGGTGGACCACGACGGCGACCATCTTTGCCGACAACGAGCTGGTCATCTTTGACACCAACAACGAGTACCACGACATGGACAACGACCTCGTGTTCCAGCTCAACCAGGGTGCCATTGACGCCATCCGCGGTGCGGGAGCCACTTCCCAGCTGATCTTTGTCGAGGGTAACTCGTACACCGGTGCCTGGACCTGGGTAAGTAATTAACTTAAACACCCAAATCAACCAAACAGAAAGGAGAGTATTAAGTAACACTAACCTTCCCAGATCGACTCCGGCAACGGCGAGACCCTCCTCCCTCTCTCGGACCCCCAGGACAAGCTCGTCTACGAGATGCACCAGTACCTCGACACCGACGGCTCAGGCACCCACGAGGAGTGCGTGTCGTCGACGATCGGCCAGGAGCGCATCCAGGCCGCGACGCAGTGGCTCAAGGACAACGGCAAGCTAGGTATCATCGGCGAGTTTGCGGGCGGCGCTAACTCCCAGTGCATTGACGCTATCACGGGCATGCTTTCGTACATGTCGGATAACTCGGACGTCTGGACTGGCTGGCTTTGGTGGGGTGGTGGTCCGTGGTGGGGTGATTACATGTACTCGATGTATGTTTCGTTTCCTTGTGTTTTGTTCTTGTTTTCTTGTCCCCGACTCCCCTTTTCTAATGTTGTATCCCTGCTAACATGTCAAAAGGGAACCTCCCAGCGGTGTTGCATACACTGGGGTTTTGCCGAGCATCTTGCCCTACCTCTAGGTTAAACAGTGTCGAGGTCCATCGCTAGGCGGAGGACACGAAGGATGTGAAGATGAGCTTGCGTTGTACTGACGTCGGATGAACGGTGTCTACGTTCGTCCGGAGTTGGTCAAAAGCATAGGCCCCGAGAGAAACTTACAACATAACCCGATTGTTCCTGCCTTGAAGCTCAAAACTGAACAATCAAAGTGTTCACTTGTGTGGAGTCTGTTACCTCATTCCTTCCACGTGAACTGATGTGAACTGATGTGAAGTATTTGAACGCCCGTGTTTACCGACTGCCTCTTACGTCAACTTTTGCAACCCATAATCCTAAAGCCTCCGTAACTATCGCAACTTTACAACCCAACCAACCTTAAAAAAACACCAATATCACCATCATGGCGGAGTTTTTAACGTCTCCCGTTGAGCTCATCTGGAAGATTTGCTATTTTATTTCCCCTCCTGATGAGGAAAACACAAGATCGCACGACTGGCCGGATTGCTCCGACGGCCTGGCCGGCCTTAACGCCCTCTCTCAAACCTGCCGCCGATTCCAAGTTATCGTCAACCCGATTCTTTACGCTCGCGGGGTTCATTGTCATCATGCGCTACCCCTGGCATGGGCTGCGGCCAAGGGAAACCAAGGGACACTCAACAAAGCTCTGGCAGCCGGTGCTGATGTCAACCACCAGTTTGTTGTCCCAATGTCCCCCCAATTGTGGGAGATCATTGTGGACGCTCGTGAAGCTGCCACCCACTTGGCAAACACAGACCCGCACCACTGGCCGTCCATCTCCAAAACTCGGCTCAAGACGTTGAACGATAACGACAGACTGCGTGCGGAAGCCGCGACAGCTGACCTCAGTACGCTGGAAGTGTTCCCCGTCGACATCAACGGCTCAGTTGGTGTCAGGTACCTTGACCCATTCGACCCGAACAACAACAACCTAGCAGACCACAGGTGGTACATCCGCAAGTACATGGCCCTGCACCTCACTGTGAGCGCCGGGCACGTTCACATCATCAATAGCCTTCTCGGCCATGGGGCCGGCATCGACACCCCTGCAAATCTACTTTGTCGCTGCGTTCATCTCCGTAGCTTTATTACCAACACTTCAAACCCCCACGGATAAGGCGACAGTGTCATCAACACACCTCTTCATATCGCCACGTGCTCCTCGCAAGTAGCAGCCGCAAAGTGCCTGGTATCCCGGGGTGCAAGCGTGGCATCAGGTCGCGACCGAGGCAACCCGGACTCGGATGGCCATCAGGTCCTCCACCAGGCTGCCGGCATGGGCCAGACCAAGTTAGTCGCCCACATTCTCGACACCCACCCAAACATCGACGTCAATGAAACAGACGAGGAAGGATTAACGCCACTATACCATGCCTGTAACAACCGCCCTTAAGCGGGCTATCGTCACAAAGGCAACCAACCTCGGCATCGCAGAGATGCTCAAAGAGCAACCCATCAAGGGCAACCCGCAAGCCGCTGCACAGCAATACCTGCATTTCATCGTCAACCTCCCTTGGAGCAATGCCTGGTCCTGCGCGGTCCGTGGTGCACACAGCAAAAAATCCCACAACTGCCGTAACCCGAAACGCCTATCCGCACTTGACACCATCCTGTACGAACTGCTCATTTCCGGTGCCGATCCCACGAAGCTTGATGAAGAGGGCAACACCCCACTGTCACAGCTGGCGAATAATCTCCTTTATGATAGCCGTCCTGTGCTAGATATCATCCATTGGCTCCGGCCACTGAGCAGGGGGGTGGATGTTAACGTAAGGAATCAGGAGGGGTTGAGTGCATCTGGGTATTTGCATTCCCTTCGGCTGGCGTCAGAAGACAAAGAGGAAATCATCACTGCGATGGATCGGGTTTTTGGGCTAAAGGTTGGGGAGGGCGGGGATGATAATGAGATTTTGTGGAGGAGGTGAAGTCCGGCGTGGGTTTTGTTCTTTTCTTCTTTTTGCTTTTGGCCTGCTCATGGCTGGATGGGGCACGGGGATTAGAGAAGGGGTTGTGAAGCGGGGGTGGACAATGGTTTAGGCGGACTCGTTGGTGTTTGTATGATACATTGTAGCTTTGTGAATGTAATCCAAACCCCTAACTCTGGCTGTGAATTACTGTATTGAAGTGAGGTTGTTTACCGCAACGATTTGCAGCTTACTGTGACAACTTGGTGTTTACGGCAACGACTTGTTTTTACATGTTCACCATTTCTTCTAGATCACACCTCCCGTTAATTAACCGCAACGGGGCTTAACCTTAGGAAACTGCCACCAATCCCTCGGGGCCGGGCCGTTGTGGCCCTAATAGACGCCCGACCCGGCGCTGCATTACAGGCCGACGCAGCGGGGTCCGGGGGTCGAATCAATGGCTCTATAAGATGGCGGATCAACGAACAGCGGCGGGTGTAGGCGTCGGTGATCTGCGCAGCGGGGATCGATCGTGGTCGCGATACTGGGCCGCCAGCCCTGAGACGACGACGGAGTAGGCGCCGGTCTGTGGGTCGCCCGAGATGCCGCGGACGTTCTGGCTGGCCGTGGGCGCCGTGGTAGACGGCTCACTACCTGTGGCGCCGTGCATGGTCCCATTTACGCCCCAGATTGGGTGGTTGGGCAACGGGTGGGACATCATGTGAGGCGTGGGCGACGGGGCTGCGGGTTCCAGTGACGAGGTTGATGGGACGTTGTGTGTGGTTCCGACGACGGGTTAATGAGAGAGTTGTGGAGGAGATGCCGTTGACGCCCTAGATCGGGTGATTGGGGGGTGGAAGGTTGAGGGACGGATGGGATGTTATTGTCTGGTTCTTGGTTTTAGAAAGACATTCACATTCATGGAAGGGCACGCATGTTCATGGTACTCGTGTGATTGCTCCGCTACGGAATTACATCAAACAACATCACACGATCCGTAACCGGTAAACCGCCCCCTCACTCTCCTCAGAGCGGGAAACACCATCAAGTGAAGTAATAAACACCCTCACTTCCCCTTATCTCCGGATATCAGAAAAGATCCTACCCATGCAGGACGCTCCAGTAAGCACCCGCTTACACCTTCTCCTCGTTGGTAGCCTCCGGGGCAGCGGTACCACCATGCTCGCCCTTCTGCTGACGAGCCGTGACCTCGGCAATCTCGGCAGCCAAACGGGACTCGCCCTTCTTGGTCTTCCAGGGAGCCACGGCGCCCGGGGCGAACATGAGCTCGATCTCCTCGAGGGTCTTGCCGCAGGTCTCCGGGTACAGGAGCCAGAACCAAACAGCGGCCACGACGCACAGCACGCCGAAAACGATGAAGACCTTCCAGGTGATGTTGATGAAGGCGGGCGGGACAAACATGCCCAGGGCGAAGTTGAAGACCCAGTTGCTGAGGGCGGCCAAGGACATACCCGTGGCGCGGGTGCCGAGAGACCAGACCTCGGCGGCATAGATCCAGCACACGGGGGCCAAGGTGAGGGAGTAGACGACGATGAGGAGGTAGGAGAAGGTGATGACGGTGTTGGCGGGGGCGCCGTGGTCGACCGAGATGACGATGTTGGCGTTGGGCGGGTCACCGACGCCCTCCGGGTGGTAGGTGCTGTGGGCGCCCATGGTCCCACCGACGACGAGATGGCAGAAGCCCATGCCAATGGCGCCCCAGACGAGGAGGGTGCGGCGGCCGGTCTTGTCAATGAAGAGCCTGGGTGTATTATTAGCATCTGTGTGTCCCTTGTGGTATTTGGAATCCAGATTGAGTGAGGTTTTGACTTACCACATGACGGCGGTGAAGATAATGAAGACGGCGTATTGAATACCGGAAGTGACCATGGCAACATTGCCAGTCAGGCCAGCCATCTGGGCGATGTAGGTGAGGTAATAGACAATGACGTTGGCGCCAGCCAGTTGCTAGAGAACGAGAACAAGTCAGCATCTTATTTGACAAATGGTCACACAGAAAAAAGAGCAAAAGAAAACCCACCTGCCAGGCCTGGACAGACATGCCAGCCAGAGTGCGCTTCCACATGCCGTTGCGGTAGAACTTGCCCAGCCCCTGACCGGCCTCAACCTCAGCCTGCAAGACGGTGCGGATCTCCTCCCACTCGGCAATAACTAGCGGGTCAGTGGTGTCGCCCCCAGCGTGGATGTTGGCAAGGGTCTCGAGCGCCTCCTGGTCGCGTCCGACCTTGGCAAGCCAACGAGGAGAGCGGGGCAGGAAGGGGAGGCCGAGGATGAGGAAGACGCAAGGGATGAATTGGGTGCCCCAGGCCGTACGGAACGAGCCGGTGCCTTCGATGAAGCTGCAGCCGTAGCCGATGAAGTACATGATGAGAATACCGAACTCGACGGCGAGCTGCTGGATGATGACGAGCGAGCCGCGCTTCTCGGCCTTGGCGATCTCGGCCAGGTAGACGGGCACCTGGGCGGAGGTGATGCCGACGGTGAAGCCGTTCAGCACGCGGCCGGCGATCAGCTGGCCGGTGTTCTGGCAGGCGACTTGGACGGCGGTGCCGACGAGCCAGAAAACGCAAGAGAATAGAATGGAATCGCGGCGGCCGAACCTGTCGGAGAGGGGGCCGGCGACCGCAGATCCAATAACGGAACCGGCGGCCAGAGCCGAGCCGATGGCGCCCTGGATCACGCCGGACGGGTTGTTAAAGTATTCGATGTACTGGGGAGTGACCACGATGGCCGAGATGGAGGAAATATCGAAACCAAACCTGAAATGTGTTAGACTCGGCACAGGATAGATTGAACTGGGATTGATTCTCTGAGGATAAGAGAGAAGAGAGGAGGGGGAGAACTCACAAAGCGCCACCAAGGGTCGCGATGATGGCTACGAGGTAGACATTGTAGATGGTTGGCAACTTCATCGTGCCTGATTTTGCAAGTCGATATTACAATATCTCATGCAAATCAAGGCAGATAAAGCGCAGTAAAGATTTCGGCTACAAAGCGATGCGATTGATGTAATCGATGATAAAGTGTTGCTGGCGGAGAAAGTTGTGGCAAAAGTTGTGAGAAAGGAGGAGGAAATCGGGTCGACGGTTGCGAAGGCGGGCCAATTTATGGTCGCGTCGGAAAATCGAAGCCAAATCAAACCGGCTGCACGCGAATTTTCGTCCCAAGGCACGGTGTTGTGAACAGGCGCCTTGTTCTCGTTCTTTCCTTTTGGCGTTGGGTGGTGGATTCACACGTGAAGATCCACACTGAACAGTGAGGTTGTTCCGCGTGAGAGAAGCAGAACTGACCTTCCAAGTCCAGCTGTCACGCAGTCAAGAATGCCAGATCTCGACGACGTTGGCCTGTGAGCTGGTCAAGAGGAACCCAGCAGGAAAAAAAGTATTCACCAAAAATCAAACAAGACCATGGCAGTTCCATGTGCGGATGGGGAGCCCTCTTTATTTGTTCTCCCAGCTCTCTCCTCTTCCAAGCACTTTAACCCTACGACAAGCAACCCATACCCAAGCAAGCAAGCACCTGGAAACACGGGCCAGGATGCAGGCCAGGGTCAATGGACGTTACATGGCATACTGCATCTCCAGGACGGACCAGACTCCAACAAGTTCTCCAACCACAAGATAAAAATCCCCCCCATTGTCTCACCTTGCCGGACGTGGCCACTCGGAGGAAGCTGCGGGAGCATCGTTGTCTCTTCCTGTCCTCGCTTGCTGAGCTTGCCTGGTCCTAGCTTGTGACGCGTGACTCGTGAAGGGGTTCGGGGTAAAACAGAAAGAAAAAAGACGGGGAATGATCTGGGGTGTGTCCGGGGAATGGTGGATCCCGCCAATCATGGGGAAAGATTTGGTCAAAGTCCAGCAAAAACAGTTCGAGGATCCAACGTTATACCCGAAGGCAACGGCAGAGAGGGCAATGGGCCGCTGTGATAGGCGCGCTTGTTGGCGGAAGTCTGCAAACCAAATCCACACCGACCGTGTCCACTGCCGGGTACTTGGCCGCGGCAGTTTTCCAATCGCTGACAGTGACAGCCGTCATCGCAGAGCCGAAGAGAGGGAGGTCATTCTGGTGGGTTGCGCCCGCTCCTTCCGTCGCGTAAATGCACCACAGGTTGCAATTCCATGGTCCTTTCCCGCGCATGGGCGCTTTTGCTGCGTGGACTGAATTGGAGCTAACTTGGGGATGGATTTTTACCGTGACGCGCCTTCCCCATCTCCCCGCTTCCCCGCAAGTGCCCTGGCAAGAAGGCTGGGGGGTTGATCGGCTCGAGATGGGGTTCCAACCCTGGCCTGGAATGGCTGCCGCCGGGCCGATTACAGGCGCCCCACAAAACCTGCCTTTCTCCAACAGCTTCCCCGAATCCCAAGCCCTGCTGCTGTGGTCCCTCTCGTCGCAGCGTCACTCCTCACCAACTCCGGTAAAAAAGGAATCTTCCATCATCCAAGGCGGAACACAGCATGGAACCGCTATCCGCTGACTGGGCGTATAACTGTGATGTGATATGCCTCGGACATCCCACCGAGGAAGCCCGAAACCGAAGCAGCAAACACTGCACATCAACCCCCCTCCAAAATATCCCTGCCTACCGCGTGTGATGTGACACATGTCCAATCTGTCGAGCCGAGACAAATCGGAAGCTTCGTAGAAACGAGCCTCGATGCTTGTTTGCCATTGCTGCTGAGACATCCCCGGGTTGTTGGTACTGTCAAATGTAGTAGTGAGGGGTACGGTGACACCTTGCGTTGGACTCGATCGAGGGTTGTTTAATATACTGGCCGGGAAACCTGCGTCGGCCGTTCTGCTGTGTAGGTTGTTACCTGTACATCGGTCCACAGGGCTGGGATTGTGATGGAGGCTTACTATGTCAGCTGTGAGACAATCTGGTGGAGTAGGTTGTATCACCGTGAGGCTCAACCTCGTCGTTGGACCTTTGGACGGGTATTTATTTGCACAAGGCGTTTTGCTGTCAGCTAAGCTCTAGAGTAGTATCACGTTACCTCTGCTGCTTTGGTTGCGACGTCAATCACTACCGGCCGAGCATGTAGTTTTGTCGGCTCCTCTCTCAGGAATAATTACTTCTCGTCCAGGAGTGTACCAAGGAGTCGAGGACCATCATGTAAAGTGAATGGGTTACGAACAGAAACAGACGACAGCGATTTCGTCTCGCGATTTCAGTTGGGATGAAGAGAACATCTTGAGCTTGGAATTTCTGGAAACAATTGAAACTAAAGTAAAGGAGCGCTCTCAACGTCTCGGGAGAGCTTTGGAACTCAACCCTTCGACTTGGAGCTGCTTCAACTTCACTTTGAAACTCTTTCCGCCAAGAAAAGAAACCACCGCAACCAAAAGAAAACAGCCGTATCCCACTCTTGCACATTTGAACCCGTGTTAACTCGTCGCAAGAGTTGAAACCCATCCCAGAGACTTTGTAACTTCCGAAATCCACGATCGACCCATGACTTGGAGGATTTGAAATTTGTTGCGGTCGGAGCGGTCGAGGGTGAAGAATTGGAGGAAGTTGTTTGTACCTAGTGGTTTGTGATGGCGCGTTAGCTATATGCCGAAAAGGTATGCTGAAAAGGTATACTGAGAAGGTATCCTCAAAAGACGGTAGCCTAGGGGAAGGGGGATAAATCTTACTTGTCCATCGTCTCTTCTGGTTTCGTCTTCCCGATGTACTTCAACGCCTCAGTCAAGTAATCATCAAGCACGATTGCCTCGTGCCAGAACTCGCCAACGTCGCAAACTCTTTCTCCTTGACCTCCTTCTCAAACGGGCACAGTCCACTCAAACTCCTTCGACAACGTCTCCCTCACCGACTCGGAACCTCGGCCGTACTCTCCCCAGGCCCATCCAGGAGAACCCGACCCCCGACCAGCCGCTCAATACCGATCGCGAATGCTCGCCTCGGCAGCCCTCTGCGCCTGAGTGGGCACCGTCGTCCGGATCTGGTTCAGCGTCATCCCCAGATTGGCAGCGGGATTGAGGCGGCGGAGCTCGAACTTGAGGAATTGTCCGCCGTGGCTGTTGTGCGAGACAATGTGGCGCACCACGCGGTATAGGCCGTCGTAGCGGATGCCCACGGCCGGCGCCCAGTGGCGGTTGCGGTGGCCGGCGCTGCGAAGGACGCGGACGGGCAGGCCGGTGCGTTCCGAGGCGAGGAGCGCGCGGGTGTCGGCGCTGTGTTGAGGTCTCGGGGCCGGAGCCGGTGCGGGCGCTGCCTGCTGGTTGTTCCCGCCGGCGCTGTTGTTGCTGTTGCTGCCGGTGTTGTTCCCGGCGCCGCCGTTGCTGGTGCTGCTGGTGTTGTTGTTGCTGCTGGCATTGTTGGCGTTGGGGTTGGCCCTGCCCCGACGCCCGAGACCAACGCCGGCGTTCGGGCGGTCCGCCGAGTACCAGACCACGTCGCCGTTGTCGCGATCGTGGTAGCGATACTGGGCCGCCAGCCCCGAGACCACGACCGAGTAGGCGCCCGTTTGTGGGTCGCCAGAGATGCCACGGACGCGTTGGCCGTGGGCGCCGTTGTAAACGGCGACTACCTGCAGCGGCCACCAGTCGCCGGGGGTCAGGCCGTTATGGCCGTGCTGGAGCGCGTCGCGTCGTTGGCCCACGTAGCGGGGGTCGAACAGATACGTGTGGGCGCCCTGCAGGTAGACGCCGTGCATAATCCCATTCACACCCCAGCTAGGGTGGTTGGGGGGTGGGAGGTTTGGCGCCGGGCGGGACATCGTGGGAGGCGCGGGCGACGGGGTTTCAGGCCCCCGCGGCGAGGTTGGAGGTTCCGGCGGCGAGGTTGGGGGTTCCGGCAACGGGTTTGGGGGCACGGTGATGTCGAGTGTTTGGCGAGCAGGTGTCGTCTGCGTGTCTTGATGGTCAGGAATGGTGACGATGGGTCGAGCTCTATGGGAATGGTTCACCTGGCGATTGTGGTGGGTGGTGGGAATGCGGCGGGTGGTGGGAGCGTGGTGGGTTGCGGGAGGAAGATTCGTGGGAAACTCCAGGGCAGGTTTATGAAAGCTGTTCCTTCCGGTTGCACGAGCTGCGTGAGGAAGGTCGTTGGTCGGTCGACGGGGCAAAGGTGCCGACGACGGGACCGGAGCGCCGGAGCGTGACGATGACGAGACCGGAGCGTCCGAGTGTGAAGCCGGCTGGGCCGGAGTGTCAGAGTGTGCCAACGACACGTCCGAAGCATCGGAATGCGCAAACGACCGGACCCGAATGTCGAAGTGTCCAGACGACGGGGCCAGAACATCGAAGTGTGCAGGAACAACTGCTGGAGGAGCTGTAGTGTACAAACCACTATCTCCGTACCCCATTCTCGTGCCGTTCATATGACGCACAGCATTTATGTCACTCTCGGCATTTCCGGCAGTGTCAGGACGTCCAATACCCCTGACGACATCTCTCCCGTATCGTCCATCCTCCCCTATCCCCACAGCCCTGACTCGTCTATTCACCCTGTCACTGGGGACCATCAGGTCAGTAGACCTCACCCTATCCTTCAGGGTCAACGTATCAAGAGTAGGGAATCTCTCATGCCCCTCAGTCACACCACTCAACGTCCCTCCCTCACCCCAATTCACAGCATCAAAGTGTTCATACAGTCGTCTTGCCCGTTGTGCAATCTCCCTGGGGATGAACGCCGCATGCCTTTCATCCATCAGCACTAGTAGCGCTTCATGGACACGATGAGGGCATGCCTTCAGGGGTAAGGGCAGTTTGTCGATACCAGTCTGAAGATGCTGAAGAAAGGAGGAGACTTCCCCTTGCCAGTGTGTGATCTGTTGTGCCGGGACATGATGGCCACGATGACGACGCTATAACTTGGCGATTAAGCTGAGAGCGGCGACTCGGCCTTGGGATAATGGTTGGGTCCAAGAATGAAAGGGATGAAAGGTGTGTTCAGGATTGGTTTTGTTTGTGTTTCCAGATGTCGTAGTGAAGTTGGTATGCACCGAATCTGACTCTATTTTTGTGGCGTTTGAAGAGGTTGTGTCGGCCAAAGTGCTCCTTGGAGTAGCGCCGGCACCTGTTAAGCGTGGTCGGAGGGGTGACCTTACCATAGCTGTGGTCAGACTGGCGAATATTCCAGGTGGTTTTGTTGTGTTATAGCGGGCCGGTACGCGAGGCGTAGCTGGTGTGTTTGGCGGGTTCATTGTGTGTACAATGGTTGTCAGTTGGACTTGATATGGCCCGTGCGTTCTTCGTCCAAAGGACTGGTGAGTTGTGAGTTGGGATAAATAGGGCCTGTGACGTCACAAAGTGCCCGTGGTGATTTTCACTGATGTGAGGATATGTCCCGCTGTTATCGGGACCTATGATTTGATTCAACTTTTGAGTCCGAGCCTGGACATTGTCGTCGGACTTGCTCGGCTTTGTCGTGATTCGACACTTTTCTATTCAGGTCTGTGAAGACGGGTTAGTAATCCCATTCAACTCCAACCAGCAAAGGAACTTACACGAGAGTAACCAAACATCTTCTCAATCCTACTAAACACCACCTTGGCACTCTCCATCCTTTATCACCATACTCTCAATTTTGAGTTTATAACAAAGAAGTTTCGTTCCGACAAAGGTTCGGGAATCTTGGAAGTGGCCCTGGGAGTGAAAGGATACAGCCGGATGTCACAGGCCCGGATGTTGATCTACCGAGCGGAAACTTAACAACCGGTGTTGTTAACAAGAACACGTGCGGTGGTTAAAGATGTGATGTCACTGAGAGGATCCCGCTCACAGTGAGTGAATGTGCCGACAATGAGGATCGGTGATGCCGGTGTAAGTACAACTGGGGGGGACTGCGACCCGAAACAATTAGTTAGTTGATGTTACACACTCTCTCCGCTTCGGTACCACCCCAAAAAACAAAAGTATCAAAAAAAAATAATAGTACACGTACCAGTCTTCCCGCAGATGGTGCGAGGAGATTCCAGAGGGGTCGACAATAGCATCACAGACAGGTAGTTAGGTAATCAAGGTATTACCTAGGCCGTCTTGAGTTCGTTAACATGCTGATTGAATCGTCCAAAGCTGCCGAGCTCTGAAATAGTAACTAAATATTGTATACACTGATCCCTATGCTGCAGGGGAGGTTGCAACAGCGGGTGCGACCAGATACAGTCAAATATGCGACGGTGGAAAGCGGTTGAATGTGCGATGTTGGACAGAACACAAAAGAATTGTTCCGACATGTCGACAGGGCCATTTGAATAGGTCTCACGTCACGTGCACCTGCCCCGGCGAAAATATTGGTCATTAATTCTTATTCGGTAGGTAGAAAGAAAGTACATACCTAGCAATGAATTTGTCGTCATTCACCAAGTCAGTTAGTTTGTCGCCCATAACCCTACACTGCACCAGTGCGAGATAATAATGCGCACTTCTTCGCATTTCCACGTACATAGCCCCTACTGATCCATCCAAACATCCACTTCTCTCCCGTCTATCCACCTGGTGGGCGGGTTCTTCTCAAACCACTCTTCCGCGTTTCGTTTGCGTGCATACTCGTCGTAGAACTTGTCTAGGGCGTTGTTCAAATCTGAGATCGCGGAAAGGGTGGGTTAGAACAAAATGCGGCGTGCCAAATTTGTGAACTAATTGAACTGCTATCTTACCAGGAAGCGTCATGCCTTCCGCCGGCTGGAGGGAAAACCATTCATCGGATTCATGAAATAACGTAAGATCTTTTGGTACCGGGGTTTCTAAATAGTTCAACAGTCGGGGTCAGTCGCTGAGTCCCAGTTATCAAACGGTGGACTCTAAGGCTGGTATTAACTCACCTTTTTTGATAGTAAAAACCTGCGGCTCCTCGAGCTCTTTCCCCTCTTGCAGAGGTTTCAAGTAATAGTCGTTATGATACCTGTCTGCCAGCCGGTTCATCCATATCGTGTTGGGAAGTAAAGTCACACCGTTTGAGATGGGCGTCTTTACGGGTTCACAAAAAGTGTCAGCTGTCTAACCCTCTCTAGGTTACCGTCATCGAAAACTAGAAGGGGAACAAAAAAAAAAAAAAAAGAAATCCCCACACCTGTTTAGGATCACCCGGCCAAATGAGGCCAATAGCCGGGCGCACAAGCTCATCCTTACCCGGAAGGACCGCATCCGGGGGCAGGTCCAGGGGTGTTAATTTGTGGTGTTCGGGCCGGGCATCGAATAGTTTGGACCGAGCGGTTAGGGTGTAGTAGTGTAGCGTGCATGGAAACTCAGTGTAAGCCTTTTGGAAACCGGTCGGGGGCTCTTCCGGGTTGTTGTCCCACAGGTCCAACTTGGCCAACTCGTCCGGGATGTCCTTTTTCTTGGAGTGCCAGGATTGGTACTGGTGTGCGCTCTGGCATCGGAAGGGCGTGATGCGTGGTAGTGCCCGGCGTGGGAGGCGTTGGCCGAGCCCGAGGAGGGTTTTGGAGGCGGATGCCATTTCGTAAAAATCGGGATGGTGCGAAACACCAGAATGCGGGTGAGAATACACAGTGTGACAGTATGAAATAATGAAATGGCGATGAGTTCCAATTTTCGAATGGTGAGCTGCATGTGGATTAGGTAAGCCTCCAGGTGCAGGTCTGTGCATCAGTTCGAACAGCGGCAAGAATGTATTTTTGCCAGGTAATTAGATGTATTGGGCGGAAAAATGCTTGACTTTTAGTTTCAAATGATACTGTTATCCTGTAGTATACAACTGTGCTGTCTGTGTGCAACGAAGAAACGAAAATTGGAAGTGGGGACTGCAAACACGGGAGAAGATCACAGCAATGAATGGCAAGGACAGGGTGTAATTAAAATATTGCAGATTTGACTTACACAGGTGACAGGGTTCTACCATTTTACCTGTTCATCCACGAACGTATCTCAGTGGACAGAAATCGGGTTTACATTAGGTAGGGATCAAGGACTGGCCTCATCCATCTAAACCGACTCCTTCCACCGCAACAAGGTAAACGAATGCCTCGCAAAAGTAAACCTCCCTTTCCCATCCCACTCGCTCTCCACAACCCCAACATTCTCCTTCCCGTCCGTATTCGTCACACTCACATTTTCCCCAGTCACAACAAACACCTGCACTTTCCCACCCCCCACCAACCCCTCCAACACAACCCCATAGTCCCGCTCCTCATCCACATTCACCACAGCCAGATTCACCCAACCATCACTCCCCTTCACCGCACTACAATCCAAAAACGGCGTCTCCATCCCCGTCCCCCGAAGCCACGTCGGCTTCGTCGGCCCCGTGTACTCCTGCCCGCGCACATGCAACGCAATCGTCTGACCCCGCATATACCGACTGAATAACAACAGCGGCCACCACGTAGTCTGTTTCACCAACCCGTTGGGCGATGTCAACAGCGGCGAAATGACATTAACCGACTGCGCAATATTCGCCATCCCGATCTCCCCAGCCTGCCGCACAAACACATTCAGCCACACAGCCACCGCCAGCGCGTCGGAGAGGGTGTATTTCTCCTCGGCGCCCTGTTCGCCTGGTGCGCGGGAGGGGTCCCAGACGTTCCACTCGTCGAAGCAGATCTTGGGTTTGGGCACCGTGGGCGGGACGCGGTTCTCGATGCGGGCGAGGTCGATGAGGGCCGAGGTCATCTGGATGGCGCGTTCGGCGGCGCGCGGGGCGGTCGCGTTGGGGAGGTGGGCGGTGCCGTCGGCGGTGTAGAGGTGGATGCTGTGCATGTCGATGAGGGATTTGGTGCCGCCCAGGGCGTGCATGTCGGGTCGGAGGCAGTGTTGTAGGACGTGGTGGTCCCAGGAGGAGAAGCCAGATTCGCCGCAGAGGATCAGGGTGATGGAGGGGTCGAGGAGTTTGAGGGCTTTGGCCCATTGGTAGGCTTTGGTGGCGTAGGCTTCTTTGGTGAGCTGCTCGACTTGCCAGGGGCCGTAGCACTCGTTGCCGAGGGCCCAATATTTGACCTGGTTTCTTGAGTAAGTATTTTGCTTGCCTCTAAGGAGAATGCCAGAGAAAAAGCTCACGTTGTAGGGCTTCTCACGGCCGTTTTGCCGACGCAGGTTGGCGTAGTAGGTGTCCCGGTCCGAGTTGCAGTACTCGAGCCAGCCCAGGGCTGTAAACCACTTAGCTCTTATCCCCAAGAGACTCATTCAGAACAACCTCGACTCACCCTCCCGCAGTGTCCCAGTTCCCATATTCAGACACAAATACGGCTCCGTTCCAACAACCTCACACCACTTCATAAACTCATCCGTCCCAAACTCATTCCTCTCGACCCCAATCCACGCCAACTCGGGTCGGCTCGGCCGTTTCTCCTTGGGGCCAACCCCGTCGAGCCAGTTGTAGGTCGCGACAAAGTTGCCGCCGGGGTACCGCACAACGGGCACGTTGAGCTCCTTCATGGCGTCGATGACGTCGGTGCGGAAGCCGTTGGCGTCGGAGAGCGGGTTGCCGGGGTCGTAGATACCGCCGTAGATGCAACGGCCCATGTGTCTGTCGATCGTCAGTAATTTATTTTGCAATCAGCACTAGAGAGACAAGAAACTCACTCCGTGAACCCGCCATAGATGTTGTCCTCGATGTCGGCGACGGTGTGAGACGGGTCGATGGTGATGGTGGGCGTCTCGTCCTCGGCGATGCGCGTGAATGTAGCCATCGTTACGCTGTTGCGAATAGAGTCAACAAGTTGCCAGTACCGAAACAATCAACTCCAACTCAATCAATTAACAACTTTCTTCCCCTCAATCAACTCACCGTCCGAAAAACACCATCACAACCGAGCTCCTCGGCCTCTGATTCGCGCGCATAAGTCTCCCCCGAAAGACCCCATCCAGAACCCACCGGGCCGAGCACCGAACCCCGCACGAAAGCCACGCGGCTGGGCATCAGTGAGAATACCCACCAGTTAGCGTCAAGGTTCGGGACTGAGGAATGCCCTTAATCGGAAGTTAGTTACCCCAACTTGACCCCATGATCGGGGTCTTTGACGCGGAGTTGAACCACGTCGTTGGATCTGTGCCCGAGTGTTGTCGTAAATACCTACCTAGGCTTGAGTGTAAGTATGTACACTAGGGAGTAAAGGCGGGGATAATAACAGAGGGTCGCTATAATTGATACCGGTCACGAGGGCATAACCACCTATTATTCTCCCGAACGGGTATCAGCAACAGTAGGGATTGTATGTCGAAGTTATAATACTTTGACCTCCCATGTGGGGTTTGACTTTGAGTATCCCTTGCTTAGCAGCTTACGATGCTCTCCCCAAAGTGGTACCAATTCCTCGTCGGCGTGTTCGCCTCGTTGGGCTCATTGCTCTTTGGTTACGACCTCGGTGTGATTGCCCAGGTGATTGCCTCGCAATCGTTCCATAGCGAGTTCCGCCCGACCGACAATGAAGAGTGTGTCTCTCTCGCTCCCATCCTCCGTCCTTTGCTTTGGAAGGAACGCTTAATATTGACTTAAACATGTTCCAGAGCCGCCGTCGTCTCCGTCTTCACAGGCGGTGCCTTCATCGGTGCCTTCCTCGCCGGACCAACGGGCGACTACCTCGGCCGACGTCTGACCATCCTGCTCGGGGCTGTGGTCTTCCTCTTAGGCGGAGCGCTGCAGACAGGGGCACGGGCACTGTCCTATCTCTACGCGGGCCGGGCCATCGCAGGGCTGGGCGTCGGTGTCTTGTGCATGATCGTGCCGCTGTACCAGGCCGAGCTGGCGCATCCGAGTATCAGAGGCCGGGTCACGGCACTGCAGCAGTTTATGCTGGGGATTGGGGCGTTGGCGGCGGCTTGGATTTCGTATGGTAGGTCGCAAATCACCGTGCACAAAAAAAAAAAAAAAAAAAAAAAAAAAAAGCAAGGAAACGACGAAGAAAGAGGGAACTGACTTGGACCACTACAGGCACCTACGTAGGCTTCGCGCCCACCAACTCCGCACAATGGCGCACCTCCCTCGGCATTCAACTGATCCCCGCCCTCCTCCTGGCCGCTCTCATCCTCCTCTTCCCCGAATCCCCCCGTTGGCTCATCGAACACCGCGACCAAGCCGACCGCGGCCTACAAACGCTCGCCAATCTGCACGCCCACGGCGACACGCAAGATCCCTGGGTACAAGCCGAGTTCCAGCAGATCCAAGAGGCCATCGCGCTCGACCGCACCGTCGCGGCCCGGTCGTACGCCGAGCTGGTCCGCGACCGGTCCTGTTTTCGCCGGTTGGTGCTCGCGTGCGCCCTGCAGGCGTCGGTGCAGATGACGGGGGTGTCGGCCATACAGTATTATTCGGTCACAATCTACGGGTTGATGGGGATTCGCGGGGATGACACGCTGCGGTACCAAGCTATCTCGTCAGTGCTGGCGCTGGTCGCGCAGGCGTTGTGTATCCTGTTGATTGACCGGTTGGGTCGGCGGTGGCCGTTGATTCTGGGGAATTTGGGCAACTGCGCGACGTTCATTGTGGCGACGGTGCTGCTGGCGCGGTTCCCGCCCGGGGAGAGCGATAATACGGCCGCGGCGTGGGGGTTTATCGTCGTGACGTGGGCGTACAACTTCAGCTTCAGCGCGACCTGTGGCCCGTTATCGTGGATCATCCCCGCCGAGATTTTCGATACCAAGACGCGGGCCAAGGGGGTGTCGATCGCGACTATGACGTCTTTTGCGTTCAACACCATGATTGGGCAAGTGACGGGCCCCGCGATGAAGACGGTCGGGTACCGGTACTATTTCTTGTTTGTGATTTGCAACTTTACAAATGCCGTGTTTTTCTGGGCATTCCTGCCCGAGACGGCGAAGAGGCCGCTGGAGGAGATGAGCCGGTTGTTTACCGATGCGCCGCTGTTTGTGCCCACGATGGACCGGAGCGACTGGGCGGGCAATGAACTGGAGCGACGCGTCGAGGAAGTGAGGGCCAAGGTGAGCTGAGGACTAATTACCGTGTAATCACACAGTATTTAAAAGTTGTACTGCGTAAAATTGCAAGATGTTGTACAGTACACATACGTTACATTAGTTGATGCGTATTGGCCAGGGTACCTCCGTACGTTCTCCTGACAGGGAGCTGCCCGTAATAATCAGCAACGTCTCCGAGAAGTATCACTGTTCTCAAGCGGCAAGACGACGTGGCTACCCGCCTCTGCCGCAAAACCTCAAAGCCGCTACTTCACCATGACTTCTTTTTACGGATTTCCGTTTTCCGTGCCGTATGATAAATCGTGAAGAGTGATCGACAGATTCCACACGCCCATCTTGTCCTGTTTCGTCGTTTGCTTGCAGCCATCTCCAATGAGAAGCCGTGCGGCTGAATATTCCACCGTCTTATGCGGTTCCCGAAGGCTGAAATCTGGAAATCTAGATTCACTTCCCAGGCTTCCTCCCTTGGAGTGATCAAGTCAACCTTATTTCAGCCACCTACCTCCCTCGCGTGTAGTCTCTTTTGGCAGTACGGTGATACCTCATGCACGCTGAATCCGAGTGTCTGACGAGATGGGATCGGCCGAAGAGCTCACAGTCGGTCAAGCCTCGGGCTTGATCGCGTTTGGGAACGCGATGGGTGAGTGGCGTCTTGTCATCAAGAAAAATTAGGAATGGGTAGAAAGACTCACCGGACAGCCGCATTCACGATCCCCCTGTTTCTTACGGCGGCGCTAGTGCGCTGGTTCAACAAGCCGGCCTCTGCCGCAACATGGTAAGTCCCCCGACTCCTCCCACGATCACACCCAAGCCATGCCGAGCCGGCCTTGCCGTTCTTGTCCGCCTACAGTCCATTAGTACGCCCTACCGTTAATAATACTAACGCGAGCCAGGACTGTCATAGCCCGCCAACTACACTCCTCCCTCTGGCCCACCCTCCTACGCACCGACTCGGTCGCCTCCACCAACGTGCACTGGACGGTGACTGCTATCGCCTACGCCAACGTCAGCTTGGCTGTGCTGCTGCTCATCTCAGGCATCGTCACGCCCCTCGGCCTAAGCGATAAGATTGGCCCCATCAAGCGCCACACTGCTGTTCGCTTCGAGTATGCGCCCGATCTGTCGACCTACGGGGCGAGTACTCCAGCCCGTCCGGGGCAGGGCGAGAACAGTCACTTGCCGGGGTTGTCGCGGGATTGTTGGATCAGGTCCGTGCAGTGTCCTGGCATTGATGTGAAAGGGTTTGTGCCACAGGCGTACCGATATGGATACGAGAAGAACGGGACCGTGTATAATGCCTCCATTACATCGACGACGCATGTCCCGCGGAATTTGACAGACATGTTTCAAAGCCATCGAGGCCGGTTCCCGGATGTCGCCGGGATTTTCGACTTGCAGTATCGGGTCTGGCGGCCGCTGACGTCGGAGTATTTTGACGACAAGAAGCCGTACCCGGCGGGTCGGATGCAGCATGTAGATATGCTCATTCCGCGCGACGGCGTGGTGTTAGTTGAGGGCGCGATCGCGGATTTTAGTAGCGGTAAGTCAGGGGGCGGTATCGGGTTCCGTAACCATAGCGCGCCGTCTCAGCTGAACGGCTACGGCGCGCAGTGGACCGAGGACGTGCTGTGGATCGAGCCGGATATCGCGTGCTCCGCGACGAACCTATCGGTGGAATTTGAGCTGGGGGACATCGCCAACACCAGCAGCCCGGTGCGAACAGTGTTCCTAGTCGACGACGGTGGATTTGCGCGCCTCCGACACGGCGACCCTTACGACCGATGGCCATCCCTCAACTTCAGCGCCCCCAACGTGCGGCTCCGCGCTGACCGGTCCGCTCAGTTGTCCAACTTCCTCCTCGGCGTCGTCTTCAACATCACCGATAACATGCGTAGTGCCATCTACGGCTTCAACACCACCATCGGTGCGCGCTACCCCGTCCCGAAGGACACCCCTTACGGTTACGGCTACGACGCGACGGCTGAGACCCTCGTCCCGCTCGGTGTGCGTACCTCGCGGCCGGCCGGCGGCTGGCTTGGCCTGCCCTCCGGCATCGGTTTCAACGTCAACGGTAGCGTGTACACCGACTACGGCGAGACCATCCTGAAGCACCCTATTGACCACCCCTTCGAGTACGGCGTCGCGCTACTAACTCAGCTCGAGGGCCGGTGCTCGGGGGAGTATGGTAACGACGCGACCCGCGACGACTACAACGTGGCGTGTACGTATTTCTTTGGTGCCCCGCAGCGTGTCGACCGCGGCTCGCCGCTGTTGCAGGAGGACGGGTCCAAATGGAAGCTCCCAATGCACGTTTGCGCGGGAGCGAGCAAGGCGTCGATTAAGACGGTGTCGTTTGCGATGAACTCATCGACAACGAGTAGTGACACAGACGCCAACACCCCGCACTCGATCGAAAACCTCGTCGTGCAGAGCATCAAGCCCAAGCACTACACCCGCGAATCTGATTACCCCCTCTGGGCCATCGAGGATTGGTGGTCCAAAGCAGGCGCCGCTTCGTTCTACGCACCGCTATGGGGCATCGTCGACGACCGCTACAACAACACGCCCGGGTACAACTTCACGCGGGCGCCGTCGTTGTATTTGCCCAAGTCAATGCTCACACTGAACATCCAGACGGGCGACGCCGTGGACATCTTGGCGGGGGCCTCGGCGCCGTGGGAGGTGCTGGACTACACTATGAGCGAGGCCTTTGACCGGCGCGTCAGCAATTATGTGCCGACATACAACGGCGCCAACAACCTCGCGCTTCAGGCCAAGTGGGCGTCGTTGAGCAAGACGGCCGAGGGCGCTGCGACGGTGCTACAACTAGTGTGGACTGATTTGATGACTAGTGCCGTGGTCGGGACGAGCCATCTCGCTGGCACAGAAAAGGGGACGATAAACAAACGCGCCGCCGATGATGCGGCTGCTGTTGATCCCGATACCCGCATCGTCACAACCTACGGCCGAAAACTGGCTTACGACATGCGCTTCGCTATACCCGCCATCGTCCTGCTTTGCGCCTGGCTGGCCGTCTTCGTCTTCGGCATCGTGCTCGTCACCGTCCACGGCCATCTTCCCTCCCACATCCGGAAGCTCCTGAACGACACCAGCGTCGGGCGCATCGCCGCGACCATGGCTGACGCCGATACCAAGGCCCTGTTGGCCACCTCCACGGACCACTGGGTTAAGTCTGCCGGCCGGACGCAAGTTGCGCTGGGGGTGGAGCCTGGTGGCAGTGGTGACCGGGATGGGCGTGATGATCATGAGATAAGGGATGGTGAGAGCGTGGCGGCCAAGTCGGGAAAGCGTTCGGAGGACTACGCGTATGCCGTAGAGCCCCAGGAGATGGAGCTCCTCCCCCAATCGCACCCTTATGAATCGCAGGTGTACCAACAGACACCCCAAGAACCCTATCAACAAACATACCAGCAACCGTACCAGCAGCCATACCAGCAACCGTACCAGCAGCCATACCAGCAACCGTACCAGCAGGCACATGGACACCAAGGATACCAACAGCCACCTTACCAGCAGGAGCCGTATGCGATGCAATGGCATGGGCGCCGAAGCGCCGGTACGGGGACTCACCCGAGCAGTACAAGCGAGGCATTGGGTAGTTAGTACGGGTGTGATAGCACTGGACGTATGAGTTAGAAGCGGGTTCACACCAACCAAGAAAAGTAAATAATTGGAAATAAAACATGGCACCACTTACCATGTACAGGTCAACGCCGTCAATGTGACAAGCCAATGGTCTAGACTGTCAAGTCTCGGCTCAAACAGTTGGCACCATTGTTTGGGAACAATATCAAACTGACACTAGCTCGGGTTGACACCAAATAAGCTTTGCCGCGCCGCCCAAATACAGCATCGACGATACTTGGCATCATCGCGGGAGCTAATGCAAAGCACTTTGGTATCGAGCCGAGCCACCCTCGCTTTAGCGAAGCCGCAATAATTATCGCCACAGCTGGTATCGGTCCCGTGGAGAGTTCGCCGCCTACTAAAGAGTCAAACGCCTTAGCATGATCAATGCATGCTACCCAGCAACCCAACTCTTCGTGACGTCGTCTTCCCGTCCTTGTAGATGTAGCTGAACACACTCACCACACGCATCTTCGTTTTCAAGGGCACGGGTTCTCCCAGAGATGTGGCCCGACGCTTCTATTGACTCGCGTTGCCCCGCGCTCGAAAAGCACGGGGCAGTCGAGACGGAGATGAAACGACGCCTGGAGCCTCTGTGGCGCTGAGGCAAACTGCCAGTCCGCCGTCGATCGCTCCTTTCCCACTTCATTTACAGAGCAATACGCCCCACATTTCAACCAAAAGTTGCCCGCACTTCGCATTGACATTGCACTACTGTACAAAACTTTCAACGCAGACTCTCCTGAAAAAAGTTCGCAATAGCGGCCCTGCATTGTTGCCAGGCGACTAAACTTGATTATATAACAATTACTATATAAATGTTGTTGTTGTCCAGTATTTGCTAGAAATACATTGGCAAGATTGGCTAACCTTTATCCTTCGGAAGTCATGGCTTGGCGGCTCCACTTTACCATATGCTTACAGTACCTTACGATAAAATACCACTAAAGGTGATCGACGGCGGACCGGATGAGGAGGAACCCCGAGTCAGCACATGGTGAGATCAGACGATGGGGCTGGGGCTTTCAGAAGTGCTTCTACACTAGCCGCCTGGGTTACCTTGCGATATCGAGGTTGCCTTGATTCGCGTTTTGTTTCGCGTGCTGTCTTGTTTCGGTTGTGACCTGTCGGACCTTGATCGATTACCTCCTTAAGGCGGTCGCTCGCTCGTTTGCACTTTGGTTGCTGCTGCACTTCCCCTCGCCGGCTTCTCGTAATACGACCGCATCAATAACACCGTTGAAAATATCGAAATGGACAACAAAACACTCGCCTCGCGCCTACGGGAGCTCGTCAAGGTCGGTACTCGAGTCCAAGTTCAACCTCTCCCAAGTCTCGACCCACGTTACTAACAAGCGCAGTTCCTTGGCACAGTTAAAGGTGACCTCGCGAATGTCACCGGCCCCCCTTCTCTCCTCGCGCCCTCCTCCGTCGTCGAACTAGCCTACTGTTGTGCCGAACGCCCATCCGTCTTCGCTGCCCCTGCTCTCGAACCCAACCCTGAGAACCGCGCGCTCCTCGTCTTGCGCTGGTTTCTCATTACCCTACGCAGCCAGCTCTATGTCGGCGTTGACCACTACACCGCTGTGACAACGGGGACGGCCACGGGTGACGGCACCAAATCCCACAAGGCGCCCACGACCTCGATCCGTAAACCGCTCAACGCCTTCTTGGGCGAGCTATTCCTGGCCTCTTGGGTCGACGAGGCGGCTAAGTGCACGACCAAATTGGTTTCCGAGCAAGTGTCGCACCACCCACCCATCACGGCGATGCACGTACAGGATCACGACCACGGCGTGCGGGCCGACGGGTATACGCGCGTTGAGATGACGTTCAATGGCAACGTCAACATTCGGCAGATTGGGCACGCCACGCTACACATCGACCGCCACGACGAAGATTACCTCCTGCCGCTTCCAGACGTCAAGGTGCGCGGGTTCTTGTCCGGTTGCCTGTACCCGGAGATGTCGGGGACATACCACATCGTCGGCAGTAACGGGTTCATTACGGAGCTTCGGTTCTGGGGCGAAGGTATGCTTCGTGGAAAGCGCAACTCGTTTGAGGCCAAGGTGTACCGCAGCAGGGAGGACAAGGAGAAAAAGAAGGCCGCGCTCTACGAAGTCATCGGGTGCTGGAACGAAGGGTGGACCGTCAAGGACTGCCGAACGGGGGAGGTTCTGGAGAAGTACGAAGTGGACGCTCCGGAGAACGACCCACTGCCGATGAATATCGAGCCCGTCGAGGAGCAAGACCCATGGGAGTCGCGGCGGGCGTGGAAAGGTGTGCTAGAGGGGCTGCGAGCGGGCGACATGCGGCAAGTTGTGGCCGAGAAGACCAAGATCGAGCAAGCACAGCGACAGATGCGGGCCAGTGAGGCGAAACGCGGTGTTGAGTGGGAACCGCTGTTCTTTCGGTCAAGGAATGGCGAGGACCATGGCGTGTTCCATCGGCTGTCAGAGGGTCTTGGCTGGCCGCTGCACCACGACAGGACCAAGGGTGTGTGGAGAGTGGATGACGAACAGTTGAAAAACGCGCAGATGCCGTTCCGGGGTGATTGCACGCCTTTAGGGTACTGAGATGGGGGCTGGTTGATGTGGCGTGTTCTTCAATTTTTATCCATAGCGTGGCGTTGGTGTTGTTTTTGGTTGAACTGTTTTGCGGCGGATCGTCCAATTAGGCAATTGAATGGATGTGCTTACTTCCTCTTGATGGATCCAATTCTATACGGGAAAAGAAATTGAAATTTTCGAGAAAACATTAATTTTTGTTGTGCGGACTCGGGTGAAGCTCGAGGAAGGAGCAATCATATGTAACCCTAACCCTTAACCCCTGGCATCTCTGGATCCACCAACCCTCTCTCTTCATCTGGGCTCGCCCTGAATCCAAGCTCAACCTGCCAACCGACAAAACCTTCCGAGGCCATCTACCCCATCCTCAAAAAACTAACCGGATATCGGAGAATGGATCTCTTCAACATAGCCGAGGCCATTTCCGGTGGTCTTATGCTTGCATCATCCCAGTTTCCACCTACGACGCGGGTTCGCGGCCCAATGGATCGGAAATGGCAATGCGGGTCGCAATCGGGGCCGTGACGGATCCTTCTCTGCCAACGAACATCCGAGAAATATCACGGCTGCGCGTCTCACCTCACCCGATTGCGAATCTCACCCCGAGATGCGTCTGACAAATCATCTCTGAGTGTATTTTCTGCCAAATTTTCCAGCCTCCGTTTGCGCGACCTGGTTGTTTAACCTAGAAAAGACAAGAGAATAACGCCGACTTCTTGACTCCGGGAGTTGAAGTCGACATGAAGGCGTATCGGCTTGCGTCGGGACTGTCTGGCAGCCTCACACGCAGCGCGTATGGCGTGCGGATGACCCGATGGACACCACAACATAGACGAGCGACGGGCGGCCCAGCTCCAACCCAAAACGCGGGGACACCAGCAACAAACGGGAGTGAGAACGGGAATGGAAATGGGAAAGGGACTGGCGGAAAGGGCTGGGGTGCAGCCGCAACAGCGGCTGTTATAGGGGCCGTCGGCTTTGGTGCAGGCGTACTGTTCACGAGACATAGTCCGGATAAGGAATCGCCAACACCCCGCTCCGAACCCATAGACACGACGGCGACAACTGACCGACCCCCATACGCCAGCCCCGCCGAGATGCTAGTAGCCGCGAAGGAAATCGCCCAGCTGCTCGGCGAGGACGCAGTGACCTACGACCCTGAGGTGCTCGAGCACCACGGACACTCGGACTGGTCAACATCCAACTCGCCCGGCCGCGCGGTGGCCGTCGTGTACCCAAGGTCGACCGAGGACGTGTCGGCCATCGCGCGCATCTGTCACGGCCGAAACGTGCCGATGGTGCCGTTCGGTGCCGGATCGAGCATCGAGGGCAACTTCTCGCAGCCGCACTCGGGCATCTGCATCGACTTTGCCTACATGGATAAGATCATCGCGTTTCACCCGGACGACATGGACGTAGTAGTGCAGCCGGGGGTCAACTGGATGGACCTGAACCGGCAGATCGCGGACAGCGGCCTGTTTGCGCCCATGGATCCCTCGCCGACGGCCAGCGTGGGCGGGATGATCTCGACCAACTGCTCCGGCACCAACGCCTTTCGCTACGGCACGATGAAAGACTGGGTGCTCAACCTAACGGTGGTGTTGGCCGATGGGACCGTCATCAAGACGCGACGGCGCCCGCGCAAGACCTCGGCCGGGTACAACCTGACATCGCTCTTCGTGGGCGCAGAGGGCACACTGGGGATGGTCACGGAAGCCACGCTCAAGCTGGCTCCCATCCCGCAGGACACTAGCGTGGCGGTCGTTCCGTTCCCGACGATTCGCGCAGCTGCAGCCGCTGCGACGGCCATGATCCGATCGGGCATCCAGCTCGCCGCGCTCGAAATTATGGACGAGCAGCAGATGGCCATCCTCAACGCGTACGGTAGCCCGACCGTCCGCAAGCGCCACTGGGCCGAGCAGCCGACCTTGTTTCTCAAGTTCTCCGGCACCACTGACGCGATTCGCTCCGACATTGCCCGGATCGACGCCTTGTTACAGGCTCTCCCAGCAGCCGATTCAACACCAGACAATACTACCCCAACTACAACAACCGCGGAAGCCGCAGCAGAAACAGCAGCAGAAGCACCAGCAGCAACAGCAACAGCAGCCATCCCCTTCCACTTCGCCCGCAGCAAGCAAGAAGAACACGACCTCTGGGCCGCCCGCAAGGAAGCCCTCTTCACCATGACCTCGACGCGCCCCTCCGGCCATGCAATGTGGTCCACCGACGTAGCAGTCCCCATCTCCCGCCTCGCCGAAATGGTCGATTGGTCCAAAGCCGAGTGCAGTCAACTCGGCATCTTTGCCAGCGTCGTCGGCCACGTCGGCGACGGCAACTTCCATGTGGCCATGACGTACGACCCTGCGGATGCGGTGCAAGCGGAGGCTGTCCGGCGGTGTGTGCATCGCATGATGGACCGGGCGCTGGAGATGGAAGGGACGGTGAGTGGGGAACATGCGATTGGGATTGGGAAGAAGGCGTGTTTGGTGGATGAGCTGGGGGTGGAGACGATTGGGGTGATGAGGAGGTTGAAGAAGGCGGTGGATCCGAAGGGGGTGATGAATCCGGGGAAGGTGTTTGACTGACGATAGAGAGAGGGTGGGTGAGGAAGACAAGAGAAGAGGAAGATAGACAGGAGGAAGGATAACGGCTTAGGTATTTTGGACAGCAATGCTAGACAACGGATACAAAAAAAGACAAACCCCAGGTTTAACACCTCATACCACCAACACTTTTACACTCCCTCATCACCACGCAACACCTCCGCGGCGATCGCCCTGCCAGCTGCCCGCCCAGAAAAGATACACCCCCCCAAGAAGGTCCCCTCCAACGAACTATACCCATGCACACCCCCACCCCCAAACCCAGCCGCCTCGCCCGCAGCATACAATCCGGGGAACACACTTCCATCCTCCCGCATAGCAGCACTATCCAGATTCGTCTCAATGCCCCCCAGCGTCTTGCGCGTCAGCAGGTTCATGCGCACAGCAATCAACGGGCCGTGGTTCGCCGTGTCCAGCAGCCGATGTGGCGCTGCGATGCGGCTGCGGCGGTCCGACCAGTAGGTGCGCGCGCTGTGGATCAGCATGGCCTGCGCGTCCTTGGAGAAGGTGTTGGCGAACTGCCCGTCGCGGGTCTCGATGACGTTGCGGATCGCGGCGAGGTCGAGTTGGGGAGCGCCGGGTACGGATGCGATCAGCTCGTTCATACCCTTGACGAGGTCCTCCAGGTTGTCGCGGACGACGAAGTCGGCGCCGTGCTGGACAAAGTTCTGCACGGGGATGGTGCCCTTGGAGCTGAAGATGCGCTGCTTGAGGACTTGCCAGATGGATTTGCTTGTGATGTCTGGGTTCTGCTCCGAGCCGGACAGCGCAAACTCACGCGCCACGATGGACTGCGTCGTAATGAACCAGGTGTAGTCGTAGCCCGTGCGGCAGATGTGCTGCAGCGTCGCCAACGTGTCGCAGCCGGGGAACAGAAACGGAGGGAGTCGCTTGCCCGTAGCGTCCAGCCAGAGCGACGATGGGGCCGGGAGCACGCGAATCCCGTGGCCCGGCCAGATCGGGTTCCAGTTCGCCAGCCCCTCGGTGTAGTGCCACATGCGGTCGCGGTTGATGATGTGTGCTCCCGCAGTCTCCGAGATGTCGATCATGCGGCCGTCGACGTGCGCCGGCACGCCAATGACAAAGTTCTTCGGCACATGGCCGCCCAACCGGTCGACTGGCCAGCACGCCTTGACTTTCTCGACGTTCCCGCCGATCCCGCCCGACGACACCAGCACGGCCGCACCACGAATCTCAAACTCCTCCACCACCTTCCGCGACGACTTGACGCCGCGCGGGGCATCGTCCTCCTCCAGCAGCCGGCCCTTGACACCTACCGCCCGCCCCGTCTTGTCGTCCACAATCACCTCGTCCACCATGTGCCGATGCCGAAACTCAACAATCCCCTTCTTCTCCGCCTCTTTCACCGGTTCTGCAAACACCCGCACCACCTCCGGGCCCGTACCCCACGTCATATGGAACCTAGGTACCGAGTTCCCATGCCCATCCGCGCGTCCATCCCCACGCTCCGCCCACCCAACATTCGGCATGAACCCAAGCCCGCGGGCCTTGACGTACTTCTCCATCTCGTCCGTAGCGAAATGCACAAACGCCTCGGCCCATTTACGCGGCCAGTAGTCCTCCTTCTCGCGATCGAACCGCGCCGACCCGAACCAGTCGCGCATCGCCAGCTCGCGGGTGTCGCGGATGCCCGCGCGCCGCTGCTCTGTCGAGTCGACGCAGAACAGTCCGCCGAGCGACCAGAAGGCTTGGCCGCCGAGGTTGGCCGCGTTTTCTTGGTCGAGGACGAGCGTGGGAACGTTTTGCTGGGATAGCTCGAAGGCCGCGACCAGGCCGGCGAGGCCGGCGCCAACGATGATCACCGGCTGTTTGTCGGCCATGGTGGTGAGGTATGAACGGTTGTTAGGTCTGATTGAGGTTCAATTGAGGGGGTGTTGTCGAGTCGAGGAGAGAACCGTGCGACGAAACGGTTTACCGAGAGGAAGGAGGGGTCAATCTGGTTCTAGCAAACAGGCACGGTTAGTCCGTGAATTGGAGACACAACGCGGGGTTTGGGAGACAAACCTTGACGGGAGGATTGTCCTTGTGGTAGCCAGCAGTGACGAAACTCCGTCCACTGCGGCCGACCGCAAAAGGACAAAGGAAAGCGTCGGGCCATTGCCGGGAGCCTCGGTTCAATTGCAGTGCATTGCATGTCCAAGGTTGCGTGCAAGTCAGCAAGTGCCCCGCGTGACGCAGCGGTGGTTGGAGTTGCCGTGTTGGGGAAGAAGGGCCGGCTTCTGCCAGCTGTCACTGGCTGCTTCGTGTGGGGTTAAAGTTGGGCCCGTGCGCGCTCCCGACCCCTGACCCACAGTTGAACACCGCCAAAAGGAAGAGATAGAAATTGAAGACCTCGGGAGCAAGGCGATGCCTTTGACTGTCCGTGCATCAAATTTATGTAGATTTGGCTGAGTTTGGAGGAAGGGAAGAGAAGCAGAAAAGAATAATTGTAACATCTGATTGGGAAAAGCAAGTAATGCACACTTTATGAGAATTACTAATTAAGCATTTGTCAAGAAACACGACAAAATAAAAACAGAACTAAATCACAATAAATATATATTTTTATACATTAAACTGGTCAAGAGAAACAACGTGAAGAACTTAGCACTCGGAGGACCAATAACATTTCGATATTATTCACAAGATTTTATTACTTTCTCAGTTTTCTTTAGGTTGGCTTTCCAATTTTATATTTGTGCAAGTGTGAGTTGGTTGCCCGCCCGGATGACACGCAACGAGTGGATGGGAGCAAATAGTGGCTCCCACTTCATGAATCACGAACAACACTGCCCCAAATATATTATTTGCCTGCGCTACAAGCCCGTGTACCCAAGGCGACAAGAGCTGCAGTCTTGAATATGTACGTAGGTATTAGAATAAAAATTAAGTGTACGAATACCGTCACACACACCAACCCCCTTTAACATCATCTGCTTATTTTCTAAGCAAGCAGGACAGCGGCCCACCCCAAAACCGCGGCAACCACCACACTGCTCGCAACCCCCAACGCACCCGCCGCATTATCCGGCCCAGGCGCGTCGGCCTCCGTCTTACCGCACAACCCGGTGCCCTTGAGCAGCGACTCCGGCACATACACCTTCGGTTCACCCTTGGCCATGTACATGGTCACATTGCCCGTGACATCAGCCGTGTTGCTCTTGCATCCCAACACCTCAATAACCTTATCATTCGCCGAGAACCCGCCGACGCTGACCTCGTAGCTGTCGCCTTCGCTGCTCTTGTTGTTGATGCAGAACACCACCTGGCTGCCGTCGGGCCCCTTGCGCAGGCAGAGGTGATTGACGTCGGACCAGAGGGTGGTCGACATGGTGGTGGCGTATTTCTCCGGGGAGGCCTTGATGGCGGCGTTGCGGACTTTGTTCAGGGTCGCGGTCAGGACGTACAGCGGGGCTTCTGTGTTGTAGCCCGACGACCAGAGCGGCTCGCGGTTGAAGGGTGTGCTGTTGCCCTTGAAGTGCTGTTCCTGACCCTGGTAGACGGTCGGGATGCCGTCGTTGAGGAGAATATAGGTCATGGCGTTGCGAGCGAGGGCGATGTCTTCGTTTTGGCTGGCAAAGCGGGGCATGTCGTGGTTCTCGAGGAAACTGCCGAGGGCGGTGGTGTCGTTGCAGGCGGACTCGGCCTGGTTGCGCATGCTGGCGAGGTCGGTCATGGAGCCGCCCAGGAAGGCCGCGTTGAGGGGGTAGTACTCGAGGTAGTTGGGCATGCCGGGGAGGAGGTTGAGGGTCTGGTATCGGCACATGTCGCCGGGGACGCCGGTGAGGACCTCACCGAGGGCGAAGACGCCGGAGGATTTGACGAAGGCGGGGAGGAACTCGTCGTTGACGTGCTTGGCGGCGTCGATACGGATGCCGTCGATGGAGTAGTTGGAGACGAGGCCCTTGACCCAGCGGCCGAGCTCGTCGACCACGGGCTGGGATTCGGTGTCCAGGTCGGCCAGGGCCACGCCGTAGGGGTACAGCCAGCAGTCCTGGTAGTTGGTCGAGTTCTCCCACTCGGTCACGTTGCAGTACGGGTGGAAGTACTTCTGGTCATTGAAGGGGTCGAACTTGGTGTAGTCGATCTTGGGCGGGACCTTGTTGTCGAAAGGTTGCACCATGTTGTTGACCACGACGTCCACCATCAGCAACATGTCGCGCTTGTGCACGGCGGCGACAAGGTCCGAGAAGTCGCTCTCCGTGCCGAAGTGAGGGTTGAGCGCGTAGTTGTCGAGGGACCAGTAGCCGTGGTAGGCCTCGCCGACGGCCGTGTTGCCCTCCATGTTCTTGACCACGGGGCTAATCTGGATGGCCGTAAAGCCCATGTCTAGGAAAGTTAGTCTCGTCTGATCCATTTTTCTCGTCTGATCTACCCGCCATGACGGGCTGTAACAAGCTGTCGGCAGGCTGGTATGGTAACACAAGCAACTCACCCTGGATGTAGTCGAGCTTGTTCACGAGCCCCTTCCACGATCCGCCGCAGAACTTGGACACGTCGCACTCCGCGTCGGTCGAGCCATCGGTGCGCGCAAAGCGGTCAATCATGACCTGGTAGATGGACCGCGTCTTCCATTCTGCGAGGTCCGTCGCCGAGACAGCGCCGGCAAACGCCAGGGCCGAGGCGGCCACGGCGCGGAGCACCGAAGACCTCATTGTTCGGGTTTCGTTGCTATTGTATAACTCACTCGGGGCTGAGAAGGCAACGGGTAGCAAGCAAGCAGGGCGTGCAGGCGGGCGTGTGCGTGTTTCCGCTTCCGCTGCAAACAGGGGCTAAGACGGGGAAACAGGGGAAGGGAAAGTGACTCGACTGGTTCTTGTAAGGTCGAACTCAGAGGGTCAAACAAGAACAAGCAAAAGACTCCTCGGAACGGCCGGTTCGTCCGGTGTGTGGCCTCTATTCAGCGAATGACTAGGGTTGGATGTGCAAAAGAGGCCGTTGACGTCCTCCTCGAGTGATACGGGGAAGGATACAGGAACGATAGACAAGAACCAGGAAACAAACGAGTGTGGAGGGGTGTCAATCGTCGAAGTCAACGGAACGGACGGGCGGTTGGCGGTTGAACGGGTGGAATGCCAGTCCGGGGGTGAGTGATTGCAGTCCCCCAGGCAAGATGCTGCAAGGCACCGGCCGGTGGTACGCTTGACATGCCATGCCGATGCTGTCCCCCACCTCTTCTCCCCCAATTCTCGGTTTCTCTTTTCTTTCTCTTCTCGTGTCCTCTCATCATACCCCTTGCCGTGCTCCGTAACGCGTTGGGGATGGCCCGCCCAATGGCCGCGGTCCGTCCACGGAACCATGGCCGAGGTCACAACCGATGTCCACACACCTCGCCCCTCGCGCGCTTTCTTCCCACAGTTTCTGCAAATTCGTCCATGCCGCAACGTCTCGTCAAAGGAACATCCCGGGCATAGGCTGCGGCCGCGGGATTCTTCCACGCTTTGGGAAACGGCAAATCACTGGTTTGGACGGCCTCGGGTTGACGGGTGGAGATAACGGTCAAAGTTCCTGGCTAGACCGGGAGCACCGGGACAGTGGACTGGCCCCTTTCGGGCGTCCGACTGGTGTCCGACTCGTGTTGTTTTCCAAATTTACCAGCCCTTGACTAAGTCGGGCTAATGGAGCAAAACGGAAGGAAAAAATGCCAATTTAGATACTCGTGTAGAGATCTCCTGCTGTCACGATCGACCTTGCCTGTTTATACACTACACTGCTCAAGGTTAACGTTAACATGGACGTTGCCTCTCGGGCTCAGAGACCTAACCGAGAAAAGCAAGGGAAAAGCAAGAAAAGGGGTGAGGTTGGGACGAGTCGAAACGCGCCGCGTTATCGAAGCGCCCCTTTCGTCACAGCTGGTTATCGCAGCACCTGCAGATTTTAATAAGCTCTGGCGAACCAGGAGTCGGGAGATTTTGAGGTCGCGCTGGCACGGGCTGGCGTTGACAAAGAGGCTGATCAGTGATCAGTGGGAGTCGGTGGGAGTGGCTAGGCCGCCAGAGACACGTCCCACCTGTCCCAGCCGGACAGGGGTTGGGTTCGATCTCCCGATGTTCGATTTCCATCCGACCTTGGCGCACAGGCTAGGGGCATTTTAGTTTTTTTTCCTCCTGCTGGAATGGCTGGAATGGCCCGCTATCGCGTGCGCAGAACAGGGATACAGGCTGCGTCAAGTGGGTCCAGATAAGGTCCAGAGCGGGAGACTGGGGGGTGGGGCCAGAAGCATTTTCAGGCACCGCCAATCGTGGCCAGTCATGGAGGGTCCTCTTTTACGAAGAACACCACACAACAACCCCCCACCGACCAAACGGAACCTCTTGTCGGTACTTCGGCCGTTTCGCCCTCGTCGCGGAACCCCTGGATTGGTCAGGGGGTGGCGGGATCAAGCGACGAAAATGAGAGAATGAAAGAAATGTCATTGATGTTGGGCATGGCGGATGCTAAATAGTAAGTGCTGAACTCGGGCAATCGGAGTGCAATTGACCTTAAGGTTACCCACGCCGTGGCCCCCGCGCGGGAGATGGACAACAATTGCAAACGATCAGCGCACGGGGGGTTTCGCCCGTCTTTCTCGCATCCCCCCCATGGCTGACCGATCGATCCCAGTCTCCACGTATTAACCCGGTTCCTTTTGTCGACTTTGTTTTTTTTACACCCCCGCTCTCTTGTTACGACAAAGCCGACGCCTCGTATCCAGGAACTGGGTCGTGGACCCGGGGGCACCGGCGCTGCCCGAGAACGCCGAACTGCTAAAAATGCTCGAGAATGTTCATGCGATGGGGTTCGTGGCGGCGAAAAAGTAGCCGCGCAGCTCCACCGCGACCCGGCGTGCCAGTGCAAGTTTTTGCACCGCGGTCCCCGTTTGCCTTGCCGTTTTCGACATGGGATGCTTGGGACTCGATGTCCGTTCCTGCTGCTGTCCAACAAGTAAACCGTAAACCACTGGACGTCGACTGCCCAAACTGCTGAAGCGAAGCGCCGTCGCCCCAAGAAAGCTGGGATCAGCGCATGCGAGTTCCCGAAGATACAGGACACGGCGGTGACAGCCTACCCGGCCGTGGAGGGGAAAGGGGGAATGAAGGACGGGGGGGCCGGGCATGGTATGTACATACCAGCCGTCCGTCCGATTGTATTCCGCACTTGGCCAAGGGGCTGTGGCAAACGGCGATAGTGACAATGAGCAGATAACGTTCCATGCCGGCCAACCCACAGACCCCATCACTAACTACACTAATGTACCCTGCAAGAGGTTGCTGGCGCCGTTTTGATCCTCACACGCCTGGCTAACTTATCAGGAAACAGGAAACAGGAAAAAAAACCCGTATTCCGGCACGACGGCATCACCGTTCTCGCCGTTCTACCCGTTCTGGCCGTGCTCCCCGTTCGGGTCGTTGACTCGTTCTGGCCAGACACAGACCGATGACATCCTGGCAGACACCATCACCCATGGGACTGATAGGCTCCGCCGTGGCCCTCAACCCCCTCGGCGCTCCGAGATGGGCGGGTCAAGGACGTTGAGAACTCGTTTAGCCAGACTCCATCCAGCCCGGCCCGGAGATTCTCTCAGTCCCTGACTCCCTCACAGGGCGAGCCCAGAAGAGGGTCCAGACACACGAAGTGAAGCAAGCCACCTCCTCCCGACAGCCTACCCACCCGCTTGCCGCGTTCGTGGGGTTGCCGGTTGCCGCAGGGGACAGGGGCTGCATGGGAAAGCAAGCTACTGATGGGTTCGAGTCGAAGCTGTGCATCTGTGCCTTGTCTGCATTCTAATCTTCCTCCTCTCCATCACCATCACCCGTCTCGTGACACCCATCGTCCGTCGTTGCTGTTGTTGCTGGCTGTCGTTGTCTTTGTGGTTGACACCATCGTCTCTCGCTCCATGTGTTTGGCCTCGTAGCGCTGTGTGGCCCTTGTCTTTCGTTTTTTACTTTCTCTCTCGTTTATTGCTCTCTCTCTTTTTTCCAGCGCTCTAGTCTCTCGTTTTTCTTTTTGCCTCGAGTCGCTCCCCATGAGAGGCGGGCGACTGTGAACGATGCCTCGCCCGTCTTTCGTTTCCTCCTCCTCCGGCGGCCGGCTGCTCCACATCCTCCTCCTCACTCTCGCTGCAACAACAACGACCTTCGTGTCGGCCCTACGGTTCGATGCCAGCCAAGTCGACTACAACCTCAACCGCAACCGCACAGCCACCAACCCGCTCGACTACTGGGGGTCACGGCAAGATGACGAGCCAGACTTCAAGTACGCCGAGTCGCCGACCAACTGGCGGATGCCGTTCTATACGATATTCCTGGACCGGTTTGTGAACGGGAATCCAGCGAATGACGATATCAATGGGACGATGTACGAGTCCGATTTCATGAGCACGCAGCTCCGGTTCGGTGGGGACCTGGCTGGGTTGAAGGACTCGCTGGATTACATTGAGGGCATGGGTGTCAAGGTAAATCGGTTGGGTTGGGGTTGTGTGTGATGTAAAGGGAGGATGCTGACTTAGCTAGGCTGTTTACATTGCTGGCTCGCCATTCATCAACTTGCCGTGGGGTGCCGATTCGTACTCGGTAGGTTCTGACATCACTGACTGTAAACCACTTGCTTATTCTGCCATACTAATGCCGCTATGTTAGCCCGTCGACTTGACGCTTCTCGATAAGCACTATGGTGACATCAAGGCATGGCAAGAGGTCATCGACGACATCCACTCCCGGGGGATGTGGGTAGTGATGGACAACACGATGGCGACGTAGGTCTTTTCTCTCATATTTATTTTACTTATTTATTTATTTATTATTTGTGGCCTAACACCCCACAGGATGAGCGACTTGATCGGCTTCCAAGGCTACCTCAACACGAGTACACCCTTCCAAACAGCAGAACACAAGGTCGAGTGGAAGACATCACGGCGGTACCTTGACTTCGACATCGGCAACGAGTACAACGCGTCGTGTGAATATCCGCAGTTCTGGTACGAGGACGGCACGCGCATCTACCCCGACGGCCTGAAGGGTTGCTACGACTCAGACTTCGACCAGTACGGTGACGTCGAAGCGTTCGGTGTGTTTCCCGATTGGCAACGTCAACTGGCCAAGTTCGCGTCCGTCCAAGACCGTCTCCGTGACTGGGAGCCGTCCGTTGCTGCGCGCCTGCAGCGGTTCTCGTGCATGACGATCCGCATGTTAGACGTCGACGGGTTCCGTATCGACAAGGCCGTGCAGGTGACGGTTGACGCGCAAGCGGCGTTCAGCACGGCGATGCGGGATTGCGCGCGGGAGGTTGGCAAGGAGAACTTTGTGGTGTTTGGGGAGATCACCAGTGGCAACGACCTGGGTTCGGTGTACCTCGGCCGCGGGCGGGAGTCCAAGGCCACTCGGGCAATCGGGGACTGGACCAAGGCGATCGCGTTGACACCCCCTGAGACGGCCGATGAAGGCGGTCAGTGGCTACGCGACAAGGGCCACAGCGCCTTGGACGCTGGAGCGTTCCACTACTCGGTGTACCGGTTTATGACGCGGTTCCTGGGCCTCCAAGGCAATCTCGAAGCGGGCCACGACCTGCCGCTGGACTGGGTGGATGCCTGGCACCAGATGGTGCAGAGCAACGACTTCTTCAACCCGAACAACGGCGAGTTCGACCCGCGGCATCTCTACGGCGTGACAAACCAGGACGTGTTCCGGTGGCCGGCGATCGAACAAGGCGTGGAGCGCATGCTGCTGGGATATTTCATCACGACGCTACTAATGCCGGGAGCGCCGCTAGTGTACTACGGCGAGGAGCAGGCGCTGTACGCTCTCGACGGCACGGCGTCCAACTACGTGTACGGGCGACAGGCGTTTGCCCCCTCCCCGGCGTGGAAGGCGCACGGGTGCTTCCAGTTGACGATCGATCAGTACCTCGGGTGGCCAGTCAGCAAAGGGCGCGAGGCATGCCATGACGAGGCCGTGGCGTGGGACCATCGCGACCCGTCGGCGCCGCTGCGCAACATCTTCCGACACATGTTTGCGCTACGGGAGAACTTACCGGTGCTACAGGACGGCTGGCTGCTGGAGAACCTGGCCAAGCAGGTCGACCTGGTGGCCATCAACGGCAGCGCGACCAAGACGGAAGTCGGCATCTGGAGCGTGGCGCGTGGGTTGTACACGCCCGTGCAGAACGGTACAGACAAGCCGGTGTGGCTCGTGTATCACAACCGGCCGACTCAAAAGACATACAAGTTTGACTGCGGCAAGAAGGACGAGGCGTTTATCGCACCGTTTGACGACGGCGCCAAGGTACAGAACCTGTTTAGTACGAGCGAAGGCGACGACGAGCCGCTTACCCTCGAGCCCTCGGCGCGCACGACCGACTTTACGAGCAGCGGGAAAACGGCCGGGTGCGTGAGCAGCATCACCCTCGAGCCGTTCGAGTTCCGGGCGTACGTCGAGACGGAACGCTGGGTACAGCCAGCGCCGATGATCACGCGGTTCGAGCCGGGCCACGATTTCCCGATGGACGCGACGGATCGCGAGGGGTCGATCGACATTGCGATCGAGTACAACGTTGAGATGGACTGTGACTCGGTCAGCAAGGCGCTGTCGGCGATAGTGACGGTGGACGGTACGAAGGACCCCAGCGAGGTCAAATTCGACACGCCGAAGTGCAACAAGAATACAGCAGTGAGCAAGAACAAGAACAAGAAGATCCCGTACACAGGCGCGATCCAGTCGAGCTGGCGGCTTGAGACCACGCTGCGTAACGTTCCCGACGGCATCGTCAAGGTCAGCGTCGCCAGCAACGCAACCACCAAAGCAGATGCCTCGGTGTCGACCAGCGCAACGGACCACTTCCTCATCCGCTTCGGCCGCGGGACCAACCCGGTGGTATTTCCCGCATCCAACTACTCCCGCGAGCTGCTCTCCATGGAGGGCTCAACCATGTACGTGCAGCACAACGCAGCAGGCGCCACACACTGGCGGTACAGCACCAACTGGGCGTCCTCGTGGAGCGACTGGATCCCATACGACTCCGCCAACCCCCGCTCAAAGCTCACCAAGCTCCCCTGGAAGGGCACCGGCCTGCAGGAGTGGACGGGCGACCACCTGACGGTGCAGTACTACAGCCGGCCGCTAGGGTCGTCCGCATTCATGCAGCACTCCGACAGCGGCGACATCGTGTACGAGCGTGGGTTCCCGCACATCCGCATCCACGGGCCCTACAACAAATGGGGCTACGACGCGGGGTTGCCGGGTTCCATGGATCTCGTGGGTCATCGGCAGTGGTCGCTTCACTTCATGTACGAGTGGCCGGCTGCGTTCCAGCTGAATATCTGGGGTATCAACCCTGATAACCAGCCTGACGTGGGGGCTATCTACGGGGATATCGATAACGATGGTATTGTCGACCGGTTGCCGCCGAGCAGTCTGACCGAGAACGTGATCAACATCACCAAACCACCACCGATGCCCGCGTTGGCGTACCAGCTGGTGTACAACGATGCGACATGGCAGTTTGAGTACATCCCCAGCGGGCATGTGGGCATTCAGATTGTGCTGTTCATCCTGTTGGCCGTGCTGCCGGTTCTGACAGCGGTGCTGGCCGGGTGGGTGTACATGCGCAGTTTCTACCAGGTCAAGGTCAACAAGTCCGGATTCACGGCCAAGGGATGGGTGCCGTTGGGGCTGTCGAAGCTCGACCTGAAGGCGTTTGGCAGCGGGAAGAGCAAAGGGGGCGTCGAGATGAACGCTATGTCGCCTAGCCCCCCCTCAAGCACCATCATTCCCGTTAATGGTGCTGCTGTTGGTGCTGGCGCTGCTTTGGGCGCAAAGAAGCGCACCGTCCTAATCGCGACGATGGAGTACAACATGGACGACTTCGGCATCAAGATCAAGATCGGCGGTCTCGGTGTCATGGCCCAGCTGATGGGCTCAGCCCTCTCGCACATCGATCTGATCTGGGTCGTTCCCGTGGTCGGCGACGTCGACTACCCGACCGACCGCATGACGCGCGCCGAGTCCATGTTCGTGCAGGTCATGGGCCAGCCCTACGAGATCGAGGTGTACTACCACACAGCCAAGAATATTACTTTTGTCCTCCTCGACGCCCCCATCTTCCGCAAGCAGACCAAGGCTGACCCCTACATCGCCCGCATGGACGACATCGAGAGCGCCATCCTGTACGCCGCCTGGAACAGCTGTATCGCCGAGACCATCCGCCGCTTTCCCGTCGATGTGTACCACATTAACGACTATCACGGAGCTGCGGCGCCCTTGTACCTGCTCCCGCAGACGATCCCTTGCTGTCTGTCGCTGCACAACGCCGAGTTCCAGGGCATGTGGCCGATGCGTACCCCTGACGAGGCCAAGGAAGTGTGCGACGTGTTCAACTTACCCCCCGATGTGGTCAAGGACTACGTGCAGTACGGCTCAGTCTTCAACCTGCTCCACGCGGCCGCGAGCTACCTGCGCATCCACCAGCGCGGATTTGGCGCTGTGGGTGTCTCTCGGAAATACGGCGACCGTTCCCTCGCTCGCTATCCTATTTTCTGGAGTCTCAAGAACATCGGCCAGCTGCCCAACCCGGACCCCTCCGACACGGCCGAGTGGGACCCCAGCAAGGACGTCGCGAAACAATCCGACGCCCACGGCATCGACGTAGACCAGAGCTTCGAGGAGAAGCGCGCCGACCTGCGACGACAGGCACAAGAATGGGCCGGGCTGGAAGTCGACCCCTCAGCCGAGCTGTTCGTCTTCGTCGGCCGTTGGAGTCTCCAGAAGGGCGTCGACCTGATCGCCGATATCTTCCCCAGCATTCTGGCCAAGTATCCCAAGACCCAGCTCATCTGCATCGGCCCCGTCATCGACCTGTACGGCCGCTTCGCCGCGCTCAAGCTGCAGAAGCTGATGGACATGTACCCCAAGCGCGTCTTCAGCAAGCCTGAGTTCACCCAACTTCCCCCTTATATCTTCTCGGGCGCCGAGTTCGCCCTGATCCCATCCCGTGATGAGCCCTTCGGCTTGGTCGCCGTCGAGTTCGGCCGCAAGGGCGCCCTTGGTGTGGGTGCTCGCGTCGGTGGATTGGGTCAGATGCCCGGGTTCTGGTATACCGTCGAGTCCATGACACCTTCGCATCTGCTACAGCAGTTCAAGCAGGCTATTGTGTCCGCGCTGGACTGCAAACCCTCCAAGCGTGCCCTGATGCGCGCCTGGAGTGCGAAGCAGCGCTTCCCCGTAGCGCAGTGGGTCAAGCAGCTCGACGAGCTGTACGCCGAGTCCATCCGCATCCACAACAAGGAGGCCCGTAAGCGCAAGCTCGACGCCCTGCGCCCGCCCAGTCCCAACCCCTCCCGCCCATCGTCCCGGCCTACCTCCCCTCGCCCAGCTTCGCCAGCCAGCACGACCACCTACGTTGACGGGGCAAACCCCTCCTCACGCACCGCTTCGCCCGCTCCCAATACCCGCGGACTAATGACCCCTGACCTACCCAGCCCGTCCGCGCCTTGGTTAACAGCGCCCAAACTCCCCGGCTCCTCACCGCGCGACTCCACCGCCAGCTCCATCGCAGAGAGCATTTATGGCGCCGGTGGCGGTCTCCACGGCGCACGCGACAGCACCCTCAGCGTCGACAGCTTCGCCGTGCGCGCCCAACGCGACGGTACCATCTCCCCTGGCCCGGGTCTCGCTCCTCCCGGTGCCGCTGGTACTTCCCTCGGAGGCGGTCTCGCCCCCCCTCGACCGGCCCACATGCTCGGCCAAAGCCACCGCAACAGCAGCCTGCTCAGTCTCCCCGACGTCGTCGGCGACCGGCACGATCTCAAGCTCCAACAGGTCGACCAGTTCTTCAACGATGCCCACGGCGAGTACTTCGCCATGTACGAAGAGATGCTCGACGGCCACGGCCCCGCCGGCAGTGGCCTAACCCCGCAGAACTCGGCCACTGACCTGTGCATCGAGACGTTCATCAAGAAGAGCGAGAAAGAGTGGTTTTCACGGTATCGCGAGGCGAAGCTCGGCAGGCCGCACTCGAAATTCATGGGTACGGGTAGCGCGAGTAGCCCGACGAGTCCTGGCGGGAGCAGGCCGCAGTCGAGGAATGGATCGGCAAGGAATGAGTCAGTTGTCAGTCGCGGGCGGCAGAGACATCGGAGTATGACGCCCAGTAGTATGATTGGAAGGTCGGTGTTTGGGGAGTCGCCTCCGGAGGAGGAGAATCATGTGGATGATGAGTTCTTGTTGGGTGAGGGGTATCAAGCGCCCACGGGGTTGAAAAAGTGAGTTTTAATCTCTCTCCCTTACCCCTTTTCTTTTCCTTTCCCCTTTTCCCCTGTTGCTAACAATGAACAACGTAGAATCCTCTCCATCCGCCTCGGCGACTGGCCCCTCTACTCCATGCTCCTCGCCCTCGGCCAAGTCATTTCCGTCTCCTCGTACCAAATCGTCCTGCTCACCGGCGAGACCACCCAGACCCCCGAGAAACTCTACATGGTCGCCGGCACCTACCTCGTGACCTCTCTCCTCTGGTGGGCCCTCGAGCGCAACGCCAAATCTGTCTATGCCCTGTCCGCGCCGTGGTTTTTCTTTGGGTTTGCCTTCTTGATGATTGGTGTTGCGCCGTTTATCCCGGATTGGAGGGTTGCGAACAAGATTGAGGACGCTGCGACTTGCTTTTATGCGGCTGGTGCTAGCAGTGGCGCCTTGTCGTTTGCCCTGAATTTCGGTGATGAGGGTATGTTCTCTCTCTTCCTATCTGTCTCTCTCTTTGCGGCAAGATCTTTTCTAACACAAAAATAGGCGGCGCTCCCACCAAACAATGGATCACACGCGCCCTGACCGTCTCCGGCTTCGCCCAAGTCTACAGCATCGGCCTCTGGTACTGGGGCTCCATCGTCGCCAACATGGACCCCACAGCCACCGTCTTCGTCGGCACCTCCAACATCCCCCAAGCCATCGTCGTCGGCGTACCCCTCGCCATCCTCTTCTGGGCTGTCGGCGTCGTCCTCTACCTCGGCCTCCCCGACTTCTACCGCCAATCCCCCGCCACCATCCCAGGCTTCTACATCTCCCTCTATCGCCGCAAACTCGTCCCCTGGTTCTTCGTCATGATCATCCTCCAAAACTACTGGCTGTCCGCCCCCTACGGCCGCTCCTGGCAGTTCCTCTTCGATACCCAGCACGTCCCCGGTTGGGGCATCTTCATCCTCGCCCTCGGCTTCTACTGCGGCCTCTGGGCCCTCGTCCTCTACGCCTTCTCCTACTACTCCGACGAACACACCTGGTTACTCCCCATCTTCGCCATCGGCCTGCTCGCCCCGCGCTGGGCCCAGGAATTCTGGGGCACCAGCGGCATCGGGTGGTATCTCCCCTGGGCCGGCGGACCCGTCGGGTCAGCCATCGTCTCGCGCTGTCTGTGGTTGTGGCTGGGTCTGCTGGATAACATCCAAGGCGTCGGGTTGGGGATGTTGTTGCTGGCGACGCTGACGCGGCAGCATGTGTTGACGGTGTTGATTGGTGCGCAGGTGGTGGGGAGCGCGTTTACGATGTTGGCGCGCGCGACGAGTCCCAACTCGCTGTCGCCGCATACGACTTTCCCGGATTTCTCGCAGGGGGTGATGCCGGGGGTGGCGAGCCCGTTCTTTTGGGTGTGTTTAGGCTTTCAGTTGATCATTCCCATTGGGTTTTTTAAGTTTTTCCGCAAGGAACAGGTGTCGAAGCCGTAGTTTTTTGTTGTTGCTTTCTTTCCTGGTGCTATTTTTGGATTGGACTTTGGAGTTGATGGTGCATATAGAATGGAGCGTAATTATGGACTTATGTATGTAATGTACGGACTCGGTGGATATAATTGATACAAGATAATTATTCAGCTGCCCAGCAAGTGTCTCGGCCCAAACAACTGAGCTTAAAAAATGAATCAGTCGCCTAAAAATAAGACGCATGGCCCATCTACGCTAGACCTGTGAACCCGGGAACTTAGACCTGAGAAGACAAAAAGAACATCTACTCGGATACCGGGAGTCGAACCCGGGGCTGTTGAGAAGCAGGCACTTCTGAGAAGTGAGAGTCAACGATGTTACCGCTACACCATACCCGATTAATCGTGTGTGGTTCCGATTGGTTAGATTGGTAAGTGGGGCGGTTTCACACCTCATATGGGAGCTCCCAAGGACTAATCGATGGTAAAGAAGCGTTTGCATAGTATCGATTCGTTGCTTATTTCTTGTATCTAAGTTTGACTGTTACGGTCGCCATAACTCGCGTTAGCCCGTTGTGGAAACCAAAGATTCGAAGTCAAGAGCATTTCAAGTTCATTCGTTGCCGTGTCCATGTTCAGAGTCGGGGTTCCCCCCGATGATGCCGTGGGAATGACGGACAACCACAACTGTAAATGCAAAAGGACCAAGCACCAATGTTTGTCAGGATGTTTTTTTGGTTTCATTAAATGTCGTCATATCGTCTTGAAATCATTAACTTTCATTTCGCCTGGACGCCAGTGGCTCATACGCTCATATGGACAGACCCCCGCTAAAAGTAGAACGACTCCAGGTTCGTCAACAAATACCTCGCCGCCGCGTCACGGAAGTCATCCTTCAGGATATCGTTCCGCCACGGGAAAAAGTTCATCAGCTGCCTGGTCGAATTCCTCCACTGCGGCCAGTCCTCCTTGATCTTGCTCTGGGCGCTCGTCCCGCCGCTCGCGTCGTTGGGGTTCAAGTTGTACACAAAGTTGGCGTAGTAGCCCTGGATGCTCTTGCTGGCGTAGTTAGGCAGCACGCCGAAGAACACCTGCAGTAGGTCGCTGGCGTGGAACGTGCCCATGATCGGCGTGCCCTTGTCGTAGCTGGCGATGTAGGACCATGCCGGCACGTCCGGGTTGATCGTGGTTGTGCCCTCGAGGAAAACGCGACGCGAGAGTGTGAACACCATGTCGCCCAGGATGGCCGCCAACCGCTTGAAGCCCGGGTAGATCTCGTTGAAGATGCCGCTGCCGAAGGGCGAGCCGGCTGTGATACTGGTGGGGTACAGGTTCACAAACGTCCTGACCTGGTCTGTGGTGGCCGTCGCGAAGTAGAGGTCCTTGAGGTACTTTACCACCTTATCTGTGGTTGTGAGGTCGGGCTGGAACAGCGCAAACAGGGTGCCCTCGTCTTCCTGGTCGCCGATAATCATGGGCACCGCCGCGTACTTGCCCGAGAGCGCGGCTTTATCGCCGCTCTGCGTGAGCACTTTGCCATCGGGCCGCGGGAGGTACGAGAGCGCCAGCGCGTTGTACGACAGGATCGAAGGCACCGAGTTGGCCGCGTTGAGGAACTGGTCGTAGGGTAGCGCGCGGAGACAAGATAGCGTATCCGGCTTGTTGACGCAGGTGGTCTTGGCCACGACGGCATCGTAAACGGCCTGGCCCTTGGCGCAGTCGACGGGGTCCGTGGGCACCACGCTGCCCGAGTTCATGATCCCGCCGCGGAAGAGCGGCTTGCCGTTGTACTTGTTGTTGCCGTCGTACATGACCATGTGGTTCCAGACGGAGATGGAGCCGGCCGACTCGCCCCAGATCGTCACCTTGTCCGGGTCGCCGCCGAATGCCGCAATGTTGTCCGCCACCCACTCCAGACCCAAGCGTTGGTCCAGAAGGCCGAGGTTCGCCGCACCGTCAGCGAGGATCTCCTTGCCGGGCATGAAGCCGAAGCCACCGACACGGTAGTTGACGCCCACATAGATGTACGGCTTGCCCATGTTGACAGCATTGCTGACGAGCGGGCCCGCGTCGTACATCGAGCTCCAGCCAAACTGCGTGAATTAGGGTTAACCCATCGACCCTTGAACCTCCTCCCATACACCCCTGAGTTGAGCACATACCTCAAAACCACCACCAAAGATCCAGAACAAAACGGGCAGCTTATCCCCCGCCTTGGTGCCCGCGGGCCGGATCACATCAATCGTCAAGCAGTCTTCGCTGACATTCAGCGCTTTCTGGAAGAACGGTAGGTCCGTGAGAGTATCGATGACCCGCGTCAAGAAGTCGTTGGAGTCGTTGTCCGCTAGGAACTGTGGGCACGCCGGTGCGTAGCCGGTCGCATGGAACACGCCCAGTGGTGTGTCCGGCTTGACGGGGGGCTTGAGCCGCAGCGGGCCTACGGGGGCTTTGGCGAACGGGATACCCTTGAAGGCCTCGGTGGCCAACCGGGACGAGCCGATGATGGAGCCGCCCTCGACGGTGACGGTTGGCGCGGCGCGTTTCTCGAGAACCTGGGTGGGTGGTTGCTCCGGCGGAGCGGCGAGGGTCTGGCCCACGAGGGCCGCGGCCGTGATGAAGGCGGTGATGCCTTTCATGGTGTTGTTGATGGTGGAAGTCCGTGAAGAAGCCGGAAAGGGGGAGGACTAGGAGGAGCTGACAGGAAACACGACTGGGAGTTTACCTCGCTGAACCTCACCTCCATATCGGAGTCGAAACAACGAGACGGGAGCATCATCTCTTTTATGAATAACAGATCGTCCGCCGGAGATTGTTTCTTGTCAAGATCCACATGTTAATGGGTTCCGCTAAGGGTCCATCCTAGACGCTGGGTCGGATTCGTACGACACCAAAAAAGTATAACCCACCTAGTACCGGGTCTCTATGGGTCTATTGCGCGCGGCCCTGGATCAGCCCTGCTGACCACGCGAACGGCGCGACCCCTGGGCAGGATTGCGCAAGGGGACGGCGACGGCACAAACCCGAACCCGAGAATGGCAGGTCAACGAGCAACCCGTTTGCCTCTCCTTCCGGCGCGACTTGCGAGGTCCTGGATGCCCTGCATCCTCGGCGCCCCCGCTGGGGAGTCTGGAGAAACCTGGGGAAAACCTGGAGAAGTCGGGGGGTGACATGCACGCGCATGAGAACCACGTCGACGAGAGCTCCATTTTCCCCGCGGGGAAGCCATGGCGCTTACGGCTCTCGGATCATTTTGCGCCTGGTTGAGAGCGATGGATGGAATGAGAAGCACAAGAGGGCCGCATCCTGACTGGCTCACACATCCAACCAGTGAGAATGGCAAGAATGGCAAATCCAGAGTCGCATTTTGTTGTGTCACGCACCGGGCAAACGGGGCAGCGCAGCACTCCGCTGCTCTCCGCCAATCCGCGCTACGAAAGAGTCAGCATGTGAAGAAGCAGTTTTGCTGTGCGTCTGGGTGAAACTGGGCTGCTGCGCTTGCCAGAGCCTCGGCATTCTTGCGTTTCTTTCTTGCTTCCAAGCCCGCCCTGATCGGCGGCTAGTTGTTGGGGAACAAATTGCACGATTCCCCACACTCTGGGTCGTGTGCCTAGGCAGAGTGGGGGATACACGCGATGGAGGAGCAACCGCCGAGCGGCGAGGGATGGTGCGGAGAAGGAAGACGAGGACGTGTATTGGCCGATTTCTTCTTGATTTTTGTTCGGGATATCCTTTTCTAAAAACCTTCCTCAAGACTTTGTCGTCGAGACATGACGATTGATTGCTTGTCGTTGAACCGAGGACCAGGACACCCCAGGCTATCGGGAAGATGTCGTGCTCCACATACCCATGGAAAGTTGGAAACGCTACCTTACCAAAAAATATGCCCTTGTTTCCCGCCTCGATCTTGATTCCCGGGGCCGCTGACTGCCGATGCAAGGCGCGTTGAGATGAAAATAAAAATAATAAGCGGGTGCCATTATAACTGGGGCGCGGCCGGGATGGCTTGGTCTCAGACTCACGGCCCAACTCTCTTTTCCTGTTTCCCCATCCTTTGCTTTCGGCGCCCGGAAACTGAAGCGGGAACAGGAACGGCCAGCGAGCGAAAAAGAGAAATTTGCTCCGTCCGGGGAAGCGTGGAAACAATCTGGGGAATCCTCGATGACAGGCGGTGACAACTTGCGTGCTGCCAAGGCCACAGCGCATTTTGCGGGGAAATCGGCAGCTGCTTCCCCTTTTGGGGTTTTTCCCCCGACGCCATTTGCGACTTCGCAAGTTCAAGATGTTCTCATGGCCTCGGCGTCGCGTTCGCTTGCTTCCGATGTTGGGCCAAAAACCTTGGGAATGTACCACGGAGGAAGTATATTATCACAGAAACATTAGGAACGCTTGGAGTAATGGTTTGGGTTTGGATTGAGTCTACGAGTTCGGGGGATTTTGGTGCGCTCTTCTTGTTGGGGGTCCCACCTACCGATTCAGGGATTTCTCTTTTCGGCGTGCCGAGGGCGCCCTCCTTCAAAAAAGTATCGTCGACAATGAAATTTTCAAACAGGGCCGAGCGGAGGCCCAAAACATGCTTTGAATTGCTCTGTCCTGCTTGTTTGGAAGACAGAAGGTCGAATCTGAACAGGCAATGGTCATGTAGTGTAAACAGATTAACAGACTGGGCTGGCCGCTCTCTCGACTTACGAACACGAGCGGCCAAAACGAGATGATCATGAACCCAGACCCTTGGCCATGAAACATCTTTCCCTCCTGTACCTGAGGGCCGTGGGAGGGCGGTGCTGATCCGTTCGTGCTCGTCGGATCTGACCCGGCGGTCGACGGTCAGTCAGCAGCCCGAGCGGCCGTCCTCCGGATTGCACGGAAGAAAGAAACCGCCCGGTCAGTTCTCGTCTCATTGAGTATGTTTGGGCCGCAATGATCAACGGATGAACGAAGGCCGAGTTCCCTTAGTGTAAATACATTCCCCCGCAGTGGATAATCAACCCCAACAGGAGCCGGTCATCACCACCACCACTACCACCACTCTGGACTGGCCCTAACCCCGCATCCTTCGGCTTACAACCACACTCTCGGGTTGTTTCCATTGCTTGTGTCGAGTAAAAATGCTCATTGGAGCAACATGTGAAAGCCGTTGAAGACTTAGGTCTGAAGGGCGTCCCTGAAGATCGATCCGATGAGTGTGCTTACCCCCTCATTGCAACCCCCGAACTCCGGGGACTATCGAAAGATGGATTTAGCGCAAAAGCATATTTATGCAGGGCCTAAGGTGTTCTAACGGGCTCTACTACGCTAGGCGTTAGTCACTCTCCGAGGTTGTTGTCACAACATGTGAAATAATCGATTATTCAGGGTGATGATGATTCCCATGAGTTGAGGTATTAGTCCTATTGTTTATGGTATACACGTAAGACCGGCACGTCACGAAAGAGAAGCCGGCAGCAGCACACAGAGACGACAAAAATCCAAAAAGTTACATTTGTGTAGTTCTAATATCCGAGATACAACTATTATACTCAACCTGCTTAGCAGCCAGGTCATCACCAAGACATCCCCATCAAATCTCCGAATCAACCTACAGTAACTAACTCTTCAAGAGTTTTAAACACTGGAAATCCACGCCCCTTTCCAATTTCCTCCTATACACAACAGCTTGGTATCCAAGTACATCCGCCGACGTACCATACCCCATCGAGATGAAATCAATGTCACAAGCCCATTTCCCTCTGGGCAAGCCCACGCTCACAATGCCCCGCCCTCATCAATTTCCCCTTCCCAGCCATAACACGAACAGGGCAGACCATCTCCCCAACATTTGGATCTCTCATCGTAACATGTGCCCCTGACGACCCTACCATCCCGAAAACCCTCCGAGAAACAGGCTGATGTCAGTTGCCTATTGTGAGAGGCAAAATCTGACCAAGACGTCGGCAATGCAAATCAGATGTTGTACCACATGTCAGAGATATTGGCGTTACCTTGTGAACGCACGGTTTCTACCGAGTCCCTACGGGAAGGGTCCGAAAGAGGGCATTTGATCGTATATGCGGCTCGGGAAGGCGGACAAGGGCGGTTGTTGCACGACATGTCTCGTGTACTGGCCGTTCTGTCTTGCTGACGGGTTCCTGGAACTCAGCTTCTGGTGAATCACAAGAGTTACTGCCCCTTGGCTCAGCCCGCTTTGCGTTCCACGAACAGGTTGACAGGCGGCCTCCACTTTACAAGTACATAATTATCTTACTTAATTTAGGTCCCCGTAAACCAAGTTTTGGGATACCTACACTGCACATCACGTACAAAGAAAGAGCCACGGAATCGTATCATAAGCGGCCATTGCTAGCCTTCATTCCTCCCACGAAACATGTGGGAGGTGTGTGTAGTAAGAGTAGTAAGTACAAACCAGACAAGAGCCGACCCAATCCCAATCCCATTACCTCAAACGCCGCCGTTTCCATGACCGACCGACCGACCGACCGTGACCATGCGATGCGATGCTGCACGACCCATGCCACACCAAACGCCGCCGCCGCCCGAGCCCTGCCCCGTTCCTTCCCAGTGCCGTGTTCATGGCACCGAGGGTTGGAAAGGTAAAGCCATGAAGGCGAAAAAAAAGAAAAGAAAGGGAAAAAAAGACGCCTGAACTGCCCGCCATCCCGGCGGAAGGGGTATTGTGCTGTAGCGCCATGTCCCATTTCCGGTTCGCCGTTTCCCAATCCCAAGTATGGCATGACCCTTGCATGCACCGTGTACCTGTGGTGAGAAATCCTTGACCAAATCGTGTCATCGTAGTCGAATCTTGACTCGTCATCGTGCCATGTCCTCGGAAAGGTCTCGCACTGAGCCTCCCAACGGACCAAACGATAGAATAAAAAAAGAAAAGCGAGAAAAAAGAAAAGAAAAGACCAGCAGATCGCGATACCGTTTTGCAAGTCAAACGGTGCGTCCCGTCGTGTTCGGCGCGAGCTAACACACCTCCAGAGTGCTATTATTAACCCGACGCCCAGTCCTCCGCCTCTTAGCCGCGGGACTGAGCACGGGACAGTCCTCTGGACCACTGCTGGCACTGCTATTGCTAGCGGCGGTGCTAGACGGCTCCTCCTCGAAGCTGCTGTTGCTCTCATTGAGCACACACGACAGCGGCTCGCGGTCCGTACGTCTTCGTTTGAGACTGGCGGGCTGGTAGGCCTGCGTTGAACGGAGCGGGCGGACCGGGTGCAATGGCCGCGGGAGATGCTGATACTGCTGGCGACGCTGTGAGTGTTGTCTGGCCTGGTCTGCGAGGAGCTGCTTCTGGTACTGTTTTTGGCACTCGATGTCGAGAAGCGGCTCCCAGAGGCCGATGTGCTCCGGGTCGGCGTAGAGCCCTTCGCCACCAAGCTCCTCCCCGAGGGCCTTGGCCAGGCGCTCCTTCAGGCCGAGGATAGGCCAAAAGTTGACCGGTGTGTATGTGATGTTGATGCCGGCATCTTGGCTGGCGGCCTGTCCCTCAGGCGCGCTGTACGGGAACATGAAACGCTTCAAGAACGTTTTGGTGATGGTCGCAGTGTAGACAGAAAACCTAGACTCCGGGCTCTGACCCTCGTCGTGCATGATCACCTGCACCGTGACATCGCGGAAGGAGACCGGCAACATGTGCACTGTGCCGCGACCCTGCGAGCTACTCGGAGAGGAGCGCGGCGATGACTCGCGGAAGATGTGGGCCTGCGCCATAGCGATGAGCATCGCGACGATGTATGGGTCGTGGTCGGCATCGGCGGGCACGAGCATCTTGTGTCGCAGCTCTTGCAGGCGCTGGATCGGCTCGTTGGTGCCGGAACCGGCAGGGCGGAAACACCTGTAGAGGTTGTTGCGGATGGAAGCGAGATGCGCCTTGGTGATGTAGGCGAGGACAGGCAGGCCGCCTTCGCGGCGGCTCTTGGAGGGCGCGCCAAATGAGGTTGCCGGGATAGTCGGGCAAGAGTCAAATGAGGACTCGGTGCCAGCGTTGCTTGAGCTCTTCCACAGACATGGGATGCGAACCACTTTCTTGAAGACATGGCGGCCGAGGTACAGGTTCAACTCCGCGCCCGTCTTGGCGCAGGACATTGTCGATGGGAATAGGGTCGAGAAGATGTGCTTCATAGCGCGAGTCTTGCAGAATCTGCGCTGCGGGGTCGTCTCGTGGCGGGCAAGAGTATGCAGCTCACTCGTCAGGGTCTGTGCCATCTTGGACGCCTCGAGCCACACGTTCGGGGCGACATCCGGGATCGGCTTAACGATGGCATCGTTCTTGGTGAAGCGCACGCCAAGGAGAAGGGTATGTTGATCGGTCCAGCAGATAGGGAGGACGTGGAGGGCAGTGCCGGCATGGTCGTGCAGAATGTCGTAAATCGATCCCTCCTCAACACGTTTGATGCGGCGCGGGCCGTACCGCTTGGTCGCGGGGACGAGCTGCAGCTGGCCATAGCTCTCGTCGGGATTTGGCCCCGAGCCGTCCTTGTCCTTGTCGCGCGACGCCGATTTGACGACGCTGTGCAGTTGCGTGACCAGGCTTAAACTAAACATGGTTCTGAATGTGACGGACGCGTCGCGTTTGTTAGTGTGCGACAAAGAGACGGTGAATTTTAGGCTTTTCGACTGGCTGGCCGGGCGACCGGGAATGCATGCGAAAAGGCGACGTACTCGGATGTGAAGGTCAAAGTGGGATGGTTGGAGGCTGGTCGGTTGCCTCGCCTTGTCTTTGCTGGGATGGTGGGTGGATTGGCGCAACCGCTTGTCGCGATGGATCGCCCCGCAAACTTAAAAGTTGGCTCCGGTGAGTTGCGATATTGGTCGCAAACAACAAATATGGTCAGAAATGGACCGTGAAATAAGTTGAAGTGATTTTCACGCGAGACACAATCGGAAATCGTCGTGCACGCGAGCGATTTTTGGTTGAGTGGTTGTTTGTGCGCGAAAAGGGCTTCCAACACAAGTTCGGGAGGTCTGGGCAGAGATGCGAAGGTTTAAGAAACTCGGAACGCGCTGGTGGGGGGCCGCCAAAACCCCCTCACATTGGTCACCGACTGCCCTGCCTGGGCGGCGGGCGTGGCGGGCAAAAACGCGCCAACCAGTCTGGGCTCTTGGCATGCGCGGCAAAGACGCCAAATCCCGTGACACAGTCCGAAACAGGCTAGGTCACCGACGTGGTCAATTGTTGAGGGCCGGTTTCCTGCCATTCAAAACCCCCGATCGGGAAACCCACTGAATTTATGCTCTGTTCTTTGCTGGCACCATTCTATTGTCGCCATTGTGTCTATTATCCCGGTTTTTTGAACACCGCTATTGCTACCATTCTGTGGTTTGGGCACCAGAGTTATTCGGGCATAACAATGCAGTTTGTGCTTTTATGGATGCCCGAACCTGAACCGTTTGATCCGCCCTTCCCGAGAAACACAAAGTCTCGTTGTTTGAAATGCCCCTCGGCCGAGGCCCCCGTGAGGGCTCGGGATTCGCTAAGCCGTCCGCCAACCAGACCATGAGGCCTTTATGGTTGGGTGTCAGAAAGGCCGTTTGCTGTGATGGTGTGTGGCACCTGTGTGTGGCTGCCTGTGATGACTCAACCCAAATTTGTGGCCTGAGGCGAATGTCGGCCGTGCCAAGCCCTCAGCCACATTCGGCGACGTTAGGGTTGATTGGCGGCAGCCTGCAGCTGCAGCGGTTGCGACCGCCCAAGCAACCCCGCAAGGCTACCGACAATTAAGCTCCTGATCAAGTGACATCCCACCTCGAAGTCCGCCTCAACCCAAAACAAGGACTTCCGCCAGGGCCGTGCTTCCACGATGCCGGTGAGTCGAGCTTCATTTGAACCGCCTTCAGCTCGAGCTTCGAATTTTCCAGGGGTTTGACGCTGGCCCCGTAACCAATCTGCTGACCTCCGTCCTTACGACAACAATAGGCCTACAACTCCGTTTTCAACGCCTCTGAACCGGCCCCCCGGCTGGTAGGCAACTTCCCACTCTTCCCCATCCGCACGAAAATCCGTGGCCCCGTATACCCGCTACCCTTCCCGGACCCCCCGCTGCCTGCGAACGAGTCACCCGACCCGGAATCGGAGAGCTACGACATCCTAGACGAGGTGCTCGCTCTGTTCCGCGCCAACACCTTCTTCCGCAACTTTGAGATCCAAGGCCCCGCCGACCGGCTGCTGGTGTATGGGATCTGGTTCGTGTCGGACTGCCTGACCAAGATCAAGCCAAACGCGACTTTACGGGATGCTACCAAGGAGGTGACGAACCTGGCGCTGGATCTCCACTTTGCGCTGCCGGGTGACCCAGCATGGCCCCTAAACCAGGTATGGCGAGGAGACAGAGTAACGAGTAGCTGTGTCGGCGGAAACCTCAAGCTGACATTGTTTGTGTTCAGATGTACGAGCCTCCCCGGGACAGGCAAGACGGAGAGATACTCAGGCAATACATGTCGCAGGTCAGGCAAGAGCTCGCGGCGAGGTTACTGGCGAGGGTATACGACGAAGGCGATGCCAAACCGAGCAAGTGGTGGCTGAGCTTTACCAAGAGGAAGTTTATGGGCAAGGGGCTGTGAGGAGTGTTAATCGACGATTAGAGAGGACAATGATAAGACAACCACCGCATGATTACGCGAGCTGGCATCATACGGCATGTTGTTGAGTTGGTGGTTTAGACGCAGACGCAGACGTAACCTTATTTTGTTTATGACTTAGTTTGCTAACACGTAGCTAACTCCTAACCTATTCTACACCTGCTGATACAGGCGTCGGGGTATCTACCTCCGACTCAACCTTCCTCCGCTTAAACTTCCCCTTGGCAGCCACTTTCCCCTCAGCCGGCTTCGCTCGCCAGGCCGTAAAAACATACCCATCCGCACCTCCACGCTCCGTCATCAATGGATGTGTCCTGCCCGGCAACACCTGCCACTTGCGCGCGCGGCTCGTCTGGATCGACACGCCCTGCAGCAGCGTCGGATTCAACGGGAACCGTTCGTTGCCCGCCCACCGCTCCAGTTCCTCGTTCGAAAGCCCCTCCACTTCGGGAACGACCCCGCTTACCCATGCCGTGCGCCGTGGCACGCTGAAGCAATCCGCGAGCGCCGCTAACGACTCCATCGAGGGCGAATAGATGGCCACGGGAGCGCCGCCGGCCAGGAGCGGGAGGGTGTGCCGCAGGATGCTGATGGGGTCCATGGTGCTCGCGCACACAAGGCCAGAGAAGTTGCCGGCGCGCGTGCTGTCGACGATGTGGCGGATGCGGGCGTACCGACGGCGCTTGCGGTGGAAGTTACCGCGGCGGCTGGGCTTCCATGAAGCGAGCACCTCGGGGGTAGCCGTAAGGGGCGGGGTGGAGTAGGATGTGTCCAGTTCGGGCTTGAGGAGCTGGAGCCAGGTGAGGTTCAGCAGGTGGTTGAGGAGTGGATGTGGTGGGTGGTTGGGCGAGGTGATATCGAAGCCCCAGTAGTTGAGGAGCGAGAGGTTTGGCTGGCCGGCGGAGTGGATGACGGTGATGGCGTTTGTTTGGGAGTAAGGGATGGCAAAGTCGGATGGGCGCGGCTTTTGCGCTTTCGGCTTCCCATCGGCTTGGCGTTTTAATGGGCTTGTCGTTGATGCGTCTGCCATCTCTGTATCGCCCTCCTTCTCAGCCGTTTCTGGTACGATCACGGTGCGATCAGGTTGCGGTGTCCCATGCTCCTGCGTCGTTCCATTCCCTTGTCCCGTTGCCCCTGGCTCCAACCCCTCTTCGTCATAAAGCACCCCCATCCTTTCCGCCATCGCAGCGACCAACAGCCCACAGGTATCGTCAACGACGAGCCACCTCCCCCGGAGCAGGTCGTCGTCCACCGGTACGCAAGCTTCATTTCCCGCGTCCGTGGCCGCGTTCGGATCCGGAAGCAGAACGTCCTCCCCTCCAAAGTGCACATTTCCCCAGCAGCCAACCAAACCAAGCATCTCCGCCCTGAGGTCCAATATCTTGCTGGCATCCCGTTCCTCCAACTGCCATTGCGCTAGCGTGGCCACATCGATGGGCAGCACCTGGAATCTCCGAATGTACTTTTTCGTCTTGAGCAACTTGTACTTTGCCAAACTAAAACTTGTCTTCTGATCGAGCGCCGTGTGTGAGAGCAGCAGTTTTGTGATCACATCCTTGCCCGCGTTGGTGCCTTCCCGCTTCAGCTCCTCGATCTCGTCTTGCGTGAGCGTCTGGCGCGCATTCTCGTCAATGACCTCGCGGTTAGAGCGAGCCACAACGTTTCCCTTGTCGTCAACCAAGCTGAACTCTTCCCCGTCCGTCGCGGAAATTACGGTCTCGTTCGCGCTGCCTGTGGCTGGATTCGCGCAGTCTGGCGCTGCCTCTTCGGTAAAGACTTCGGCGTAGATCTCGTTAGTGGGGACGACCCTTAATCGTGAGGAGTTCTCCTCGGGGAACTTGTCGAGAAGCTCAAAAGTGATGTGGTATGGGCGGCCAATGATCAAGTTGGAAGGGAACGAGCCGTATTTTCCTAGGGATATTGTGCTAAGGATTGGTCAACATACGAACTTTCTTAGCGAAGGATTTGCGACAGCCCTACCGGACTCTACTCACGTATTCGGTGTGATCTGGAGCACTTTGGTACTACCAGATGGGAGCTTGAGGGCCACCCAGGCATTAGGGCGAATGATCGAATGCATCTCGAATGGCGCACCAAGCTGGTGGTTGCGTTGCGTATGTCGGCGGTTGGCGCAGTCTGGAAAAATTCGGAGTTTGATGCAATCGCTGCAAGGATGTGCAGTGGGGGCCGTGATTGCGGGGGGCTCCCAGGGACTTACAGCGGGGCTTCGGCGAACCTTGATGGGCGTTCTAGGCCTGGCAGACTTGCATCTAACGACACTCCGCACCTCAGTTGAACTTCGGAATTCCATCACGATATAAATTAGAAGTCAGCTCAAAGTTACTACACCCGTAGAAGCCCGAGTTGAGATCATCGATCTAACTACTCCTTCTTTCTTCATCTTTCGGATCCGATTCGTTCCCATAAATGGGTTACCCCTCAATAACCCTTTTCTTCTCTCTCTCCAGCACGTCAAATCCAAAGTGTACCTCCAATAGTAAAAAGATTAGAAATACATCATCCCCGCCGCAACCGCCCATACGAGGAACGCCCACCGCGCCTGGGTGGCCGGGGAATTAGGGTCCACCGCCGAGCCGCCGCCCGTGACCTTGTTCGATTCCGTCGTCTTCGCACACGATAGGTACCCGGCGCTGTCCTGGACGTCGCCCGTCTCGTTGAAGTGCGTCCACGCCAGCAAGACGGGCCAGACCCGACGCTGAGCTGCAGCAAGAGCCGATCGATTACCTTTCTGCGTCGGCTCAAACCCGGACGCGAAGAACGTGACGCCGCGGCTGCCCGTGAGCGAGGCGTTGGCAATAGGCGTAATTTCTGCCAAGCGTTGTCAGTTAGTCAAAGCTGGGCTCTGCTATGCTCTTAAGCAAAAAGGGAATCAAAAACACACCAAGAACGTACCAAACCCCGTGCCGCCATTGCCCTTAAGCCGCCTCTTACAATCATCCGGGATATCCAAATCCTGACACCCTCCACCGCCATCTCTCCCCGTTCTACCCACCACACTATTCGTCTGCAGCTTACGAATACACTCATCCGGCAACACATTCGAACAACTCCCATCTCTCACTGCATCCTTCCCAACATCCCCCTTCAACCCTTCCGTAAACACGACCGCACAAACCCTCCATGCGGTCTTATTGAACTTATCCACTCCCTTCGGCGGCGTCACCGTCAACGCAGCAGCATTAACACAAAGACTCCTATCCCAGCCCTCATCCACCGCCCCAGCCAGCGGCACATTGGCGGCCAACCGCACAGTCAGGGACCAGCCGTCTGCCGCGGCGTCCCGGAGAGTGCCGTTGGACGTTGAGCTGAAGGAGGTGTTGTACCCGGCGATGGAGAATGTGCTCACGGAAAAAGGGGTCGACAGGGCCGCGGCGAAGTCGGCAGCTGGGATGCCGTAGGGCGCGATCTGGGAGATGTTGCCGGCTACGAAGGACTGGGCGGTTGCGAAGCTGGGCATGAGAAGGGCGATGTAGGCGAGTCCTTGGCGGATGCTGAAGAGCCTGGGAGATTTGGCTGCCGCTTCTGCTTCTGTTTCTGATGTTGCTGGTGTCTCTTCTGGTGGTGGTGTTGGGGGTGGTGGGGTCACTTCTCGCTCCTCGGCAAGCGTAGAGGTCTTTGATGATGTTGTAGCATGCTTTCCACGGGAGGCAGCATGTTCCAGGTCATCTATGATGACTGGAGAATTCGCGTAGGTGTTGTAGATACCGGCCGCAAGCCGGAAAAAACCTGGATCCATGACGGGCTGACTGTAGGGTAAGGTCCTGGTAAGTTGAGGTGATGCTTCCTGTTTCCTCCCGTGAAAGTGGAGATGGAGAAGTCGCGGGATTAAGTAGGTTGACGAGCGTCTGGGACATGAATCTGGGACGGTGTAGCCATGACCTCGTGCGCCAGCACCTCCGAGGCTGAGGGGTGGCTCCGTAGATAGCACCTGCAGGAGATGATGCGATCAGCACAGCATTGCGCGGCTCATGCTCAGGTCAACGCTGGCACGCATCATATCCCCAACGCCATAGCACCCAGCACCCGCAAGTGTTCGACCACGACACGACCCCCCGCACGGGTAAAGCCCAAGCAAAGCCACCGCGTCTCCATGAGATGACAAATTTTTACTTATCCAACGTCTGCGTGTTTGTTCACTGACACTGTAAATTGCACAAAAACTGCCCCATATGACCTCCGTTCAACGCCATCGCAGCAAAGTAAACCAAGTAAAAACCCCGCCGGGCCGCGGTTGTGGTGCAATGACCTCCCGAAAAAAAGGTAAAAATATGTACGAGAATAAATAGCCGCCCTTCCGCTTCATGGCCAAGCCTCCTATTTCCTTCGCCTCCCTTTATGTTTCATAACTCATCCATCCCCAAAGCCCCACGACACCGGCGAGCAACAACAACGTCAAAATGCCGGCGCCCGCCCGGTCAGCTGTGGTAATGGGTCCCAACGGTTGTCCCGTGCCCGAACTGCGCATGCCCGCATTTGGATCACCGCGGCTGATGCCGGTCTTGTTGTTCGCCGGTGCTGGTGCCTCTGGCATCAGCAGACTGGATACCACGGCCAGAGCATCCATCGCCTCGCCAGCCCCGGTCGTCTTGTCGACCGCTGTGTCGACATAAACGCCACCAGACCAGTAAAACCCGCACTTGCGCCCCGTTTCGCCGCCGGTGCACTGGTTAACAGCGGCCTGGGCCGACTTTTGAATCAGTGGCATAATGAGGGGCGCCGTGTACGGTGCGACCTTGGTTACACCCGCGAGCCATCGGACGATGTACCCCTTAAAGGTCAACATGTCAGGCGTGCAAGCGCCCTGGCGACCCTCACAGGGAAGCTCGTAGGCGATGCCGTCGGGGAAGAAGTCACGCTCGATGCCGGTGAGCAGGCCGTCGATGCGGTCTTTCCAGATCTGGCTGCCGTTGGTATAGTTGTACATGAAGCCAGCGCCTTGCAGGAGGAGGGCAGCGTTGTAGCTGAACTGCGCCTTGTTGATGTCTGTGCAGTTGGCCTCGACGTGCCCACCGTCGTACACGCGCCAGTCCTTGTGGTCGATGTACTGCACGTCCCAAAGCCACTGGAAGGTCTTGGTCGCCCAGTCCGCGTACGTCGAGTTTTCCGTGTAGCGCGCTAGGCGGGCGCCGAGGTTGAAGAAGCAGGCATTGGCGATCGTGTTCTTGTAGTTATAGCCCGCGTTCGTCGGCGGGACCTGCCAGCGGAGCCCGCCGTTGCAGGTATTGTCGTGGCGGTCCGGGGCGGCCTGGGTCTGAAAAACGGCTTGGGCTAGGGCGAGCCACTGCGGCTGGTCATCCGGCGGGTTCGGGAACTTGTTCTCGGCGGCCAGCATGGCTGACATGCCCCAGAAGCCCTGGTCGTCGTTTCCGAGCGAAGCCGTGTAGTTGGGGGGCATGTAGTCGGCGTCGGGGCCAACTTGGTGCTGCATGCCTTGCATGATCACAGGGTTATAGCTCGTGTCGCCCGTCAAAAACCAGTAGTCAATGTACAGGCCCATCATGGCCCCTCCTTCCCACCAGTAGTAGTCGCCCTTGTGTTCTGTTGGCGGGCCGGGCAGGATACCGGGCGTCTCACCGGACTGGTTTCCCTTGTAGTAGAGCATCATATCGTAGGCCAGTGTTCGCGCCGACTGGCGGATCTCGTCTATGCAGCTCGTCAGCGGGGTGTTGTTACCTCAAACCTTCGACGACAATCGTCAAGTACCTGGTGTGCCGATCTTGTAGAATTGGGCCTGGACTGCCGGGACCAGGCTGGTAGCGGCGAGCAGCGCGGCCAGCCATCGTTGTGGCCCTTTTCGCAACAACATCGCCATCTTTCGGTGGTTCAAGTCGTGACGTTCTCAAGTGCCGGCTCAGCCGAGGGTAAAAGAATCGCTAGAAGTCGCTGGATGCAGTCGAAAAAGCGGTCGGCAATCGGGTGCAGAGACAAACAGCAGACGGGAAGCAGGCAAAGTGAGCGAATGTGATGTTTACGGTGTACAGTTCAAATGAGCGTGGGGATCGCCAACGCCATCGACGACGGCGGCAAGCAGGAGAACGAGGTCAGAAAACGGGAAGAAGCAGCATCGTATCGGGAAGCGGGTCGAGGGGAGATGGGAGGGAACATGACGCGAAAGGGGGCGTGCCCGTGGCTCTTGGTATTTCTCGGCAAGCGCTTGGCTCACTGGGCGACGCAGGGCAGTGCAGCGCTGGGCGTCGCTGTGACTGGTTGGCCACTGTCCTGGGCGGCGGCCTTGGCGCCGGCACGCGGGAAATGACCCATGACCGACACCAAAAAGATTTGAATCATTTCAGAATGGCTAGCTCGCCAAGGGTACTGGCGCCGTTTGGGGGGCAAATCAACGCGGGAGCTTTCTCAAACAAAGCGGCACAGCCTTTCAGTGCATCGCGGGGTACGCTGGCGGCGCTGATACGCCCGTTTGGTACGTTTTGGCGCCGAAAACGCAGCAATCCGCACGTACTTGTACAAAACTCGTGATGCCGAGTTACAGTGTCGTGTTCCTGCATAAAAGGGCGGGCAAAGATCGAAAATTTAATTGATAGAAGTGGGGAGGAAAGGCTCCACGCTTCCCAAAAGGGCAGGATCCAGGGGGAAGAGGGGCCACTGGCAAGATTGCCCAAAGCAGCAAGATCGGTGGAGGAAGGGGGCCCCGGATTAAAGGATGGGATCCGTAAAAAGTTCTCGGCTCCTTCCGAATTTCCTTATCGCCAAACGGGCCATGGGAGAATTCTTGATAAGTTCCGAGATCTGTGGCAATGCAGGATAAAGCTCTGATACGGATACACTTACACGACACGTATAAAAGGCACCGGATCAAGTTCCAGCTTCTCGATTGCCATGACAGCTGTACTCATTCCAACATACGCGCGGCCAGAAGATTGGATAAATCGGAGTCGGAGTTTCGGCATTTTACCATCTTTAGGCAGCGACTGCGTTACCAATCGCTCCAATCGCCAAGATCCACAGCATGAAATACGACGGCATCCAAAGCCCAGAGACAAACAAAGGTTTAAACGCACGATCAAGATCGGGATTCAATAACCGTCTTTCACCGCGCTATGCTGAACTAACCCCCCGTGACTCTCCAACGCTTCAGTCGTTGGCAGTCTTGTCGTTGTAGTAATGGATCTAACCATCGCATCAGTAAACACCTCCGAGAGACAACCCCCATTCAAGACTCACCGTCTGATCCGAGCAACCAGCCGGCGTGTCATACGCGTACGCGCCAGTATTGACAAACAGTGCTTGGTCCTCGCACACCAACCACGCTGCCAAGTTCTGGCGGTTGACATCCGGATGCGACCAGGTCAACGCGTCGCCCTGCCACGCAAACGCGCCAAACGGGCTCGGCTCTGAGTCGAAGGTGGCCGCCAGCGTGCGCGGCGGGTTCGCCTTGTCCTCAGGCTCCGCGATCCACAGGTACAGCGGCGGGTCCGACACCTTGTTGACGAGCTGGCCGTCTTCGATCTGGAACTGCCCGGCCGTCTTGGACGACTCGAGGATGGCCACACCCGGCACGTTAGCCGGGTTGGTCTGCAGGTACTTATGGAAGTTGGGCGCGGCCACGGCGCGGATCCAGTAGTTGCCGTCCTGGAGCTCGGTCGGGGTCGGGGTCGAGACCGGGTCGTCGGCGGCGACGGGCGAGACAGGCGACGAAAGCGCCGTGCCAATGAAGGCGGCGATCACTGCTGTTGACTTCATCTTCGGAGATCTGAGGCGGGAGAATAACGTTGCTCGTTTGTTGGCGCGTAGTCCGAGTCTCGGAGGATCAACCAGGCACTCAGCCGGCCGAACCTAGGCTGTTTATTTTATACTCTGGATCTCCCCCCAGGGGGTCGTTCTTCCGGGGCTTGCTTCCCCATGCCAGTTCGGACCGCGAGGCCAGACGGCCGGCAGAAAGAGGGGCGTAACCAATTTATTTTGATACTAAGCCCGCCATTCCGGGGTAACAGCACGGGACCCCAGATTCCGTCCTGCACTTGATCCTATGGCTACGGTTTGTATCATTGGCCGGGCTCGCCAAGGGGAGAACAAATGCGCATGGCCTCCGTCATGATCGGGTAAATGATCGGCGCTGGCACCATTGCGGAGCCGGGTTGCTCCTGATCACGAAAATAGGACACCTTAGACTCGGAATGAAAATTGAAAACAGCCGAACAATGATGATGGGCCGTAGCCTCGGAGGTTCAACAATGGAAGCCGGAGTGGAGCACGGGTCTGCAATTCGGGGAAAAGCCGGCGACAAACCGAGTTGACTTCACACAATGTCTCAACAGTGGAAATCTTGAATAAATCGCAACAACGAACACTGAATCGAAATCATGAGCTTCAGAAGCCCTTGACTAATTATATAGGAGGACCGGAAACCACGGAATCTAAGTACCCTAATCGTGAATTCCGACTCTTTGAGCCCCTTCACTTAGAGCTAAAAATCTTTTTGAAGACGTGGCGTATCGAATGATGCTCCTCACCATCGTCGAGCTCAATCACACCGCCTTCGGCCGCAACTTTGAAAACCCGGCCCCGGACAACGGCCGCATGCTCATATACCGCTAACGCGGCATCGTCCGCCATAGTTCCGATACCCGGCCACGAACTCGGCCGGTGTTCGACCACCTCCACCGGGCCCCAGGAGAACCTGCCGTCCACGCCCAGCCGGCCATGTATGGCCTTGATTTTGGCACCCTGTGGCCACCTCGGCTCATCCTCGTGCTCCTCGTCCGACATGAACACCACCGCCACGGACCCGTCCCGGAAAGAAGTAACCTGCGGCGCACCGGCGTTGCGCCCAGGAATGGAGGGTGCAGACACCACCTGCCGGTAACCAAACGTGTTGCCGTCATCAAACGACACGACGGCTTCAATCGAGAACGTCCCCTGTCGCGTCGTCTCCATCACCAGCACCAGCGCATCGTGCTCGCCACCTGGTCCACTTAGAGGGGGTACCGAACCTGGATGTACACACGCCCGCACGGGCGCCACGCCGACCATTCCATCACGAAGCCGCTCCCCATCGCCCGTCACGCACTCTGGCTTCGTCCACGTCCGACCACGGTCAACGCTGCGCACCACCATAGTGTCCTGATCATCGGCCGCGATCTCATTCGAAAAAAACAACTGCACCTCAAGCCCATTCTGCGACATCCGCATGAACGGCTCCCACAACCCGAATGGCGCGGGTTTTTCGACTGCTTGCGACAAAAATTCCCAGTGCTGGCCTCCATCCCTCGACTGACACACCGTAATTCGAAAGAACCGGTGTTTGCCCTCGTCGTCCAAATCGTGATTACGAAATGCCGCTAGCACCGTCGACTGCTGCCCAGGTTCCACCTCGCCCTCCGGCAGCTCCGGTAATTCGAGCAAAAAAAGGTTGTCGCAGTCGCCTTTGGACCGTGTGATTTCGCCGAGAGGCTCGAACGTGCGGGCGCCGTCGGTGCTGCGGTCGACCGTGAGCACACGCGTAGTGCCGGCATCGCCATCCTGGTGTTGGAATACGGTGAAACCCGTGAGTATGGAGCCGTCACGTCTCTGGCAAAGACGTGGGTAGGTGCTGTGCTGGGTGGTGTGCACAAAGCGCTCGTTGGTGTCGACCAGTAGACGGCGGGCGGCGTAATTCATGGTAGGCTGTGCCTCGCAACTATGAGATGATTCGGGCGTGTTGTGCTGGTGAAGGAAATGGTAGATCAGGACGATCCACACAGAGACAGCCGCGATGTAAATGGTGGTGCGAAAACAAGAAAATCGGAATGTTTGGTCAGAGAATCGGAGTTGGGAACGAGTCGGGGCGGCTTCTGGAAATGCCAGCTTTGCATCCCGCTGAAATATGGGGCATGGCATCGGGTAACAGCGAGCACTGGCTCATGTTGTGGCCGGCGTGGAGATGTGAACATGGTATTTTCAAGGAAGTTGCTGCTCTGGAAAGAGTGGGCGTTGCGGACGAAACACGGAGGAAATTGTTACGCGAGACGGGAAGCCGATGGAGACACAGGTGGTGGAGTTCTTGGCACGGTGCGGTCAAAATGTCATATTGCGACCTGGTGTACAGTGAGTAATTGTTCTTGGTGAGTGGTTCGGTTGCAATTGGGAACACAACACAAGTTTCTAAAGGAAGTCAGAAGGTAGCACGAATTTAGTACGGCCGTAAATCGATAACCCGTGTCCCATGACGTTGCTTCTAGTGAAGGTCACTTCTCAACCTTAACAATGGGAAATATTAATAACTAACGGGTTAATTACGGCATAACAAGGAGACCTAGCTAGGGGAGTAAAATAAAAAGATAACGCACCAGGTAGATAACAGAATATAGAAAATTGTTCAACCACAACGTAATTATATATTTCTTGCCGGTTACGAGGTCGTGCTTCTGTAGCCAATCGAGGTTGAGATTGTTTACTCATCAACGGCGAGAAGGATTCACAGTTTGGTATCATGTCATCGAACTTATGGTCAAACCCTGTACAATCCTAGCTGCAGTATTGACCATTCATTTCATACGTATACATAATTCAACATTAGGCAATCGTGGAAGATTGTCAACTCTGAACCCGGCCATTACGGCGTTCGGAATTGGCACGACTAATCATACAACTGCGATTTCTAAACATCGCTAAGCCAAAGGTCCGCAACGGATAATGAAAACATGCTTACTCCGTACACTCACGATTCTCCACTATATCCACACCAAACCAGGCTCTCGGAAGGGGGGAGTCAGCTTTTGACTTGACCTTACTCCACTACTCGCGTTCGAGACTACATAGTAGAAGCCCGTATTATACTAGGCGGTATCTTCCGCGCGACAACATGGCTTAGGGAGTTTGGATCCGGCTTCTCGAATAGGAAGTCTTCCCTATAAACTCCACGGCGAGCAGCCCATCGAGGTTTCGAGATCCAGGCCCGCGAACCCCTTTAGATGGGGAGAAAATTGTAATGCGTAGACTAATTAAGCCCACCATGGAGCTCAGTTGCAACATGCCTTATCAACCGGGACCTCTTTGAGAACCCGAATTGCAACGGGCGGTCTGCTCCTTCAGACCCCAAAACTGCAATGCTAATTCGACGACGTGGTTGATGCTAGCGACCCAGGATACGTACCAATATTCTCGATCGCTGCGCCGTATCAGAAAGCGGGACCAATAGCCGGGCGTCCTGGTTCTGGATTTTGCTGTTGAAACTTGATTCCACATTGGGGTGAGAAATGTCCACCCACCATCGAGCCCTAAAGATGGGGTTGGTTCCATGGTTGACAATATTTTCCACAAATAGAGCTAGGAACCAAGCCTTGTGGTGACCATTCCATTGGGAAAACATGAAACGCGGGTGAAATTCCCCTTTCTGATGTATCATGTGGCTGTGCAATGAACTCTTGGATGGCCGTTACTGAAAGTTCCTTTAAACTTTTTGCAGTGCATTTAAGCGACCTGGGGGCGATGAATCGCGGCTCCTTAGGCAGCGCCACAGCGAACGACACCACTGTATCGCTAGCTGAACCTCCCTTTCGTTTCACAGGCGAATCATCATGATGGAATTCTGGGAGGATTTCGGGCGAACACGGAAATAAACGGTGATTCTCCCTAAATGGGTCCAGGCACCGGATACCACCCGGCTTAATCTCGCCAATCCAGGGTTTTTGTCTTTTAAAGGACCGGGGTTATGCTAATCTTGGTGGTAAGATTCGCTCACAAAAACAACAATGATTCCAGAACCGCAAATGGCGCTAATTTGATGCGATTTGGTGCTGACGGCTGAGCTCGCTGGCGCCGCGCTTGAACAGCTGGCTGGACCCCTGGGTGCCACGATTGCCCAGAGCCGCCGTGTAAGTGGCTCAGGGGCATGGATCCCAGCTCGTTGATGCTGACTGTGCTGTGGAGGCGCAAGCATCCCCTTGGGCAACTTTTTCTGGCTGCCTGAACTGGGCGCGACGACGACGATGGAAATGAGATGTCGAGGAGTGATTATTATTAAATGGGAGGTGGTGGCCGCTCGAAGATGATTCTTTCCAGTTTCCTCAAGCAATAATTAAGACCTAATTCAGCCACATATCAGACTGTGAATACCTGCATTATCACCACACCAGTTACAACTTCCAACCCAAAATCATCCAAGAAGAAGGGATTACAATCTATCAACATGGCTCCCGTCTACGCCGACCACCCCTTCAAGACCCTAAACACACCTATCTTTCTCGCGAAAAGCGAAAATGAAAAGGCCGAGGTTTGTCTTTTTTAATCTTAATCCTCAATCCCAAGCTGGAACCCCCCGTAGCTAACTAAGGACACGCAAAAGTCCGACGTGTTAGACGAGATAGCCAGCGAGATGGTCAACGTGCACAACATGTTCATCCGCGGCCTAAACTCGATCTACCTGCAAGCGCCACACATCAAGCCGGCCGACGAGAAACTGTTCGCCCGCTACATCCTCGGTTGGTACCACGGGCTGCACAGCCACCACGCTGGTGAAGAGAAGTCCTTCTTCCCCGCTGTCGAACGCATGACGGGGGTCCAGGGGATCATGGACACCAACAAGGATCAGCACGAGGCGTTCCACGATGGATTCGAGGCGCTGCAGGTGTATTGCAAAGCCGTGTTGGCGGGCACCGAGAAGTATGACGGGGCCAAGCTGGTGGGCCTGGTGGATGGGTTTGCGCCGGTGCTGGTGCAGCATTTGAATGATGAGATCCCGACGATTTTGAGTCTGCGGAAGTATGGGGACAAGATGGACGGGCTTATGAAGGTGCTTGAGGACGAGGCGCAGGAGGCGATGGTATGTCCTTTCAGTCCTTTCACGGTTTCCTCTGACTGGGAAACGGAAATTTGCAAGACGCTAACAGACACAACAGAAGGAAATTGGGCTCGGCGGAATGGTTTGCCTGTTTGCCAACGTTGACTTGAAGTTTGAGAACGGCATGTGGGCGAACTGGCCACCGGCGCCGGCGCCGGTGCTCTTCTTGGTCAAGTCGATTCTCTGGTGGTTCTACCCGGAGCGCAAGTTTGGAGCGGTCGACCGGGCGGGCAACATGCAGCCTCTGTATGCGGTGCCGCAGACGGAGTAGCTTCTATTAGCAGATGGTTTAGGATACCTTCCATCAGGGGGCAGGACAATGATTAATTAATGGGTACGGGCTACTAGAAGTAGGGGTAAGGGGAATCAGATACCAGGCGTTAATAGTTACGGGATTGAATTTACGATTCGAAGCAATTTGCATGTCACAACATAGTGTTTGACTTTGAACTTTGTTTGACATATCCGTCGTCTTCCCGTTCCAGATATGCGACTAATTATGTCGGCGAATGAAGAGATTCACGCGCAAGTAGAATAGGGGCTGGCCGAATTAATGCACTGTGGATATAAGTACGACACTTCATCAGTGATGTTCATTGTTAATATCTGTAACCTGCTAGTAATTATTCCCTCCGAGATATCCGCACCCAGAACTCGTCAATCAACCAGAGACCCTGGGGTAATTAGCATTAACTCTTTCTCGTATCGTACGTTGAACTTACCGCATTCCGGATATTCGCCGCCTTGGCCGGGTACACCAGCGAAAAGTCGAACCGTCGCAGCAGCTGATTTGTTTGTTAGCTGACAGCTCCTGAATCCGTCCCCCTTTCTCAGTTTCCCAGAAATATTCCACTCACCTCAACAAATAGCTTGTTAAACTCCATCAACGCGATCCCACGCCCCGGACACTGATACTTTCCATAATGAAAATTCATCTCCACCGTGCTAACCATGCGCGCCAGCCGGTCCCCCTCAGCCTCCAACCAACGTTCCGGCCGAAACGCGTCCGCATCAGGCCCATAAATCTCCCTCGACCGGTGAATAGCCATCACATTCGACCCAATCTGCGTGCCACCAGGTATGAACTTCCCATCAATTGTGTCACCCTCCGGCGGCACCTCCTTAAACATCGCGGCCGACGCAGGCGGCATAATCCGCAGCCCTTCACGAATCACAGCCTGCAGGTACGGGAGCAGGCGGGCCTCGGCGTCCTTGATCATCCGCCTCTCCATGCCCAACCGGGGCACGGCAGCATCGATCTCGGCGCGGAGTTTTTGGTACACCGGCGGGTTGCTCAGAACGTGTAGCATGACGGCGCGGATGGTCGAGGCTGAGGTGTCGCTGCCAGCGACGATTTGGCCGAGGCTCTCGGCGGATACTTGGGCTTGGGTTAGGCCGTTGCGGATGAAGGCGCCGAGCATGTCGCGGTGATCGGGGGCGTCGGGCTCGAAACGGGAGGCGGCGACTTTCTTGGCGATTCTAAGGTGTTCGGTGTCTCATTAGTGCTGTCATATGGTTTCTGACAGGGACAACTTGATAACAGACAAACTCACCCGATCAAGGCGCCAAAACCGCTAGTGTCCGTCTCTCTCGGTAACAGTGGTCGTAATAGAGGCGTGTGCAGTAGGGAGACTAGCCCCGGATACGTCGACAGCACCATCATGGCCGGAATAGACATGGTGGTGACCTTGAGGTAGTTGAACACATCGCGATCCTGTGCAAGGAACCCCATCGGCTGGCCCCACGCGAGGTCGCTGATGACGTCCAAGGTAAAATACTGGGCCTTGACGCCGAGGTCCATCGGTCGATATTCGCCGCCCGTCGAGAGGTACTTGCGCTCGATCAGGTCGACCATGGCCGCGATTTGCGTCTCGATGGTGCTTTCTAGGGAGATGTTTTCCTTGCCAGAGAACTGACCGGTCAGCACACTTTAATCACTGCGTTGGTATATCCTTTACGGGACAAGACTTACTCCCGGCAGGATTTTGTTACGCAGCGCGGTGTGTGCTTCCTCGTCTCGCATCGTCAAGACATTGTCCATGGCCGGGTCCATGCGGAAGGCCTCGTACCCTGTCTAGGTTAGCCATCAGAATGACCACTGTTGATATTCCAAACGGCGCAACACGCACATGGCCCGCGCACATATCGAGACTTTGTGGCCATCGTCCGGCGTAAAACGTCGGGGTTGTCGGTGATGAGTTCGTTCGGGCCAACGCGGACAAGCGATCCTATCAGATTGTCAGCATCTCTTCTATCTTTTTTTAATTTTTTTTTGTTTCATTTATTTCCTTTCTGTTTATTTCTCAAGTACCACCCCGACGTTAACCTACCGTATTGATCCCCCAGTCGCTTATATGACTCCGGCAACCGGAGCGCTACGGCTTCCCGGAACGTCCACCACTTGCAGAAGCCGGCCGAAAAGGGGCCTGGGATATGCGCCAGGCGCCGCCATTGCCACACAATATGCGCGGCATACGCCACCACCAGACCGGCGAGTAGAAGGAGGGCGCTCAGCGCCATGGCATCGTCGGTGTTGTATCGTCTGTATCGTCTTGGTGTTTTTCGGTTGAATCCGTTGAAGGACTTGTCTCCTTGGCAACCGACAAAGACTAAAAAGGCAGACACCAAACCACAAAGGAGTCCAGGACCCTCATCTTTAAATCGATAGTCCCAACAGACCCGACAAACCCGACGTTTCGCCACGCTCCCTCTCCGGGCCTCTCCCATCCAAGTTTCCATGACACCTAGCCTGCATCGCCCTACTGCAACGGGAACGAGCCGAGCAGGGGGTTGTGCGAATGGTGTGGGGGGAACTCTTGGTTTTCGAGCCTTCTCATACAAAAAGGACCCCACTAGGCCCTGGTGTGTGCGGGTGCCCACCAAGCCAGCAAGGCCAGCACCAAAAACCCGAAAATACCCCCTAGTCGCCCTGTCGAGCCGTCCCAGGTAACCCGTTCATGCGGCGAACTAACGTGGGCTAACTGTCGAACTAACGCTAGTCCGGTGCAGTGGTGCTCATCTTGCGTCCCGCTTTGCCGATCCGAACGCTGGATTTGGACTACCCATCCACGAAGGAATCACTCCGTACGGCTGCGAGGGTACCATTGCAGATTGAACAAGGGGGGCTGCGGTGCAGTTGATTCGACCGGAGCCACCAGGCTGGACCGCCAACGGCATCTTGTGGTGTCTTGATGAAAACGGCAAAGGAGTGTGGATGAAGATGTGATTTGCTGTCACCTAGTGCTGCATGAGTTGGACGTGATATGTTGTTTCCTCGAGCATTGCGACGGGCTTGCGGTTCACTGGCGTGCTACGGGCATTAGTTAGGTTAGTTTGTGGGGTTAACCCGGGCAGAGCGAATGGCAGTTGCGCTCTCCAGCGCCGAACGATTTCACTGGTTTACACTATTTGTGTTCGTGAATCGTGATAGCGATAAGCTGAGGATCTTGACTTGGTAGGGGCTCATCCCGTCATAGGCAGACGGATTACTTGGTACCCAGTCTAGCATTTTGGCCCGGCTCTACGGTAGCGGTGAGAACCCTCCGGGGTAGGGATACTGCATACGGCCCGGTGGATAGCAAGCTTCCAATGTCTGTACGACATCCCTATCCACTTGTGCGTTGTCCTGCATAGCACTATCGTAAACGGTTCTCCGGGTCTCCGGGTGGGTAAGAGCTGATACCTACTAACTCAACCTGGAGTGCCGCAAAGAGAACGGACGCTACTCCGTAATGAACACAGTCTTCAAACGCCAACCTAGAACCATCCGGAATATCAATCAACTTGTCTTGATATCTTTGCAATGCAAGAGTGGATACTATGGCTGTCCATAGATCCCATCCAAATGCACCTTATGTGTGGTAAATAATTGTAAAAGAGTGACAGAATCGAAGAGTCGAGCGCAAATTCTCGTGTGGTTGAACACATCGCAGCTTGTCGGTCGCACACAGTGGCCACCTCAATCATACCGTTGTTGAAATCCCACCCACCCATACACCATTTCACCCTGTTTTCACCCCCATCTTCCCCCCTACCCCTTCACCCTCTCACCCCTGTTTTCACCTCTATCCTCCCGGTTACCCTTTATTTCTCTCAGCTTCACTTAAACCTCCCCACTCCCCGTCAGCACAACAGCCCCCAATCCAAACCGCCGCTTCACCGCCTTCCACCCCTCTACCACAGCCGTGTACACCACCACACACGCCGCGACAACCCCCCACTCCCACCCAATGGCCTCGTGCTTAAACACGATCCGGTTCACCACCGGAAGGTAAATCACAGGGAACGCAATAACAAACCCGGCCGTGACAGCCCCAAACAGGAACCGGTTCTGCCACACGGTGCGAAACACCGAAAACAACCCCGCGTGTCTTTTCTCGGCGGCCGAGGCCAAGGCAGACGAGTTCGGCAGCGGCGGCGGCTGCATGTTAAAAAGAGAGCGCGTAAAGTGCTTGGCCTCCCACGCCGTGATCAGCAGCAAGAAGGTCAGCGTAGCAAACGTCGTTGCGCGCGCCCGGAACACCATGGCACACCCGTCTGAGTACGCCTCGTTGCACTCGTGGCCCAAACCGGCCGCGCCACTGCCGCCGGGACCGTAGGCAACCGAGGTGAAGGCCGCCAGACAGAGCCCGCCCATGGTGGTGCCGTAGACGAACTTGTCGACGATGAGCTCGCGCGTGAAGACGCCGGCGGCTAGGTCGTGCGGCGGGCGCTGCATGATGTCGGGTTGGGCGGCCTCGATGCCGAGGCCGAGAGCGAGGAAGGAGGAGGTCACGAGGTTGGCCCAGAGGATCTCGAGGGGGGAGAGCGGGAAGACGGACACGCCGGTGTTATCTTTGAAGGCGAGGCCGATTAGGAGGAGGAAGACTTGCGCGATGTTGGAGACGAGGAGGTGGAGGAGGAACTGGTTTGTGTTAGTGGGGTATTCTGATGAGTATTCGGTCAAGGGGAAACAGTCAGGGGTAAGTAAACACAACACACCTTCTGGATATTGTCAAACAGACGGCGGCCTTCCTCGATAGCCGTCACGATCGAGGCGAAATTGTCGTCCGTCAACACCATGTCGGCCGCCTCCTTGGCCACGTCGCTGCCGTTGCGCCCCATCGCGATGCCCACGTCCGACTTCTTGAGCGCCGGCGAGTCGTTCACGCCGTCGCCTGTCATGACGCAAAATGCCTTCCTCCGGTGCATGGCTTCCACCATGCGCACTTTTGTCGTAGGGCTGCACCGCGCGAGCACGAGAGGCAGCCGAGGCAGGGCATCGATCTGCGCCTCACTGAGGCTGTCGAAGGCGTTGGCCAACATGATGTTGCTGGCGTCGCTGCTACTGGTATTGCTGCTACCAGGGGGGAGGATGCCAATTTCATGGGCGATGGCCGTGGCCGTCTTGACGTGGTCGCCTGTGAGCATGTGGACCGTAATGCCGGCTTGCTGGCACTTGCTCACGGCCGCTGCAGATTCGAGCCGGGGCGGGTCGTAGAGACCGGCCAGGCCGAGGAAAGTGAGGTCCTTTTCGACGACGTTACGGTGGTGGTCTAGGTTGTTGGTGTGTCCAGGAGCAGCAGCGCCGCCCTTTTCCGGGCCGGCTGCGCTCTGGGTGATAAACTCGGACGGGTCGACGGGTTTCTTGGCGATGCAGAGAACACGCAACCCTTCGGCAGCGAGCGATTCTGCTTTATTTACAATAGCCACCCTCTCCTCGTCTGTAACGTTCATCAGTGGAAGCATGGCCTCGAGAGCACCCTTGGTGTATGCAAAGGCCTCGTCTGGACCATCTGCACACACCACAGTCATCCGCTTGCAGGACGAGTCGAATGGAAACTCGGCCAGCAGTTGGTGGTCCCCCGCTCGCGTCAGCTCGGGCTTCCCCAAACCGAAACGCATCGCTAGGACCTGGAGCGCAATCTCCGTAGGTTCACCGATGGCCGTGTAAGTGGCATCCGCAAGAGAAACAGCCGAGTTGTTGCAAAGTGCAACGGTCTCGAGAAACGCTTGAAATTTTGCAATAATCTTCTCCGCCCCCGAAGAGCCAAGTACAAAGACCCCCTCACCCACACGCACGTTTCCGCTGGTGGGATCAAAGGGGTGCGTGGTGTCCTGCACTTCGGCGGCCGTGCCATCCGCGAGCCACACCCGCTTGGCCACCATCTTGCCCTGCGTGAGCGTTCCCGTCTTGTCGGAGCAGATGTTGGTGACCCCGCCGACCGCCTCGAGCGCGGCGAGCTTGCGGATGACCACGTTACCCTTGGCCATGGACCGCGTGCCGAGCGCTGTGGCAATCGTGAGCACGGCAATGAGGGATTCCGGGATAACAGCCACGGCCACGCAAATGCCGTAGATAAGCACTTCGTTGGTGACGTGCCAACGGCTGACCGAAAATACAATAACGGCAAGGAGGATGGCGAGGGCAAAGAGCAGTAGCGCGAACTTGCTCAGCGCCACCTGCATCGGCGTGCCGTCAAGGCCCAGCAGCACACGGACACTGTTCCGGGTCTTGACCCAAGCCCGGCCCGCGGCCGTGGTGTTTCGCTGGCTGTCGGCCGGGTTGTCCCGGCTTTTACGTAGCAGTTCGGCAATCTTGCCGACCTCAGTGGTAAAGCCTGTTGCGACGACGATGCCCCGGGCCCGCCCGCGAGAGACGGTGCTAGCCGAGTACACCATGTTGATGCGATCGCCCAGGGGCACGTCGCGGTCCTTGAGCACGATCTCGGCGTGCTTGCTGACCGGTACCGACTCGCCCGTGAGCAGTGCCTCGTCCGTCGATAGGTTGATGCTGTGCACCAGCCGCAGATCGGCTGGGACAATGTCGCCGACCCCCAGCTGGACTAGGTCGCCGGGTACCAGGCTTTCGGCCTTGATGGTGTCGGCCTGGCCATCGCGGATTACCTTGCATGTGGGTGCCGAGAGCGCATAGAGTGCCTGGATGGTCTGCTCTGCACGCAAGTCTTGGATAAACCTGGGTGGTGTGTGTTAGCAAGCAGCAGAATACCGTAAATACGGGGTACGGTAATTAACCTACCCAACCACGATGTTGAGGAGGATAACGGCGGCAATAACACCGCCTTCGATGTGATCAGCAATGGCGAAGGATAGGACCATCGTGATGACGAGTACCTGTTCGTATTAGCGTCCGACTAGGAATCATTCAAGGGCGCCAGCACGACTTACAAGAGTCAGGCTGTTGGAGACCTGTCTCAGGAGAATCGTCCACACGGATAGCCCCTTAGCTCCCTCAACCTTGTTAGGGCCATGCCGCTGCAGCCGGCTGGCCGCTTCGACACTGGCAATTCCATTTCTACTTTTGTTAGTCCAAGTCACCCAAACGCAGAAACGGAAACATACTCGGCGTGGGTATCGAGCAGAGCACAGGTGTCTGGCACGGAGAGCGTATGGGCCGACTCGGGACTCAGCAGCTGGGCCGTGTCAAGAGTGCTGGTGATGGACCCGCGACCGACGGTGGCATTGGCATCACCATCCGTGACTTCGGCGTCGTCGGTTCCGGAGGTCCCGAGAAGGGTGGGGGATGGAGTGGCTACAGAACTCTTGAAGCCACATATAGGAGGCTCCGTCTGCCCCTCGACGTCCAGCTCGTTCTCTGTCCCCATTCAATATAGTTGCTTCGCCGATGAGATCCCAGGCGATGGTGGTATGCTGCTGGGGTAAAAAGTGATAATAAGAAGAGAAGGTAAAAAGGGGGGGAGAAGTGAACAAATGGGCAAAATTCCAGAACAAGTCCGGATGACGAGCCGGGGTGTTTAAGATCTGGAGGGGATCTGGAACCTAGGATTCTTCCCTCTTCTCTCGCCCTCCCCACCACCCCAATCCAAACATTCATGGGGGCGCCAAACGGCCAAACAGACGACAGCCACACGCCGAGCGGACAGACATCCGACTTCTGGGGCGTGCTACGTCGGCCAAGGGCCGCCAGCAATCGCAAGGAACAAGTGACGAACGCCGCCAAGTTGTCGCCTTTCTCCAATCACATCCTCCTTCATGACCCCCGCCGAGCACTGGCCCCCTGCTCCCCCCAAGCTCCCCCTAGCTCCCCCCCAGTTCTCCCGTGTCCTTTTCCCCAGTTTCCGAACATTCTTTGTGACCTGCTCTCTGGATCTTGCTTAGCGTGCCAATGTGCAGCATCGATGCAGCACTTGCAGTCTTGTGTTGCCCACCGCCAAATGGAGGATGCAGTAAAAAAAATCCCAACCCAGTGCCGCAACTTGGTCACCTGCTCCCTGGCTTGTCTCATAAACCCCGTTACCCAGAGCTGACAGCCGCCCCGTTTCCAGGTAAGCTGCCCCGCCGGATCCCGGTTGCCGGTGCTATTGGATCGCCGTTGCGGGGCTGTCGGGTGCCGGGCGGGCCACGTCGAACGGCCGATGCCTTTTTGGCCGTTTTTCTTTTTTCTTTTTCGATCCTTTTTTTTGATTTCAGTCGACCGTTCCAGGCATCCCGCACCCACGTGCATGGTACCGCAACCGTCAGCTCCCGATGGACCGCCATCCTTTCATTGTGAAAGAAAACAAACACAAAACAGAACACAAAATATGGCCTGTTCGGAAGCTCGGAACTTGCTCTGTTTTGCAAGCACAAGGAACCACACTTCCACATAACAAGAGCCCCACTGAGGCCCAAGCCACGCCAATCGCAATACCCCACCACACCACCCCAAATGCAGCATGTCCTCGCCATCATGTAAGTGCCCAGAAGAGAAAATGCGAAACACGTGCTTCTCCCATGCACGGCATGTTGGGGGACTGTCCTCTACAAACGGAGGATATTGCAGACATGTCGTGGACTCTTCGCTTTTGTCGGATCACTAGGCACTGTAAAGTTTTCGCCGCAAGCCTTTGCTAGAGGGCAGCGTGGGCAGCTGTTGTCTGTTGTTTGAGTTCCAAGATCCCCGTCGATTACGCTTGCTAACCTGCTCGCACGGCCACAAAGCCAGGCATGAGCACTTGGCAGCTCGGCGCCCAGCAGCGAGCAGCGGTTTGGGAATCTCGCTGTCATGGACAAGGGCCTGTTCGGTCAATCCTGCGGGATGCCGAGAATTGGCATCGTCGTTTGGCCTCCCTGGGTTCCCGGCCTCCTTCAAAACGAAGAAAATCCACACACGTGCCCATATTCATGGATGATGGGGCATATGCACCTCGACAACGTTGGACACTGGAGCCCCCACCTGTATGCATCGACCACTGCCAACAAGAGCGGGGGTTCGACAATGACGAGAATCGTGACGCAGAGAGGTTACAGGATATTCTCTTCCCCACGCAAGTTTCCAATGATCAGCCCAGAGTTGGTTGTTGACCAGTCATGCCAGCTTCTTGGTAGAAAAGAGTCGGCTTTCCGCATCTCGTTTAACCCCGCTGTCTCGTTGTTTGCAAGGACCACCTTCGGTTGGCAGTGGCTGATAAAGGTCCGAACATTTCCCGGGAACGAGTACAAACGGGGACGTTGATCAGTTTCGTTCCCGTATAGTGTACGTGTCGACGTGGCGGCTTCTACATTCGCGGTGATCACACGACGAAGACTTCTCACTGCTGTGGCGTTTGTCCGAGAATTGGTCAGATACTGGCGAGATGTTGCATCGGACGTTGGCTAAAGCCCCAAATGCCGGCAGGCAAACCTCTGCCCACTTTACGCGTTGCCAATTGAGTGTTGATTATGTACGCCAGCTCTGGTGCCAAACCACATGCTGGTACTGTACAGTTAAGTTATCCTCGGAGCTCTGGTTTCGGGGATCCAGCATAGGTACCGCAGACCGTCGGATAATACGAATAGTCGTTACGAATGCGGTTACGCAGCAGGCTGCTATGTTAAGCTAAATTGGACTCTTGGATTAGTTGACTAGACCCTATTATTCCGTGACCGCAACGTTAAAATAGTCAGCCTCCTAGTAGTAGTATAACGACAGGCGGGACACAAACACAGCACGTACCGCGCGTCTCCGGGCTAAACGCCATTGTTATGCGGACGATTAGGCCGGTTTCGGGCCAGCAAGTTCACCAACTTAAAACTTGCATCAATGGGAGGATATATCTGGACTCCCGGACGACGGAAACTACACGGCAAAGGGACAATTCCCGTCTTTGATGTGGCCGGAAAAGTTGTTACAGTCCGGTTTGTGAGACCTTAACAGGAAGGCGCGGTGGGCCCGATCTGGGCAAGTGGGGCGTGTTGTTGGGATAAGGTCGGGAGCCTGGGCCACCTCAATTTTGCACACTTTCCCGGGCCTTTCAGGTTCTTGGTAGAAAAAGATTTCTCCACCCGAAGACGAAGGCACCAAATTCCTGACATCAACAGGTCAACGGAAGCCAAAGAGGACGGCTTTCAACATCCCCTTGACTAAGCGGGAGTCTCGAGTCGCACAATGCGGCGCATCGCGCGGCGCGGCGGACGTTCGATGGACCGACCCTTGGGGATCCGCCCCGCGCTAGCCGCTTCGGGGGCCCGATGCTGGGCGACCATCTGCTGGCGGCCAGACTCCAATTGCCCAAATACCCCGCCAAGATGGAGCGAAGAAACACTATGAGCGAAAGTTTGTTGACCGCTTCACGATCCCTTTCTTCACCTCGCAATCACCAGCAGCAAGACTACCTGCCCGCCCAAACGCAGCAGCCATGGCCGACACAGTGTACCGCGCGAGCACCACGGCGCCGGTGAACATCGCCGTCGTCAAGTACGCCAGTCCCTCCGATCTCGGTTCCTCCTCGAACCCCTTGTCCCCTGACTGACCGCTGCCCAACACAGGTACTGGGGCAAACGGGACCCCAAGCTCAACTTACCGACCAACAGCTCGCTTTCAGTGACGCTGTCGCAGGCCGACTTGCGTACATTGACGACCGCCTCGTGCTCCGCCTCGTACCCGGCCGCAGAGGGCGATTCGTTGCTGCTCAACGGCGAGCTGTCCGATGTCTCGGGCGCCCGCACCCAGGCCTGCTTCCGCGAACTGCGGTCGCGCCGCGCCGCCCTAGAGGCCGCCAACCCATCGCTCCCTAAGCTCTCAACCTTCCCGCTTCGCCTTGTGTCCGAGAACAACTTCCCGACCGCTGCGGGGCTCGCTTCGTCCGCGGCCGGTTTTGCAGCCCTGGTTCGCGCTATTGCCAACCTGTACGAGCTGCCCGCGTCGCCATCGGAGCTGAGCCTTATCGCCCGTCAGGGCTCCGGGTCGGCGTGCCGTAGCTTGTTTGGCGGGTACGTCGCGTGGCGTATGGGCGATGCCGCCGACGGCAGCGACTCGAAGGCTGACCAGGTGGCCGAGGCATCGCACTGGCCCGAGATGCGCGCCATTGTGCTTGTTGTGTCGGCCGCGAAGAAAGGTGTTAGCTCGACCTCGGGTATGCAGCAGACGGTGGCCACGTCGGGCCTATTCCAGGAGCGCATTGCCAAGGTCGTGCCGGAGAACATGGCTACCATGGAGAAGGCCATCCACAACCGTGACTTTGCCTCTTTTGCCGAGGTCACGATGCGCGATTCCAACTCGTTCCATGCCACCTGCGCGGACACTTACCCGCCCATCTTTTACATGAACGACGTCTCGCGTGCCGCCATCCGCGCTGTCGAGCAGATCAACGCGGCCGCTGGGCAGACCGTGGCCGCCTACACCTTTGACGCCGGTCCGAATGCGGTCATCTACTACCTGGAAAAGGACACGGAGGCGGTTGTGGGCACGCTCTACCACGTTCTCGGTGGTGAGATAACCGGGTGGAAGGACGCGGTGCTCAAGGGGCTCAAGCCGAGCATCTCGGTAGACGAAGGCGCGGCTAGCATCCTCAAAAACGGAGTGAGCCGGGTGATTCTCACGGGCGTGGGCGAGGGCCCAATCAAGACGGATGAGTATCTCGTGACGGAGGACGGGCGGCCGGCGAAGAGGTAATTTAGGATTGAGGTACCGGGTAGATAGCGAACCATAAATATAGACGGGCGTTGGGCTTACTGGTGGCGCATTGTGACATTTCGGAGCTTGCAACCTGTCACGATGAAAAGGCATCCAATGCGCACGGCCTAGCTAATCACCGCTGTTGATCCCCCAGATTCTAGGGGTCCCATCCCCTGGAACGGGAGCGCGATAAGCCCCGATAAGCGCCTGCGGGACGTCAACCCGCTGTCAACCCAGGTTCAGGGGGGCATTTGACAGGCCAAGCATGCGACCCGGCCTTGTCCAATTCTAAAGCTTGACATCCATCCGGCTTAAACCTCCCATCACCATCTGCCAACCGACGACACCCCCTCTTCTCGGCCGCCAATTGACTGCCCCGAGAAGCGGCCAAGAATGCGACCGGCGCCGCCATGAGCCGGAGCTTCTACGACATCGACCCGGCGGGCGAAGTGCTCTGCACGTACACCGATGGGGGGCAAAGAGAGACGCTCAAGTCGGTGTGTTTACCCGCTTTCTCGATTTGCGTGATCCCATTGTTAAATGGGATGGAAGCTAATGCTCACCACCACCAGGAAAAAACAGACGTTCCGCTCGCCAAGGCGATCCTTTACGCCTTCTTGCCCGCCGGCTTCCCCCACACCGTCACCGATGACTACCTAGCCTACCAAACCTTCGACTCGCTCCAGGCTTTCGCCTCATCCATCACATCCCTCCTAGCTAACCGGGCCGTACTCGAAGGTCTAGGCGTGGGCAGCTCGTCGTCCTCTCCAACCGGCGCGCTGATCCTCAAGGTCACTGGCGACACCATCTCGCGTATCGCGACCATCTTATTCGCTCACCGCATGGGCCAAGCCATCGAGCCCGAGTGCAAGTTCTACCGCTTCCTAGCCGACATCTTCAATGACTCGGCTCAGTTCCTCGACCTACTCACCCCCGCCCTGCCCTACTTCCCCAAGCTGGGCATCATCGTCTCTGCCGGCGTGTTGCGCTCGCTATGTGGCGTCGCCGCCAACGCCAGCAAAGCCAGTCTCTCGGCGCATTTTGCGCTGACCGGGAACCTCGCCGAGCTCAACGCCAAGGAGGCGTCACAAGAAACCGTCGTCAGCCTGCTAGGTATGCTGGTCGGCTCAATGGTAGTGCGCATGGTCGAGGACAAGCAGGTCGTGTGGATGCTCATGGTCCTGCTCGCCGGCGTGCACCTGACCATGAACTACCACGCCGTGCGTGCCGTGAAGATGCGCTCGCTCAACCGCCAGCGCGCGACTATCGTCTTTCGCGAGTGGCTCGACCACGGTACCGTGTTGACGCCGGATCAGGTGTCTGCGCGGGAGAGTATCCTGCGCAATGGCCGTGGGAATCTGGCGAGCAAGACTGGGGACTACACTGGGTTTTGTGACTTTGGCACGTACGGCGACTTGATGAGTTGGAACCCGCGCGCCCACCACCGCTATGATTTCGAGACGAGTACCTATTTTATGGGGATATGGCATCGCGGGGGGTACTTTTACATCCGCATCGCACTCAAAGAAGGGGTCAAGAGTCCGCTAGCGGCCTGGTTTGACGCCGTTAACCATGCGTATCACTTCGACTCGGCCCTCAAGGACGGACTTCAGAGCCACTATGAGAGCGAGCTACCGCTAGGGTATGTGTCTGAGGAGCAGAAGCAGACCATCTTTGGGGCTATGGCGGCGGCGGGGTGGAATTTAGAAGTCAATGCGCTCGAGACGAGGTTGCCAGTCAGGGTGAGGGTGGGCGAGGGGCGGAAAGGTGAGTGAACTATAGAATCCCGTGGATACAATGCGAAGGCTAACTTTAGTAGTGCCTCATCTGTCTGAAAAGGACCCAATACGGTTCAACAATGGCCTTGTTGAGGCAAAGCACGATTAGGTCATGGGTATCATAGGTTTCTTCTACTTTGGATTCGGTCTTGGGTTTGGAACGGTGCATAAGGTAACATTTTGGGTAAGTTGGGCATCGGAAGAATTATCTCTTTTATTTTGCTTTTTATGATACCACGGGGCAGTAGCCCAACCTTATGCGACGATCAACAGTTGAGCTTTCATTCTTTAGGCATGACTTCGTGTTAGATCCTACAGTGTACAAAGCTCATCTAAGCCATGGCCACCCCGGCATCTAAGTGGTATGGTACATTATCGTGTTAGTACATACATGGTGGCCCTCATGGAGCCCCCCAAGGCGACTCTTTATGAAAGCCCTACGGCCCTCAACGCCCTCATCTTGACCCCCTCCCACGTATTCAACTTCGGCCGCACATCCAGGTAAAAGTTCAGCTTATTCTTCCCCGCTGCACCATCATTCCTGCCAGCGTAAAAGTCGATCACATATTCCACCTTTGTCCCACACCGGTCCACGATCCAGTCATGCCTATCAAACGGCGCGGAATACCCCAATAACGTGTTGATGCGGGCCTTCGGACTCATCGTGGCACTGCCAAGCCCAGCGAAACTGTGCAGTCGTGGCCCGCCACATCCGCCTCGCGTCACAGGGGCCGTGAAGGGCGCCTCCCATTTGAGAATCTCGGCCCATGCCCGCTCGTTGACGGCGTTGTGTATGGGCACGACGGTCTTCATGTCGGCGGCTGCGGCCGTGTGGCCTTTGCGCTTCATGGCCTCGAAGAACTGTTTCTCGGAGGGGTACACCCAGTGGCCGGTCTTGGACGCGCCCGTTTCTTGCTCGTGGTTGGAGGGGCTCTGGGCGGACGGCGCAGAGGTGGGGTCGGAGGATCGTGGGATACTGGAGATTTCGCGGGCTTCGCCAAGTCGCGATTGGCTATGCGCCTGAGGCGGAGCTTGTTGGGTCGATTGTGTGGGTTTGGAGAAGAAGGGTATTTGCAACCATGATGACCAGGACGACGAGGCGTTCTTCGTCTGTTGTACTGTTGCCGTCGGCGCTGTGTTGGCCCCGGCCTGCGCAGCTCTCTCCTGCTGAGCCTGCTGCAACCACAGATCGCGGGTCTTGTGGTCAACAGGGCACTTGTCCGCGTCTCCGGCGGGAGGGCCGTCCGCCCCGGTTCCCTTCATGCTTGCAGTGGCCGTCGTCGACCCGGACGAACCAGCCTGGGCTTTCGTAGTGTCGCCTTGCGGCGTCGCTTCTTGGCGACTGATGAGAACGGTGTCGAGCAGATCAGTGTGCATTATGCGCGCATGTTTCGGAGCGGTCCGTCCTGCGGTCGCATTTGTCGAGCTTTGGTTGGGAGTTGTCAAATGCAAAGCTGCGAAGCTTGCTTGTGGCGTGGTGGGATAAAATCGTGGAAATTTACTGGAGCACGCAACGCCGGCCCGATTTCAGTTGCCAGCCGTTGATCAGCTGCTCCGGTGGCGCAGGGATAACCGGGGACAAGCACCGAACACGATGCTGATGCCGATCAAAGACTGAAAGAAAAAGCCAGAGCAATGGGAAGTACGGCATCCATGTATTTAAAAGACGTCAGAATATCCCCAAAACACCGTAGCAACAATGGGGCAGAGAAGAGTGCGAGAATGTAAAATGTAGGTTTACGACTTTGGTTACAATTTAACCGAATACCCCCCGCCCACGCAATCAGCGGGAGCCCAGGTGGCCGTCGCGAAAGCCCACCCATCCATTGCCATAAACAAACAGCATAACAAAGAAAAAGCCAACCCGTTTTAAAGATGCTCGTCATCCTTTTCCCATGCTCCGGCGGTAGTCCGCGCCCCGTGTGTCCGCCGATGGCCTCATCACATCGCACAATGCTTTTAATAGCTTACATGCCATGCCTGTGGTATCATAACTGTGCGCGTCTTCCTAAACCCGAAACGTTCCAATCCCTGTATACCGAGGGAAAATGATGCGAGAATGATGCTCGAGCCTGCCGCCGGGTCCGTTGATAGAGAAGATAAAAAATGAAACAAAGAGATGCCGTAAGAATGATATAAATGCCGCTTAGGCGAATACTGCCGCGCCACCAGTCTCGATCGCCTCAATCTCGGCCGCAGTTAGGGGCTGGCGGTGGAAGCGCGACGGCAGGTCGTTGCGGTCAAAAAAGACACCCTTCGGTGGGACGATAGATCCAAGATAGGCGCCCGAAGCGCCCCCAATACCGGCGTCCGCCTTGATGCTCTTGCGCAGAGGGCCGAACTGCTGGGCATGGTCGCGGTAGGCGCTGAAGCTGGAGTGGGACGAGCTGTTGGTGAAGGAAGGCGGCAGAGAGTGCGTCGGCGAGGCGGGGTGCGGCTGGGGAGAGTGGTCGATGGAAGCTGCGGTTAAGGTTCATGTCAGCGTCGCGGGTTCATTGATGTGCAACCATCATTGTCCGGCCGAGCAAGATGAACATACCAGGCACAGTCCGCTTGCCGAGAAAGCGAATGGAAGGAGTGCGCTCGGCGTGCGCAGCAGCCTGGCGGAGAACCTTGGTGACAAGCATGGCTGTGAAGAAAATGGGTGGTGGTGAGAACCGGAACAGGCGGGGACTTTCCGGGGAGTATTATAAAGCGATGAGCCGGCGACTTTTTGGGGGGAGCTTCTCCTCGCGACGATTGCTGTCACTCGCGTGGTCTTGGGGCGTAGTGGGCAAAGGCGGACGGACGTCGGCAAGAGCGAAGATGACAGGCAGATCGAAGGAGGAGAATTGAGTGGTGAACGGAACGTTGGAGTTCAAAAACAAAGACTGGGGTCAAAGTCGAGGTCCTGGGGGGGTTTTTCACATTTCACAAGCTCCGAGCCCTCCATGCGACAGGGGGTCCCACCACACCCGATCCAGTAAAATGGACCAATTACACGTCAGAAAACTCACTTGGCCCCCGAACGCCGGAGTCTCACCTAGGCAGAACCACGCCATCGGTCGATGCATCCCGCGTCTCCTGCAGACGTTCGTCCCGATTCTGGCCCGGGACTGGAACAAACGGATAGACCGAACCAAAACGCGAAGAGGGCCGTTATTCTGAGAGATCTTTTGATCTTTCGCCTTCTTCTTTATTAATTGAAATATCAATCAAACTTCGGGTGTTTTGCCTCCGAAACCAAGGCCTGACGCTTCCTTCCTGTCCCCTTTTTCTACGCTTCTGTCCGGGAATTTCGAATCGTCCCATTTTTCGCCCCCCACCTCAACAACATCCCGATTCTTCCCGTAACTGTACACCAACAAGTCGATCCTCGGTTTGTTGAGTCTCTGGGCACCTCAGCTCGGCATCTCTGAGCTCAGGCTTGCGAATTGCATGTGTTGTGTGTCTCGCTGCCCTCAAGGGCCTGTTTGTCCTTTTTTGAGCCGTTCAATGTCGGACGTTGAATTTCAACGGCGTGCGCCCTGCTGCCCTGTCCCGCGCACATGGATGCGGCTGGCTCCACGATCGGAATGTCGAACTGGTCCCCACTCAACTCCACCCTTATCTCTGCAATCCCCCGCCTTTCGCTTGTCATTGCTTTGACCACATTCGCCTTCCCCGCGGGATCACATTGGCTGTCGCAGACTCGGGTTGCCTTTTCCGTCAACGTTGTCGATTTATGATTTATCATATGGCTGACGCAATTCCGTTTGGTTCCCACGAAATGACGAGGCCCCTTTGACAAAAAAGGAGAGATGTCAACAACCAGGGCAACTGACGCTCATTTTGGGAAATATTAGCTAATTAGAGGAGGATAGAAGCGTTCGTCGAAATCAGTCAATTCGCCTAGATCACCTTCTCGTAGGCCGTAGTATTAATAGCATCAAACTTAAAGTGCGGTTTCCAGAAATCACGAGTGTGGAAGGACGCGTTCAGTGGATGGAGTAACGAGTGCTAATGAAACACACGACTCTTTCGGTTTTGATTCGCCAAATCAAGTTATCGCAAGAAATGGAGACCCGATGGGTTGGACCATGTTTTGGCATGCGTAATTATTCGGTAAGATGGGAATCATCTTTAAATCTTACAGTCTACGATGTGCCGCGGTAAACAGTTCCGTTTAAGCTATGGGCAGACCGTACCGAGCGGATAAAGGAAACAGAGGTGCGAACTCGATTGGAACGAGAGCACAAGGGGGCGACGGGGGAAAGATAGCATTCATTGTAGCCCGAAGTTCAACATTTAATTATGTATTAGACATGAATCTGCCTCAATTTCCCGCCCTCCATGCATCCACCCTCCTCCTTAAGTCCTCCATAGCCCACATCCATACAGCCTTTAGGTAATTAAAGCAGTCACAGAACCCTCTCTACGGCCTACCTGGTATGCGGCATTCGTGTGCTGAAAGTTCGTGCCCGTTGCCCTCAGGTCCGGGCCTGCTAATCTTCCGTGGCATGGGTGGGAAGTTACATTCCACGAAAGGCCTGCTTTGGTAACGCCATGAGCACTTAGGCCGGCTAGAGCGGCTGTTAAACTGCTGCCATAAAATATCACAATATTAACCAAAGCAAATGATCTGACAACAAGTGCAATGCCGGGGGTTGAGACTATCGTCAATGACGATAGCCTCTTCCACACACCTCTCGCTAGATACGGTACTGTTCAACCTTCTGAGACTCTCCATTCCTCTTTTACGTTGCAAACATCACTTGCCTTCAATTTCTCTGCTTTCCGTCTTCATATACTTTATATTTCGTCTCCTCAATATCTGTTTTCATTTCTCGCCAGCTCGACAAGCCGTCTAGCCTCGTTGGGTAGGGATGGAATAGCTGCTGAACTTCTTTGGATTTAGCTTACTCGCCGCTGGCGACATGAGTCATTCGATGTGTTACCAGGGATCGTGAGGGTGAGCTCGATGAGAGGTCAAATATATCTGCACTATTTCGAATTTGTAGTGTTGCCTGTAATTTATTCGACAGATAATCACCTTGATCATAGCTCGCCATCCCCTGTATATGCTCCGCTTCCTCGCAGTAGGACCGGCCACAGTAACCCGGCCCAACAAAGTGAAACCGTGGTGCGTCATAGGATAAGGATGCTCAATATTGAGAGAGAGAGACAACATACCTAGGCCCCGGCCGTAGGCACGGTACAACACAATGCACGACGGAACCCAGGCCTTACCCTGTTGGACGCCACGTGTTTAACCTGCCACCAGCCGGGACCACTGGGGGTAGGACAGGCAGGGAACCTTCCGTGCAGAGGGTGGAGGCAGCAACAGGGTGTCATGAGCGCGAGGGGGGGAGCTACCATTAGTAGCAGCTGACTGTGTGGGTGGTGGTCGGCGTTTCTTGTTTCATCATGGGTGAGGTGAGATGTCAGTCAAGGCTCTCAAGGAGGCGGGACCGATTAGCCGCCGGGCTGTTTCAGAGACCAACACCAGCATCCAGCGATTTGATCCAGATCGTAAATATGACAGAAGGCGGGGGAACATCTTCTACCCTTCCCGTCGCACCAAAAAGCCCCGCGTCTTGTGTCAGTGACTGGGGCAGACAGACATTGGTGTTACAGAGTCCTCGAAGCGCGACAAGCGAGCGCACAGCAAAAGCAGCCCAACCCCCGTCCCACCACGACACGACAGATCCGCCCGTCCGCCCACAGCATGTCTCGTTACATCTTGACACAGTGAGGGTAGGGAGCTTCCTAGCATAGCTTAGCCCGAGCCTGACCTCACCTGCAAATAGCCGGTGGTGTGTTGTTCACCATTCTTAGTATGTGGGCTTCGAGACGACACACAGACAGGGGCGCCCAGGTGCATGTTGGATTCATCTGATATGATCAAATTGTTGACCTTTTCGCTCTTGTGACTATGCATTCCCTTCCCATCGCCCATCCCCAAAATAGTGAACACATGCTTTTGCCTGCTCGCTAGAAGCTTTTTTAGACACTAAAATGTAAAAAAAGAGTAGACGTAGCAAATGAATCAAGCCTGCTGGCCATGGCTGCGGAATCAGGACGGTGAGAGCGATTAATGCACACAGAAAAATTAAATCACACATCCAGACGGGAATAAAACAAGGAATGACAGCAACCGATGGGGTATCTTGATTTGAGATGCAAGAATAAGAAAGCAACATTATCTGACGGAGGATTCTCTTTTGGAAACCGGCCGCCCTCATTAGATCGTCGTAGATCATCATGTCTTCTTCGAATCATCACTTTTTTTTGTTCGTCATTCGCGTAGTGCCTCACTTGCGCAAGCCGACCTTGCCAGCCAGGTTCTTCAGCCACACCGAGGCGCTGTTTCGGCGATCCTCGACGGTCGGGTCGCGAACCATGGCGGCCTCGCGCAGCATAGGCCCAATGATCTCAACGTCGCCGAGCTCCGGGAACTTGCCGTCGTCGCTCAGCATGTGGGGCACGGATGGCGACAGGGTCTCCTCGGCAGTGCGCCGCAGCTGCGAGACCACGGATGGGTGGTCCTTCCACTGCTGTCCAAGGCGGTCGACGAGCTGTTCCTCGTTCTGCTGCCACTCCAGCTCGGTCTCGGCCCACTTGGCTTCAGTCAAAGCGAAGGTTTTGGAGGTTGAGCCGTAATGCTCGCCCGTTCGCACGAGGTGCTTGGCGTAGTTGGTCCGAGCCAGATTCCAGTCGGCGCGGAAGGACTGCAGCGTGGCGAGGTCCGCCGTCTCGCAGGCGTAGGGCCTGGGCTCGATCGTGAAGTTGGCATGTCCGAGGCGGTCGGACCACGAGTCGCTGTGGTCAAAGAGGCACGGAACGGGGGACGGCGCATCACTGAAGGTGCTGGACATGGTCCCGCGCCGCAGGGAGGTCATAGATGGCTTCCCGCTGAGTGGTGGTGTGGGGTACGCAACCGCCGCTGGCGGGTCGGCGGGCCCTAGGGTCTGAGAAATCATAGTGGGCGACTGCAGCGGCGAAGCTTGCAGCGAAGGGGGTTGGGTATGGCTCGCGATCGCGTCGGTAAGCAAGGGAGGCAAGAGCGGTGTCGTCGCATGGATGCGGTCCCGTTCGACCCGGCGGCCCAGCGTGGCGGGCAGGGTGTGTAGGCCATCGAGGGGTGAAGGGATGGCCACGCTTTCGGAGCTCTCGTAGAAGGACAAGGCCGGGGTGGCCGGGACCGAGTCCTGGGCGTGGTCGGAAGCGTGGGCCGGACGGGATAAGGAAGAGGATCGGCTGGAGGCGGCGAGGGAGAGGCTCGGACGCGGCTCAGCGAGGGAGGGGTCGGAAGCCGGGAAAAAGGTCAGATCGTGGCGTCGAGAGATGGACGACGACCGCCAGCGCGGTAAGCTGGGCAGCCGTGACCCCAACCGCGTGCTCCAGTTTGAGAAACCCGAATCTGACCCATGACGCCGCTTTTTGGACCGGGGGCTGGTGTTGAAGTCCCCGTCGCTGAGGAAGCCGAGGTCATAATCTGGGTCCGAGAGCATGTAGGGGTTTGTGCTAGTGCGTGTCTGTGCCGCATCGGCGTTATGGGAACATGGAAAATCACCTGGAATTACGGTCAGCACGAACCAAAACAGAAAAAGACGCGCCGAAACGGCACAGCTTGGAGCTCGGAGCTACCCACACAAGCAGTAGTCGTGAAAGCTAAACTCGCGTTCGTTGCGCCTTGGCGGGGTCGCGAGTGGCCCTCGCCGGGTGTCCTCCTCGACATGGTCCCGGTATGCTTCCTCGTCATCCCGCTCCAATGGCTCTTCCGCGACGTCAGGAAGCTGGGACTTGCTGGGGCGGGCCACGTGAAGTGATTGTGTCGGTGACGTGGGGCTTTCAGTGCCGGGCGGGGTGATGAGCTCGAGCGAGGACGACGAGCCGGATAACCTCAAGTGGTTGGAGCGTGAGAAGGTCGAAGCAACGGGGGAGGGCGAGGCCAGGTCGGACGAGGACGAGTCATGGGCGTAGTATGGGGACTGTGGATGTTGTAGAGGTTGTGCTTGTGCTTGTGGTGGTGGTGGTGGTGGTAGCTGGTCTTCCACGTCGTCGTTGAGCTTCCTCCGCTCTTCCACGAGCCGCGGAAGCAGCAACGGCTTTAGCCCTAGCGACATGGAGGGACTGCAAGCATGAAGCCACGGGATGCGACGGGCTGCAGGTACTCAGAGGACCGAAGCGGTCGCGAGGTCTTTTCTTGCTGGTTTGGCGTGTCGAGTGGTGTTGTGGTCGTTGTAGTCGTTGAAGGTCTGGAGGAGAATTCGAGAATCTGGAATCTGGGGATAGAGGTGGAGGGGCCGACAATTTGTTGCTGGGGTCTGACAGCAGCAAAGGAGCAGACGAGCAGAGAGCTTGCTGGGCGAATCGCCGGGGCGCGCAACGACCGGGGTGCGTGAATTGGGGCTCGCGCCAGTCCGCCCGGCGTTGGTAAAAATGAATTTTGCGGGTCCCCACCCTGGCAACTGCCTGGGACCACCCACGATCCTGGCACCCCGGTAGCACCTACCCCGGTACGAAGTACAAGCCTGGAAGTCCAGCCCGCAGGGCCGGTCCAGAAGGTGGCGGTCGGCCGTCAGCGCTTGGCCTGGGCGGCAGTTGGCGAGTTTGGTTGGGCGATCGTCCCGCAAGATGACGAAGTTGGCAGCGAGCCAACCTGGAATCGTGCTGCAAGCCGCGCTCAAAGTTGAAAATAACCGCCAAAACAAGCCGCGGGTCAATTCTGCCGAATGAAGCGGCGCGACAATGAGGGAGCCGCTGGAGCGTTCCGAGATTCTCAGTTTCTTTATATGAAGACCCGCCCCTCAACCTGCGATGAGTCGGACTAACGGGACTCTGATCCAGTGGGCTTTGCTCGGCGTAGACAGACGGGTACTAGTAGTTACAAGTTACAAGTCACCCGCATTCGTGTCTCGCGGGGGGCAGGCCGACGAATGGGCCCGTGAAAACCCCCCAGGTCGGGCAGCGGGCCACCAAAAGATGGAGGTGGTCTTGCGAGCGGTCTTGCGAGTGGTCTTGCTTGACCCCCTTCCCGCTTCCTGCCCCCCCAAGTACCCCTAGAATTCCCCTCTTCGTCTCCCCCTCGTGATGCTGCGTTCCGTCATCTTCTTGTGCCGTTGGGGGTCCAGTCTTGGGGTAGAAGGCACAAGGTGCAGGAAGGGATTGCAGCACCCGACGTGGGCAGTCAACAGCCGGGCCACCAGACTTCAGTTCCCGCAATCAGAGTTCTATCCGCAGAGGTATCCGGCGGTACTGCCACTGGCACCACGTGTATATCGGGCACTCTCCGCTGCGACGCTCCCGTTCGGCGTGGGGTGGGGCTGGCGGCGAGCAGGTGGGCCAAGGCCCAAGAGAAGAGAAGGGAAAAAATGACGGCCTTAGTGCTGTGGCTCGCGATCTGGCACGCCGGAGCCGGAGTCGCTCGCATCCAATCAATCTGCGCGGCACAATCGCTGGCCTGACACACAGGAGCAACGCGCCCCGCAGAGTTCGCTCACTCACATCATCAGTTCATCGGTTGGGCAACGGCTTGTGGCGCGCGGGTGGGCCAATGGCACCGTGCTTGAGGCGTCGAACACGTCGAGCGATGAGCCGTGGGAGGGAACCTTACAGCATGACGAAGAATTTGCGAGACAGCAACGTGAACGGATGGTTGGTCTGGCTTCATGGGGGCCGGCCACGGATGCTCCCAGTGTTGGCCCCGGCCCAACCGCAGAGACGGGCCGTTAAGCTTACATACTGCCGATGTGCGCGGCGGTCTTGTCGACGACGGGACGGGAGCGGCGTGCGGGGGAGCTCGCAGCTTGGGGTCGGGTTGGGGGTGCAGAAGAAGGAAATTGGCCTCGAGCTTCCTGGAGCTTGGTCAATCCCACAACGTGATATCTGTGTTCGGAGCGGGTTGGTTCGCCCGCGTGCTCAATTTCCTCCCGCTTTCTCCTCTGTTCCTTCGGGGGTTGATAAGTCGAAAGTTGACTCTCGGCGAATGTGGGGTTGAGTCGGGTTCCAGAACCTCCGGCCGTTGGCGGATCATGCCTATCACGCCCAGGGTTGGAGGGCCGCGGTCAGCCGAAGCTTGTGCCCCAACTCGTGGTGCCAAAGCTCGAACTCGTGTACGAAGTACTTCGTTCAGAGTACACTACGCTATGGATAGCACGCGTGTGTCGAGGCGGTGACGCGAACATGGGCATAATACACGGCTTACACGAGACGGCGGTCAGAGCTCCTTGAGTTTCAAATGCCCTTGCTAGTCGTGAGGTTGGAAAACTCTGAACCGGCGCTTCGACACATTTGGCAATTGGAGGCTGGAAAGACGGTGGAGCCACGCCCCAAACGCCGCACTTGGAAGGCCGTCTTGTGGCTCTTCGCGGGGCCGGTTTGATTCCGCCGTTCCGTTTGGTCGCCAATTCGGTCTTCCGAACCTGATCGAAGGAACGGGAGGATGTGGCCAGCAAACTCTGCACTTTGTTGCGATTGATGTGACGTGAAAATGGAGCTTGCAGTGGTGGGGCGATGGAGGAGCTCGGACCCCGCAAGCTCGGGCCTGCTCTCCCATGCCCGTTGGGTCTACCACCTGCCAGGCTTGGGACGAACAGCTGGTGTGGGTCCGCCGGATTCGGTCGAGCCCACCATCTGTGCTGGGATCCCCCCGAAATTGTCGAAAAATCTCCCAAAATGGGTTCGAAACTGGTCGCTGCAACGAACCCAACCATCGCCTCCCGCCCAACGGTTGGCGATTTTTGCGCATTTTTGATTCGCTCCGGCCTCGCGTACCTTGCGTAAGCGTGTCGAGCCATTGACACGCTCCTCGTGCCTTTCGTCTCCAGGTTGCCCGCGTACGGCGTCGATGAATTGAGACGACGACTGGACCATGGAATCGAGTCCACGTTACGGAGGTACATCTGTTACTCCTAGTTTATCTTTCAACCTGTTCTATTCTGGCCAGACCATCCCAGCGTCGGGACAAATCCGTGGTTCTCGGACGCGAGCCGTGGTGCTGTGGCGAGAAAGAGGCACAGAGGCGACCAAATCGAGAACCCTCATTGCAACGCTGGGCGAGGTGTGTGGTGCCGGTTCCACTTGCAAACCCTAAATGCGGGTCCTCGACCCGTCCGCAGGATGCTGTGTTGCTCCGATGCGAGGGCTCTTCGGCTCGACGAGTCGGTGCTGCTCAACAAGTGAGTACTGAGTGCTCACTCCGACTCGGACAGCCGGGTCATCGTCATTGATCTCCCCACCATCCCTCGATGCTTACCAACATGGATGAGTACTACCCCACGCCCTCCTCTCTCGAGATGACCTTCAGACGATATTGATTCGCGAGGCATATGAACAAGGTTGAAGGACCAAAGCCGTCGTATGATAAGAACGAGCCAAGCTGTTGACCAAGATGACTCCCGCGGGGGACAACCATACATGTCGTGTGATGTGCCGTTCGTGCGGTGCCTGACGCCCACATCTCTTCGCCGTGGATACGTGTCCACGCGCCGGGCGGCCGAGGTTTCCGTCCACGAGATACCCAGAAAGATTATCTCCTCGACCCTGCGTCCTCTGGTAGTATTCTATGACGGCCTGATAACTCTGATTGATCCGGCCCTCTCATCACATCACAGTCCCGTACCATCCGTCCCTGGAGACGAAGACGGCGAACCTCAAGAGCCCTATCATCGTAGCCACAGGGCTGACCGGTCCCCGTAACGGATGGAACGCTGTTATTCAGGCACGCCACTCAGAGCGAGGTACGGTTCCCACCCGTTGTGTGGGATGGACAGCCATCGGCTGCCGATCGATTCCAGCCGGCGGCTCGCGTGCCTTGCCTAGAACGTTTAAGAAGCTGCCATGTGGTGGTGGTCGGACGGTCGGTTGCAATTTGCACTCGGGGGTGCCAGTGAGTGTCAAGCTGGTTGCTCCGCTGCCTGTGGCGGCCGAGGTTGGTTTCTTGTCCCTTGCATTAGTCCCTCGTTGTGGAGGGGTGGGGAGGGGCAGGATTCGCCCAGCTTCCAACGGCCCAGTTCTTCGCAATAGGCCTCGACCATGCCATGCGTGCGTGGAGAGGAAAGAAGAGTTTTCAATGACTGGCAGCGCTGTGTCCATGAGTGGCGTTACCAGCCACTGTTGGGGAACGAGACAGGTCCCACGTCCTGCTACGTTATATTCAAACGCCTGATTGCAGAGCCCGGCAAAGCGAACAAACAACTAAGTTAGAATGATTAGAAGAGCTGCACTACCCGTGTTAGGAACATGACCTATCAGTTTCAATGTATATGAACTGGTAGTGACATTAGAAGTAGGTGCAATTGCAATTTACAATGTAGATTCTCATGCAAATGTGCTTGTGCCAGTGTGAATGCAGACATAATTACCGACGCAGGTTGTTCGGGTGTGAAGTACTTCGCGTGCAATTCTAATTGCACCTAAACGTCCCGCCTATTCAGAAGGGCCTAGAACCAATAGCTAGTAGGATTGAAAGCAATAACCTTTGAGTAACAACAAAAGCGAAGACCTGTGTGTAATTATTGTATTGGAGGGCGAATTTGGAGTTGCTAATTAACATTATTTCATTTTTTCCACTCTAAATTGCTGACTTAACAGAGTCTTGGAAGGTGTCGAGGACTGGTGCCCAGAAGATGCGAAGACTTTGTGCTCGCGCCTAAATTTAACATCAGGTCTGCGGCTAGAAACCATTTGGATAGTCCCTTCTTGGGGACGTTTTATATAATACACCATATACGTAGATCTAAGGTGCGCTTGAGTCGCGGTAACGGGAGCTCGACTAACTAGTCCCCAACATTTGTTCTTTTCTGTTGTGGAATTATGGCCAAACAAGTGTTCACGATCAGGCTCCTCGTAGTTTAACTGGGTATCAAATATATATATCTTGTTATGACTGTGATAACTCATTGTGTCCAAACCCCGTTAACGCTTATGCCCAACCTGGTGTGTACAAAAACGAAAATCTAAAAAGGAAATGGTGCATCAGATACCGCGGCTATGATACCGCAGCAATAGCATCGTCCATCAGCTTCATGAACTCCTCTTTCTCCATCTTGACATCATCGAAATGCCACGACGCCCGCTTGGCAAGTGTCGCAGCCCCAGCGCCTCGCTTGCCAGGATGCTTCCCGACCGGGACCTGGGCACCGTACGCAGTGAGATAGTGCAGGCCCTTCATGACAGACAAGTTACGAAACCCCCTATAGTCGTTGGTCGCGGGCCGGATCTCCACCACGGCGCCGTGATCGTTCCGCATGAACATGGTGTGGGCGAACCCCGCGCCGTGAACGCCCAGCAGAATATCCGTTTCGCGTACCAGCAGGAGCTGTTCCACAAAGGAAATAGCCGAGAAGTCGACCGATCGGACCCGCACATGCGGATACTTGGCCTCAACAGCCGCCAGGAGGGCTTCGTCGTCCACCAGCCTGCGCTTGTCGGTGCGGTTGATGTAGGTGAGGTTGACAGGCGCCGGCGACGAGGACGAGTGTGAGGCATCGGGAATCAGCGCTGGAGTCGGGATCCCGTAGAAGCCCAGGACGCGGTGGGAGAATGCCCGGAGCATCGGCGCATGCCCGCAGTCGTGGTTGTCCCAGTCGTTTTGCCAGATTGGGTTGGCAGCGCCGGCGATTGGGACGATGATGCTGCGCGGGACTTCGGCAAAGGTCTGGGCCTTCTCCTTGTCCTCGAGAATATCCTTCAGGCGGATGGGTGGCCGGCCGGTGACTAGGGCCCAGAGATCCAGCAGGAGGCCGTCTGTGAGGTCGTCGACCACGATGACCTCGGTGTTTGGGACGTCCTCTCTGTCGTCAAAAAAAGGGCCGCCTTCGCGTGACGGGTCAGCGGTGGTACGTAGCAGGTCGAAACTCATAGTCATGGTCATGATCTCCATCAGGCAGTGCCAAATGTTGGAGTTGGACTCGCGCTTGGCGAGCAGAGCGAACTTGAGAGTGTTGTGGGGCGCGGACGGCGGCGTCGTTGGTGCTGGTGCGCTTGACGAGTCGCGTCCGATGTGGATGAAATGGTCGAAAGTAAAGCGAGGGCCGCTGTCGTACCACTCGCCCCGGATTTCGTCAAACGGTATTAAGCCGCGGTCCGTTTCGGTCGTGTTAGGGTCCCGCAGTTCACAATCCAGCGCAAACTGCTTGCGGCCCACGTCCAGCGTGGCGCTTTGTCCAATACAGATCGAGTCGATCTCACCGTTGGGGCGACTCTGGCCTTGGAAACAGTGCAGGGCGGCCGAGCCCGTGGCGCAGTACTGGATCGCGTGCGTACGGAAGTCATCGAGATAGTGTGGGGTGAAGCGCTCGGTACAGTACTCGGACTGCGGGACGGGGTCTTCGAGCAACTCGTCGTACTCGGCTGGAAGAGCAAGGGCAGGCCTGTCTTGGGCGTCGGACGCCCAGGGGAAGGAGTTCGGCCATTTAAAGCGGAAGTAGCTGTTGTTAGGATCCCGGCTGAGCGAGTCGAGTTCAAAGTAGACGATAAAGAGGAGAAGGATAGCGGCAGTAAGGAGCTGAACTCGGTGCCTGCGCGCAAACACGAACGGGACGTGAGAGGCCATAGCCGACTGGAGACTAGAACTGTGACATGCTCGACAAGGTGAGCCATTGGTATCTCAAGAAGAAGAGATTTCCAAGTCCTCGGTTGGTGTCTCGGGAAGAGATGGTGCGAGTAATAAGGGCCGCCTCGCCTGGCCTGGCCGGGCATGGGGCGTGGACGATCTCGCGATGGTGAGCTGAAAGGGATTGGGGCGATCGCGTGGGGTAAGAGCGTTAACGAGCCGCCAGGCGAACTCGGGCGCGCTAAACGCCAGAATGTGACTCGCGAAAATGTGGTTAGCGGCTGATTGCCCCAGCGCGCACTGTGCGATCTGTGAGAGTTTGACGCACTTTCCATGCATGAGACCTTCATCACAGTAGCAAAGCTAACAGCGACTGCAACATCATGGAACCAACATTCCACGCCAGCGCGAGAGCGGCGACCCAACTTGGGGCCTCAGACGCCTGGCCCTCAGCTCCTCATGCAAGGCAGAACCCATTTCGGTAAATCTGAGCACTGATCAACCGCTGTCTCTTCTTCCTTTCTCCCGATTTCGTCGCCTGATTTTACCGCGGATTTCGCTGCTCCCTAAAACTGATGATGGGTGCCCTAGTTAACTGATCTTCTTTTTGTCTCTCAGGTAATTTCAGCATCTAATTAAATGCCTTTGGGCATACAATGCTGGAGCTTGTGTTTTTTTAGTCGGAAAATACCTGACTGGTACACAATCGACTAATCTAGCACAACCTTGCCCATCGACGCCGAGCCTGTGCACGATCCTTGGCGGAAAGTGGACTTCAGAGATTTAATCATCAATAGCGAGTCGCGGGACGCCTTAGCTCCCTACCGGTACGCAAAGAGAAGCCTCTCAACGGTTCTTCATGTGCGCCTTGTTAAGAACGAAGCACCGCGTCCATACGGCTCAGCAGGTAACGCACTGCGATGATTGCCCCCTTCCGCGCTTGACGAGCGCCATCGTTGCTTTCTATGTCCACGTTGTCCAGGGACAAAAGCACGTCTTGCATCACCCTTTCAGTCAACGCCCTGTGCCTTTCCTTAACCTCGGAAGCCGTCCCTGGGGGGTTTGCAATGAACTCTTCGCAGCGAGGCCACATTTCATTTTGAAAGCCGAAAAATATCTTGTTTATCCGCTCCAAGGGTCCATCAGGAGGAGGAGCGCGCTCGGGCTGCTTCTCCTGCCTCCGCCTCCTGGCATCGGCCTCCTTTGCAATCAGCTCCCACTCTGGCTTGACGCTCTCTTTTATATGTCTGGCGTAGAAATTCTCAACCTAAAGTAGATTATTAGTTGGCGGGATTTGATAGTAAAGGGCCGCGGAACATACCATAACTGCTGTTTTGGTTGTCATGCATTCGGCAATCTTCACCCAATCTGTGCCGAAAGTGCGGAGCAGCCAGGGGAAGCCATCAGTCTCGGATACACTCCAGTGCGTCGACGGTATTTGAGGCCGTACTGGCTCAAACGTGGGGTCTGTGGCTAGATCGGGCTGTACCAGGGGGCTTGAAGGGGAGGTGTCATCCACCCCTAACTGCCTTCCATGCACGTTGTCTTGCTCTTGCCTTCCGGAGGTGCGCATGGTTGCCAGAGCCCCGGCAAGATTGCGTCTCCCTTGGCTCGTCGACCTTTCGGCGGACGTGGCAGCCTGCTGGAGGAAATCTTGCCAGGTCAGGTCATTGTATTGCGCAGCCGACAGCGAGAAGATCTGCTCGTTGGCCTGTTGCTCGGAGGGGCGCGTCAGCGCGTCCGCCATCTCGCCCAGCACCGACGCCTGTGCTGCTTCTTGAATGTAAGGATCACTGCCCACGTCAAGTGGCGGCTTATGTAATTGCCTGAGAGGAGCGGTGAACTCTCCCTCATCTTCATCCATCTCTTCCATACCAAGGTCGCTGTAGGTACGCTCGCGCCGCGCGATATAGTTGGTTTCCACGCTGGAAGGACTTTCGACCTCGTCCCCCTTCCCATCTCCACCTTGGCTGTTGCTTTTGCTCCAGATATGGTTGATTTCCTCTCCTTCGCTGTTCGTACTAGGCAGACCAAACAGTGCAAGCTGCTCGAGATGGGCGGCCACGTGCGAGATATATTGCTTGTGCGAGATGATATGGAAATCGGAACAGAGAGGGCAATTCCCTTTAGCTCTCGCGAGATCAGTGTGGCTACTCAGTCTCTGCAGCGTGTCGAATGACCCGTGGGTCGAGTGCTTCCCTTTGACGTGTTCTTCAAAGTCCCGGACCGAACCGAAGCCATCACACAAACTGCCGTAGGGGCACCGCTAGGTCCTCCAGTGGTGCCGGTTCATGTGTTCGATCCAATCGCTGCGACGAAGGTATTGCTGTTCTGGGGTCGTGCACGAGCTATAGAGACAGACGTATGGCCGGAGATCCCGGAAGACATGTTTTTTCCAGTCGTGTCTCGTGTTGATTGACACAATCGTGCGACAATAGGGGCATTGGAAAGGGCCGTCAGAGGACTCCTCTGGCAGCGGAGGGACTCGTAGCTGCGTTTCACTGGCTGTCGACACAGCGTATGAGGTCCTGGAGATGTTGGACTCGGCGTCTACTTCGGCAAAGTTATCTATGGCGTGCGATTCCTTGAGATAGTTGGGAATAGATGACGCTTTGGTCGTTGCCTTGTCTCCCCCATCGCCCTCCACGACCTCCGCGGTATCTAGTCCCTCGGCAAGTTCACCGACATGCTCCTCGCGGTACTTGAAATACTGCCGCCGGCGTGCGGTAGCCTTACCAAGTCGCTCCGCGAGCTCGGGGAGGGCGTTAGGGAATTTCTCGCGGATATGTTCGATATCCCATTGTTCGTAGACGCTGACCAAATCTGTCCCGACTCTTGATTTGAAGTGGTCGTGTGGCGCAGGGTTCCGGATCGTTATCGCCAGTCTGAAGAGACAGTCGACGATGTGCCCAACGTCATCTAGGATGCGACCGAATTCGGAATGCCCATCGTCATCCCGGAAGTAGTCTTCTAGAGCAACATCGGTCGAGTCTCCATCCTCAACCTCGACATTTTGCTGAGCGGCCAGAACCGAGACTTCTCCACTTGTCTCTTTTGCAGTCCGTACTCCTAAGCCCAGTCAGCAACTACCTCCCCATATCTGTTCACGTGGAAATTTCGCGATTCCAACGTGGCTTACCCTCGTCAACTGATTCGCAGAGGCCTTGAAGCAACGAGACGACGTGATTCTTAATTGTCGAGGCGTCGCGAAGCCGGTACGCAAGCGAGCGACTTCCCGACGGGCGATGCGCGCCCAGACTTCCGGCCCATAGCTTGAACCGTGCAAGGCGAGACACAGCAGCTGCCCTTTCGGCGAGCGTATCATCCAGTGCGGACAGTAGTGCCTCGAACGACGAAAGGGCGTAGGATACGATCGTGGCAATGGGAAGTTGAGATTCGCCTTGGCTGTGCACCACCATTTTGTTTGACAAACTGACGATTCTCGGAGTGGTGAAAGTTGAACCGACGGGGCGGCGAGGGAAACCGTGGGTGTGGGGAAGAGACCTTATGAAAGTAATTAATCACCTGCTCGCTGTGGCCAAAAAAAAGCGGCAGACTACACTAAAACAGCCAGGTAGCTTAATTTGTCCTTTTTCACTTTTTCGATTTACTCTTCTTCGTCTTTTTTTCACTTTTGTTTTTTTTCTTTTTTGTCTTTTTCACCTTTTTGATCTATTCCTTTTTTGTCCTTTTCACTTTTTTTCGATTTAACTATTCTTTTTTGTCTTCTTTCATTTTTCCGATTTATTGATTATTCTTTTTTAGTTATCTTCTTTCACTTTTCCGATTTATTCTATTTTATCTTTCATTTTTTTTTTTTGATTTATTCTTGTTTGTCATGCTTGTAGACAATTAAGTTATCCTGGGGCTTGGTCTGCCGTTTTTTGTTTTTTTTTTTTTGGCTACAGCGAGGTGATTATGGGGGGTCTTTACCGACCTAACCAATCCAGTTGACGGCTGAAGTTATCTCGGTGCTCAGACCCTCTTCTTTTTCGGCTGGCGCGGCAGGTGCAGGGCGTGAATGCACCTAATTTGGGTGCTGTGCCTTCCTGTTACGCAGGTGGTTCATATGCAGACAAGAACTTCAGAGCGGGGTTGCGTCAAGTCTTTGAGCCGCATCATATCCTTCATTCCCTCAATGACAATTGGCATCGTCCTCAATCCACAATGTCCGGATTCGAAGTGGCAGGTGTCGTCCTTGGCGTCTTGCCTTTGGCAATTAAGGCGGCCAAAGCTTACATGGATATACTTTCGTCCATGAAAGATGCTAAACGCAATCTTAAGGCTTTACTCCACGATCTCGAGACGGAGCAGATCCGGCTAGAAACAACTTGCGAGGTGCTCCTTGACGGCATTGTCCCGCACTTGCTAATAGACCGACTTGTCCGGGCCCCCCTGGCCCCGAATGGGCATTGTATAGTGACCAACTCCGACTGCGCCTATGGATGACATCCACCAAGTTTGAAGAGCAAGTCTCCGAGATGCTCGGAGCAGTTAAGGAACTGCAGGAGAAGTTATGCATGGAAGCTGATGGCAGCGTATGTTCCCTGACGTGACAGATCTACCTTACCTAGGTAGGCAGTCAAGCTGCGCGCTCGTTTGTTGACATGGTCATACGCAGCCTAGATTTACTGACCGCGTTGCGATTTTGCGGGAGCTGAAACGGGAAGCATCATTTTCTCTCAAGAAGAAGGACTACGAAGAAATCCTAACCAGGATCAAAACCGCCAATTCCATTCTCCACGATCTCACCGACCAAAACTGTGGGCTCGAGACGAGCAGAAAACACAGGAGTCAGGCTCGACTAGTGGCATTGCTTCGAAGCTTAACCCGCAGCATCTTCAAGGGTCTCTACAGTGCGTCAATCAGCTGCTGTGCGAAACGCCATACAGCCTGCCTTGAACTGGAGCCTAGAAGCACAGTTCTCGTACCAACCGACATCGACGACGATGTTGCCCGGAAATTTGGATTCCATGTCGAGCTTAGCTCCAGGCTGGCGGGGGAAAGAGAACGCAGCTCAGCCTCGACAGTATGGGAGGGAATTTGCATCAAGCTCGCAGATACTCATCCCAAGCCCGAGCCGGCCCTGACGTATGGTAGCGCCGCTACTGTTCCCGTTGCGACGGCCTCAAAGGTATCTCGTGCCGCCGGGTGGTCGAAATCGTTGGGCTTCAGCTTGACGAGAGAAACGTCATCCATGTCGGCTACACAGAGGCTCGTGGGAGTGTCGCGGAGTCTTCTTGTCTCAACAGTGACGTCCCCAAGTACACCCTCAGCAAAGGGCACGGGAGTGATGTACCAGCCATGCCGGTCAGCCCATAGGAATCCTGATGAACCGACAGTAGAATGCTATGGTTACATCACACACTCAGACAACAGATTTGAGCTGCGGCCACTACGGAGCCCTCAGTCTAGCATCGGCCGTACTACCGTCACGTTACGAGAGGTAATCATCGGCGGAAATCCCAATACCGCATTACCTCCATTTGAATACCCCGACAAACTGAGGGTTGCCGTCGCCGTTTCCATCAGCATTCTCCATCTCTACAACACACCATGGTTGCCGAGAGTCATGAGCTTGGACGATGTCGTCTTTCTTCCAGAAAACGACACTACGCGAGTTTCTGTTGGTACCCGCGAGTCGACGTACCGGCCATTTGTTGTCCAAGACCTGAAGGCAGAGAGCCACCCCTCCCAGTCACAACCCCCGAAGGGCCCCAGGCCGGTGAACCTCACAGTTCTTTCCCTCGGTGCGTTGCTGATACAACTAATCATCGGCAAGGTCATTGGGTCATTAGACATGTCCGGCAACATGGACATGGCGTCCATCTTGGAGAAATGCGAGGCCGCCAACCGACACAACGGAGAGGTCCTCACGAAGGGCGGGATGAACTACGCTGCGGCCGTCAAATGGTGCCTTGATACTGGGCTGAACGTGGCCGGATTAGAAGATGATAGCTTCTGCCAGAACTTTTATGAAACGGTCGTTGCAAAGCTGGAAGACGATGTAAAGTACCTGACAGCCGATGGCTGATTTTATCAGGTACTTTGCTTGATTACGACTGCGCTGGACGGGCCTTATAGGGAGACTCCAATCAATCTCAACGCGGCGACTAACGGACATCAGTTTCGGTAGTTGGGAGAGGCCTCGGTGTACTGACCGGAACGTTCATAGACCATACCGACCCCTCCATCTCGCCCACCATGTCTGTCTCGCTGCTGTATTACCATTCGCTTATCAAGACTTTGGTCGCGTTGGAAGGCATTAATATTAGAGAGTTAAAGGTCTCGCATTCATCACCCGAGGCTATGTCTCGTGGGAAAATGGGCCGCTGGAGGTATAGTAATTAGGTATAGACGTTATGGTACATTAAGCATAGACGTTATGGAGCTGCTTTATGTAGCAACCGGGTGTTTGAAGCACAATGCTCTATTGAGTGCTTCCGGTCGCATTGTGAGCCGCCGTCCGGCGCTTTTTGTTTTCTTCTTGGGTTTCGCCTGCCCACCGCGGAGCCTTGTGTGGGTTTACGAGTTGCGTTTCCATCCGGCCCGACTAAGTCTAGAGCACGCCATTAAAAGATGAGTGTCTTATATGAGTCTTGGACATCTGTGTGCCGCTAACCGGGTGGAGATGATTGGATTCACTGGTGTCGAGACGCAATAAATTGGGGTTCTTGGGCCGGTTGTTACAATAGACTCAAGTGGTAGTCCTGCGTCTTGGCAGCTGGGCGGGCCGGAATTCTCAGGGTCCGTCGTATTCTGCCATTACTGGTAGTATTTTGCGGAGAAATTCATTTGGCGATATGAATTGTCTAAGGGGCCGAGTTAACCTCGACCTGGGGGACGGGAAGTCGAGTGGGGATTCTATACTTATAACTAACTGTTATAGCTATATCATTATAATATCAGCGCATTGTGAGTGCAAAGGGTCACGATCCCTGAAATTGTCTGCGTGAGATTACCCGGTGCAAACATGTCAGACAATAGCGGCTCGGCGCATTGAACGTCACGGGCGGAATGGCCACCTCATCATCGGGCTTGTTAACTTCCCGGCTTCCCAACTCCCAACTTATCCGTGCCTCTTCGGCGCCATACCCGGGTTATGCCGTGTGGGGAGCAAACGGTTGATTCCTCGGCGCCTTGTACCGTCGAGCCGTGGGCCAATCGTCGAGGGAAACCGTGATGATGAACCCGGCACGGCAACTCGTCCCGTCTCGGCCCTGCTGTTGAGCCGTGACGTTGTTCCCCAGACCCGAAGATCGAGTTACTCACTCCATGCATTGACCGAGGCCGGTGGGCTGGGCCATATTATGGCAAAATCTACTTGGAGCTACACAGTTGGTACACTAGCGAAGGGGGAGCTGTGGTATTATCTATTCATGTAGAATCCGTGAGCAAAGAGCATGCTTCCCGGTTGCAGGTACGGGTGATCAACTTCGTAGGAGTGATACAGTGGTGCGAGTTTCCGTCAATCTTACATAGCAACCCTGTGTCAAAATCGCGCGGATCGCGGAGCCGGACCGGGCCCGGCAGCTGTTAGGAAGGCAAAGTCAGCGCCATGCTCGGCCTGATTGACCTCGCGCATGTACAGTCCGCGATAACCCCTGAGCCGGTCCCTGGCCACCCATGGTTCCAAAGTACCCTCAAGACCGTCCTCATTCCCAGCAGCCACCGCACTGGCAGCCCGGTGTTGCATCTCCTCCCTCCTCCGCCTCAGCCGATCCCGCAACTCATTCTCATCCACCTCGACGCTCAGCTCCCTCGTCTCCGCATCACACACCACCACATCCCCATCCCGTACCACCCCCAAAATAGACCCCGGATCAGCCCCCTCAGGCGACACATGCAGCACAATCGTCCCGCCCGCCGTGCCGCTCATACGCCCGTCCGAAATCCGCAGCATATCCTGCACGCCCTGCGCAGCCAACTTCCGCGGGATGGGGATCAGCCCGGCCTCGGGCATCCCCGGGTTCCCCACGGGACCGATCCCGGTCAGGATCAACACGCTGTCGGCGTCGACATCAAGAGCCGGGTCATCGATGCGCGCGGCGAGATCGGCAGACCCGTGGAAGACGACGGCGCGGCCGCGGTAGTTTTGTATGAGACGTCGGTCTTTGGACGCGCTGGCTTTGAGCACCGCTGCGCCTCCTGGGGAGAGGTTGCCGTGCTGGAAGACTATGAGGGCCGAGGAGGGGTACAGCGGGGCGGTGAAGGGGCGGATGCAGTTGGCTGGGTGGTCTGGAGGTAGCGTGAGGATGGATACTTTGGAGAGCTCCTCGCCGAGGGTGTGACCTGTCACCGTGAGAGCGTCGAGGTGGAGCAGTGGGCGTAGCTGGTGCAGTAGCGCGGGCATGCCGCCGGCGTTGTGGAAGTCGGTCATGTAGTTGTTGCCGCTGGGCTTGAGGTCTACGAGCAGCGGTGTTCGGCGGCCAATCTCGTCGACGGTGGCCGGCGTGACGGTGCCTGCAAGAGTCGGATGGCGGTTGACGATGGCCATGAGATGCACCATGGCGTTGGTCGAGCCGCCGATTGCCTGCAGCACGGTGATGGCGTTGAGGAAGGATTCACGCGTGAGGATGGTCTGAGGCGCGAGGCGGGACTGCGTGAGCTGCACGGCGTGCACCCCTGTCGACTCCGCGATGCGCAGGCGGGCGGATGACACGGCCGCGGGCGTGGCCCCTTGGATCGGCATCATCCCGAGCGCCACGAGCAGACACGCCATTGTGCTAGCCGTGCCCATGACCCCGCAGGTACCGGCCTGCGGAAGAAGGAATGAGTTGTGGTTCTTGGTGCTCAGAATATCGTATCCGGTGGGGATCACATACCGTCGGCGCCAACTCCTCGTTGAGGTTGGAGATGTCCTCGATATCGAGACCCCCTGCCCGGAAGGTGGCCCAGTTGTTGCGGCAGTCTGTGCAGGCTCCGACCCGTGTCCCCTTGAAACTGCCGGGCATCATGGGGCCAGTGACGAGGTGGATGATGGGCTTGTTGGCCGAGATGCCGCCCATCAACTGAGCCGGTGTTGTCTTGTCGCAGCCTGGCTTGTTAGTCAGTTGCCCCTTTTCAATCCGAGGCTCACTCCTTTCACTTACCCCCTATCAACACGACAGCATCAACCGGCTGCGCGCGGATCATCTCCTCGGTATCGATGCTCATGAGATTCCGCAAGAACATGCTCGTGGGCGCGGCAAACGACTCGTGCAGACTGATGGTCGGAAAGTCGATGGCCAGCCCCCCGTGCAGCTGCACCCCACGCTTTACGGCGTCGATGAGCTGCGGGATGTTGGCGTGGCACGGGTTGAAGGACGAGTACGTGTTGACGATGCCGACGATGGGCCGCGAGAGGGCGTCCTCACTATAACCCATAGCCTTGATGAACAACTTTCGCATGAACAGCGAGAAGTGCGCGTCCCCGTACGAGGTCAGCTTCTGGCGCAAGCCGACGCCGTCCAGGTTGATGGGCCTGCTTAGGTCATAGTCGCGCTGGGGGTTGTTTCCTTCAGCCATGTTGGATGCTGGATTTCTGAGTTGAGTCAGGCCGGATTTAGTGTCGAGTGAGTCGAGCGTTCAGTCTGAGCTATTCTCGGGAGTGTTTAACCGTATCACCGAGCTAATTGCATCCAGGGTATGGAGGACTGGTGGGTGGGGTGTTTGAATGGCGTGACAGGCGTCAGAGAACAGTGGGGCAATTTGGAGGAAGTGGTAGACGAGGCAAGATTGTACGTCTTGTAATTAGTATCATACGTTAATAATTACGATTCTACTACAAATATATAGCAATTAAACAAGTTGAAATTTGTGTCTAATTGATCGTCGGAGCCCTTTGGATGATTACCCTTGTGAATGAAATGAATCGTGCCTTCTTCTGTTCTTCCATGTGCATCGTAATACGTCACAGAACCGTATCAAGAACCCTTCGCTTGAATTATTGTTTTTTATCTCCCGCTAACCAGAAGATTCTAGCAAATATAAACAGTAGTACTGTTGTTCTTTTCTTATCTATCAGTTTCTCTTGCAGAAGCCTGAACTACCATATTATCTGACCACTAAGTGCTTGGAATCGACGAGTTTATGTACAATGACATTGAGCCACGGTGCTATGACATTGCCACCAGAACTATAAATACTCCCTGCCTCTCCCACTACTTATGTTTCTTTCGTTTCCCTCCTGTCCTAATTTCACCCTATATAATCTTCCTCATCCCTCACCCCCTCTGTCGAATCAATCAAGATTTTACCAATAATTACGTCTTGCACAATGTCACACATCAAAGACTCGCTTCTTCATCCTCTCGGATACACATGGAAAACCATGGTCCAACATACCAAACACACCAGTCGACGTCGCCATTCATTGCGGCGATTTGACGGATGAATCAAAACTCGAGGAATTTCGTGTTTCCTTGGCATTGCTCCGTCGCATCAACGCACCTTTAAAACTCGTTGTTGCTGGGAATCACGATTTTACCCTCGACACCCCTGCCTACGAAAAAAAAGCGGCACAGGCAAACCGCCTATTTTCGATCGACTCTGCTCTCATGACGAGGGAGTATGGGTCGTTCGGAGAGGCGCGGCGATTATTCGACATCGGCAACCACGATGACGGCGACAATGACATTGTGTTCCTCGACGAAGGCGTGCACCACTTTGATCTTCAAAACGGTGCTCGCTTGACGGTATATGCGAGCCCCTTTACTCTCGAAGCGGACTGGGGTTTCCAATACCGCCGCGGCGAGGATCACGAATTTGCGATTGGCGATGAAGTCGATGTCGTCATTACCCATGGCCCGCCAAAGGACGTCTTGGACCTCACAGCCTCCAGGTAGCGCGGAGGTTGTGAACAGCTCTTTGCAGCCGTTGCAAGGGCTCGCCCACGTCTTCATTGCTTTGGGCATATCATGAAGGCTGGGGCGCGAAAGCCGTTGCTTGGCGCGGAGAAACACCCAGCGAAAACCCATCCCATTTCACCGATATCGACAACGACGCGTCCGCCGTGGTCGAGACGTTGTCGACATTGAGACCGACCAAGTGGGATACACCCGAAATGGCGACAGAGAAGAAGGCAGCGCTGCAGACTCTAAACGCTCAGGGTTATCGATATACCAGTCACTGTGCCCACGACAAATACCCCATCCAACCTACTCAGGCAACAACACTCTTCGTCAATGCCTCGATTCAGCCGATGTCGGAAGAAGATTCACATCATCAACTCCCATGGGTTGTTGAGATCGAACTACCGTCAATGGCTGTCAAGGCCGAATTACCTAGGCATTTCACCTTGGTTGGGGAAGGGCGCAGTCGGAGATGGGTCAGTTCTTCGCGGTCCAGGTACCTATAGTTAATTAATTAAGGCAAAATAATTATAAGGGCATTCATCCAACGTTCTCCGACGATCGATCAAATACTATTGTCAAGCTGTTTGTTTACTATATATTTGTAGTAGCATTGTAGTTGACAACATACGGTACTACAAGACGTACAATCTTGCGTCGTCTATACTATAACTACCATACCTGATATACAATGCGTTGCTTCCCAATGATTACAGTTTTTGTTGAACGCTTGAGCTTTCTTTTCCTTTTTCTTCTTTTCTCTCTTTCAACACACTAGTTTGTTGTTCATTTACTTAAACCCGATAGGTCCCTAGACGGCATATTCACTCCGCTCTCTCAGCTCAGGCCCCATCTTCCAAAACACCAACGGCGCCGGCGCTAACACCGCAGCAACACACCCCAACAACGTCATGGTCCACTGCACCCCTAATCCACTGTACATCGGCCTCGCCGCCATCACCATCCCGCCAGCAACCATGTACCGCGGGAACGTGATGCTCGACAGTGCGCTGGCCGAGTTCTCACCGTAACTATCGATCAAATACTCGTAGCTGCTAACGTACAGCGCAATCAGCACCGCGCCAAACAAGAAACAGGCCCCCAAACTGCTCCAGATCGAAACATCGGCCCTGTTACCCCACCCAAGCCAAAACAACGCCACGGGCAGCAGCGGACCCGCGATCATGCCCGGCCACAACCGGAACTCGGGTGCTACGGGAGCTCCTCGGACATGCTCTGTGTGATGCCGCGCCCAGCTGTACAGCCCCGGTGCGAGCAGCGTAAACGACGTGGCTCCCGACGCAATGGATGCGAAGCATGATCCCGTCATGGCCGTTGAGAGGCCATAGGTTTCCGCGAACAACGAGTCAAACCCAGAGAGGAAGGTGAATACGAGCACCCATAGAAGACACAGATAGATGCTCAGGACCGTCACCACAGGTTCGCGGACGAGAAACCGCGCGGGCATGGCTAGTCCTTTTTGTAGGCGCTCCATGAAGTGGGCTGACTCGGCGTGCTCCGAGACGTACCGGGTGTCGCCCGTGGCGCGACGGAGGCTGCGGGCCTTCCAGTCAAGCAGGATCGGGAGCGAGGTCTCGGGGAGGAAGAAGAGGGCGAGCAGGAAGGCGGGAGTGGAAATAATGAGTGTGATCCATTCTGTCCAGCGCCAACCGAGACGTTCCACGATCCAGCCGCATGCTATGGGGGCCATCATGGGGGCTATCCGGTTAATATTGATTAGTTTCTCTCTCTTAAACCTGAGGAAGCGAAAATGGGATATAAATGTATAATTACCCGCCACATTCGCCCACGCGATCACAGGAAACACAAACGCCCGCTTCACCGGCCGGAACTGATCCCGTACACTCGCCCCATTCCCCGTCAACGTCGCACTCCCCGCCAAACCCACCCCAAACCGACACATCACCCTGCCCCCGAACCCCGGCGCCAGCGCCGCCCCCAGCACAAAACACAGATACACGAACGACCCTGTCAGGTAGGTCGCGTTGCGGCCAATGGTATCTGATACAGGCCCCGCAAGTAATGACCCCATGCCTACGCCAAAAAGGTACATGGCTACGACGAGATTCTCGGCTACGCGGCTGTGGTTTTGTTCGATGCTGGCTGCGCGGTTGGCCATGGACTCGGCGGCGCCGGCCCAGGCTTGCGCGAAGATGAGGTAGGCGAGCAGGGCGATGTTTTTGGCGCGCGAAAGGAGCGGCCAGTTGCGGGGGTCGAGAGGGTCGTCCGTGGTGGTGGATCGGATGTAGATTTTGTTGTGTTTGGTGAGGTTGCCATGGTTATCGTTAGGCTGGTTGTTTTTTGTGTCATCGTTTGTTGGTTCTTGTGGTTGTGGGTTTGATCGGTCGTGAGCTTGTTTCGCTGTTTCGGCCTCGGCCTGCTGGTAAAGCCGACGGCGCTGGATAAGAAACCACATTGTCACTGATGCTGGTCAAGAAAGAGACCGGAAATGCTCATGCGACTAAATACATAATTAGTTGGTATACTTGGCTTACACAACCGTTGCTGATCATCGTCGCGGATGTACGGTGACGTAATGACTTGGCTGCAAGTCTTTCAGGGCGTCATGGGTGATTTGGGTATTTGGATAGTACGGAACTTCAATCTCGATCATTTTGTGCTTTCTTATGTGTCTTGACTTTTATGTGTGTTTTCTTTTCTTTTTCCCTTACTCCCCCGACACTCCCAACTTAACCATCAGCTCCTCTCGAGGCATCTCCAAAATTGCCGTCAACGTCCTCTGGTCCGGCACCCCGTCTTCCCCATACGGCCGCTGCAGCAGCTCCCGAATGTCCTCGTACCGCCGCCCAAGCGACTCTGAGGCCTCGCGCGATAGACTAGCTTCGAGCAGCCCGAGGTCTCCGCTCGTGACCGTCTCTTCGCGCATGTGTGGTTCCAGGTCGACCCAGATTGCGCTCAGCGAGGTGTCGAAGCTGGCTTCGGCTGGCTTGTAGGCCTGCATGTGCCGGAGCTTTTCGTTGATCTAAGTGTGCAATAAATTATCGCGTTAGTTTAATCGGGGCGGTTGTGATTAAGTATTGTAGGATCGGTGAGCGCTCACGCTGTCGACATCTTCAGACAGCCGTCGATGCCTCTCCTTTCCCTTGGCGATGTGGTTGTCCAGGGCCGGCGACACCACAAGGTCCTCGACAATCAAGTACCGGTCCAGGGCCCAGACAAACTCGTCCGGCTTGCGAGCATCCGGGTCGGCTTCGCGGAGTTGATGGAATGCGCGCTGGATGAGCGCGTGGTCGTGCTTTACGGCATCTGATATGCGCGTCATCATGAGTGAAGCGCGTCTAGTAAAATAGTTGTATGCTAAAACTGGTGAGATTGGGAGCTGGATTAGATGTGGGTGGTTGTCAATTGGAAATCACTAATAACAGCAAGGATGTTCAGGATGATGTCAGGGGGGATGGTCGACGTCACTCTCATCCAGGACCAATGATTTACCTTTGCTCGTCCCATGGAGGAAGCTTAAGGGTGATCGTTTCGTAAACAGGGATTATCATTGCGATACAAGCCCGTCGTGATGCTGGCCCATTCGAGTCGCCCCAAGCGTCCGTACATAGAACTCCAACTCAGAAGCTCGTTAGAATCCGCAAATTGGAGGGAGACATGTCTATTATCGGACGAGACGCTAGTTCTAGTGACAGACGAAATGGAAGCAACCCACCCATTCGCTAACAACAGGGAACTTCACCTCCTATTGATAATACCCAGGGTACGTACCATGCTGGTTGGTCAGCCATCCGTTAGGTCCCAGTCACTGACAGGCGGAGGCGTAGCGTCCGGGTCATATCGATCACCCATGACATACCGACGCGCCCGGAGCTCAAACGCGCGTTGGTCTTGCTTTTCAGCTTCTCGCCTGTCCGGCCCACCCCACATGGCGTTCACGCCGTCTTGCAGCCAGTCACCCACCCATCTATACGGCCAGGCAAAGGATGCGAAAAAGCCGCCCAACCCCTGGCCGTCGCCACCACTCGGGCCGTCAGCCAGCCGCTTAAACGGTTCTAGCAGTTCCATGTACGTGTTGACCTGCGCGGCCGCCTCAGCCTCCGTGATCCTGTACGAGCGCCGCGCCTGGTCGCCATATACGTCGAACCGGATGACTAGCCGGGGAAGGCTCATCTTGTCCCGTGCCCACTCAAAAGTGGAATTCCAATCCTCCATCGCGGGATCTTGAGCCTGAGGCCAAATGCTGGGCGGGCGATAAGCAGGGATTGTGATCTTGAGGAAGCGAATATAGGCGAGGGAGGAGGACGGAACGTGTCTCAAAAATTCCGTGGCCGCAAACCGTTCGCGGGGTGGTGGGAAGTCGGGAAGGTCTGAGACTACGTAGGGTCCGGGATCTGTGTTCACTGGCCACTTTCTCGGTCTGTAGTCGGAGACGATGAATCCATGGTTGGAAAAGAAGACGAATTGGGCGTCGTGGTAAAGGGTGCGGCAGAGGAGAAACAAGGTCGGGCCGGGGGGTGCCCAGCACTTGCATCCCTGAGAGAACGCGGCGTGCTGACGGCGGCAAAAACAGCCGTGGCCAAGGTCCTTTCGACCTGTGTCCCGGTAAGGAGCGTCCCAACACCCTACAAACTGACCGGCGTGTTGTTCATCGGGACCGTACCATGGGTTGGGCGTGAAGTGGCGGACGCTATACGCATGCTCGTCCCGGTCCCAGATCACCTGTGCCCGCGGGGTAACGAGATCGGTATACTCCAGGATCCGGAGCCGCAACTCGCGCGGAAGCGTCACCAAGTTCCGCTTCATGGTCGGTGTTGTCGGCCCTGGAAGCCCGGGGAGCCCACATGCGTGTCGGACGGTGTCCTCGGCAAGCTGTTGTAAAGGTTCACCCGGGGTTTTAGCCAGCCGGATGTGGCATTCCTTGAGCTGGCCCCGGGGCAAGAGATTGTGGATGGGTGCTACAATAGATTTGGCAAGTTCCATGGCCCAAGGGTGTTGCGGGTCGATGTCGCAGACCAAGGAGAAAGCGAGGTGCCGTGGGGCAACTTGAGGGAATAGACGAGCCGTGGCTAGACGCCAATCTTCCAGGACAACTCTGGCCTTATCGTCGGCATGGTCACCGCCACCGTCAGGCGGAACGGGCTTACGGAGGAGTGGGGCCTGATGGACATCGCTATGTTCCGCTTCGCACTTGGTCAACGTACCGTCATCGTTCAGATTAGAGATGCCGCATCCCATACAGCACCTGACGGTGTTATTGCGCAGTGTGAGTTGGTGGCAGGCCGCCTAATTTAGGACGACCTTGAGATAGGAGAGATGGGCGAGTGACGGATTGGTCAGGTTATGCAGTACTTGTAGCGGCCGGTGGCCTAGCATCGGTTTCTCGGGTTGACCGCATTCGAGTCGGTCCGCCTCACTCAGCGGTTCCGCATAATAGATGAAGAACTGGCTGGTCGAGTAGAGCAGTGCGGCTGCCTCGGCGTAGATGGCCCGACAAGACAGCAGCAGGCCGTGGAAGTCGGTAGGGTCGGGAACCCAGCGCCAATACTCCCCAACTCCTCGTCCGCGTCGCAGCTGGAGCTGTCCTGCGTGGAGGTAGAAGCGGTGCACCAAGTTTCCCCATGGCCCTAGGCCGAGCTTGCGGTAGATGCGGAGCCGAATGCGGGGGCTAAGTCTCAGAAGCGGTGACTCGCCCGCTGGTGAGGGCTGTGTCATGGCGATATGACAGTGATCGCATCCGCAGGGTGGATGCTGAGCCTAGCTTCTGCCAATTACCGGAGTTCCTGCGTTCGTGTCGTTGTTGGTTTGAGATTTCCATTTTACTCTTGTCGCCGCGGTAGGTCAGTTGGTCTATCGGTTGGTCGCGAGTTGGTTGGTTGGGGCCTTGGGGGCCGTGATGTTTCGCGGCAACGACTGACTTGGGCGAAAATGTGGGGTAATTAATTACTTATCTTTCTGTGCGCACTCAGAACCTCACCACTTCATCTTGAGTCTTACGCGAAGACAACGCCCAACTAACAACATTATTTACAGTGCAAAACCAGGTCAACTGTTTATTGGATAATACGAATGTTGTTCGGTTTTTCTTTCCAATTTTTTGATTCTTTTAGAAGCCAGACCGAAGATCAACGCTTATCGTCCTCCCTAAGGTAGTCTTTGTTTCGGCCCCCACACGACGCCACTCGGATTCGACTCTCGAGACGAGGTATGGGCTTCCACTTGGGGCGGAGCAACGACCGGTCCGGAGGTCCTCCGTCGTCGTCCTAGGAATGCCACAAGAGATGCGGCACAGCCGACCCTCCGATGTTGTTCCAGATTAATTTAGATGAAGGAATTCAGAGATCATGGTTAGGTACAGTACCTGAGAGGCTGAGTGTCGGACGACGAGGGAACGGAAGGAAAACAAGGGAATGTCTGGCACGCTGATATCTCGGTCGCTCCGATCTCTCAAATCCACGAGATATGGGTGTCTCTTTAAGCGAGGTTTTGAAGAATCGAATCACATTGCAAAATCCTGTTGTGCTATTGACTCATAGTCTCCGAGCACACAATAGGTAGTTAATCGAGACTTATGACAAGCCTCCCACGAGTATTAGGGAACAGCCCCACGAATCAGGTACCTGGTTCCCCAGTTCTTTCTACACTATACCTTGAGATATGCTTCCCTCGCTCCCACGCTCTCCTCAATGTGCTATACTTCAGCTGGTCTCTCCGCTGGGGGCGGGGGGTGTATATAAATTCCACAAGCCGAGTCACAGTTGTATGCCAGCACAGCTGTTTGAGACCTGGCTATCTGCCACCATGGCCCGTATGGCCCCCGAGGGCCGGCAAACTGCCGTGTCGGATATTTCCAAATCCTCTTTCGGTGGCCGTTAGCTGTCTTTAAACTCCGGCCTGAGGTGCAGGATTCGCCCCCAACAGCCTTTGAGACACCTCGACACGCTTCTCAGGCAAGCCGCAACGCCCTAGCGTCTCTGATCGGGTCTTGCAGCCGGTCTAATAGCACTGGGACCTTGCCCCCGGGGTTACCTTTCGTGTTCCATCCGGCCATCTTGGCAAGGCCAACCGTCACAAGAGGATGTCGTTGGTGACCGGCCGAAGTCATGGTCGGGGTGGAATAGGAGTATAGGGGGGAGGACAGATTGTGAGAATATACATATATCGCCTCGTGTGGCAGGAGCTTGTTCATCCTCTACTCCTCCATTCCATACCACCATCGACCACGCTCGCCTTCTACTTACCTCTGAACCTTCTCGCTGGCCGAGAATAACACTCCCAACAAACTCTTGTGCAACTCCCGTAGCATCATTCCCCTCGAACATTTTTTTTATTATTATTCTAAATCTCTGGTTTGGCCTTTAGCTCCCCGCGAGCCAGCTTGTCACCTTCAACTTCACTTTCCGCCTTCCGCAAAGAAACATGTCGAGCCATGGTAGCTCCTCCACACACCCTACCGAACCTCACTTTGGTGAGATAGGCATCGGCGCGATTGAGTATGATATGAACGAACAAGGCACCTATACCAGAATGTTCGGCGTCCCTGAGCGGCCGACTTGGGAGGACTTGCTAGGATTTGGGCAAGAGCTCCATGAGCATCTCGTTGCCACCCGCGGCCATTACAAGACCAGAGCGACCAGTACCGCATTGATTGCCACCCTCTGTATCGCCAGATCCCCGAGAGAGTACCGCATATTCCAAAGCAGCATTCCCCGGGGTGGTTGGCGAGATTGGATTCAGTACGATGGGCGGCGTCGTAATCTACCGTGGTATCGAGCGACAACTGCACAACCCCGCCACGGCCGCCTCTGTGTAAACATGCATGCGGAGGACGGCGCTGAATATCTTGCGAATGATATTTACCCTGACCTCCGCTACTGGCACGAGTTCGAGCCCCCCCGCATGATTGTGTATGGAACAAAGTGGATCGATCGATACACGGGCGAGGTAACGACGCAACAGGATGTTTGTGACGGTGAAAGCGACAAGAACCCATCTTGCACCGAGGTTGCAAGAACTCTGGGAATCAGGACCCCACGCCCTAGGATTCCGCCTGAGGACGTGGACGGAGCAGACCCTCGCAATCCATTCAACGACAGCAGACAGGGCTACGCCCCTACCCCGGCCTCTTTCCAGACCCGCACTGGTTCTGCCAGCGGCGGTGGAAGTTACTCGGGCGGCGGTGGAAGTTACTCGGGCGGCGGAAGTTACTCGGTCAGCAGCCATAGTCATCGCTACAGCAACTATTCGAAACCAGAAGATGTTAAATCCCGTCATACTTCTCGGCGCAGCGATCCCGCGGACCTTTCGACAGCCATGTCCGCGCTCAGTGTGGGCAGCCGCGACAAACACAGCAGCTCGAGCTCCCGACACGGTGGTGGCGGTAGCCGTAGAACCACCGCAAACACGGCCGACCGGGACTCCGCACCGCAGACTCGGCCATCGTCGGATGCCCGAGGTCATTCTTCCTCGACTAAGGGACAGGCATCTAGTAAATCATCGGCTTCCCGTACCAGTGGCCACTCGCGGCGGGGCGAATAGGAGCATAACTTGGTGGATTGATTTGACGGGAAATCGGATGGTCATGTTGGGGCCTAATTATAAGAGGCTCAGGTCGGGGCGAAGTGCGAAGAGGATGTAATTCGGTGGGCGGTATTAGAAGCTCGGTTCGTTGGTTCAGCTGCTGGTTCAGCTGTCGGTTTCGCTCTCTCTCTGTCTCGTCTCTTTTGTTTGCTTGATTCTTAGGTAAAGAATCATGTGTCGAGGGGGAAAGGTTTGAGCTCGAATGTGGAAGAATAAATTGGGATGTCTTGGGTCATTCAGATGCGATCGTGTCTTGGAGATGACCTGGGTTGGCTCAGTCTTTTTTTGGAGAATGTCATTGTGTGCGCTTTTACGATTTAATTATCCTTCTTCCTTGTGACAATGTCCCGCATCCCAAAGTTACCGAGGAATTATCTCCAGTCTGAATCCAAAGGTATAATTATTTGACTCCTATCAAGATCCGCCTCCATGGTCGGAGACTCAATGGTCGGGCCCGCAAACTCGATCGCAGCTCCTGTTCCCGCAGCCGAGGTTTCATTGTTAATCATGAGATTTAGCTACCAAGTAAGCTAGCCTCTATTAACTTGATGGCCCGCCGCTAACACTGAGAAATTCTTCTGTGACGCCGTCGCGGGGAGGGTAACAGAGGCTTACCCAACTCGGTCGCGATGGCACCTTCGGGCGGGTGCTTCCGGATCGGCCCAGGGACTCATTGGTGCGCATCACAGTGTCTGCCCCTGGAACGTCGTAACGACGGAGGTTTCAGACGTGCTGGTATAGGTGGAAAATCTAGAACGCCCTATACATCCAATGGACTGCGGTCTCGCTTCTCCGAAAATAGGTGCTAAATTGTACTGTGAATTTGGCCTCTCAACGGGTACGTGTATATAATTACCTAAATAAATCCAATAGAAATCACTTCAATTCGAACATCTCGGATCAGCACGCTCACGATGGTCAAACTTGCCAACGCCCTCACGACTCTCGGCCTGCAAGCCCTTGTCGCCTACGCACTCCCCGAGGCATGCAGCGGCGTATGCAACAACTCCCACGACCCCTCCATCATTCGCCGCAATGACGGCACCTATTTCCGCTTCTCGACCGGCGGCAAGATCGCCATCCACACCGCGCCGAGCCTGACTGGGCCGTGGGCATACCAGGGCGCGGCACTGCCCAGCGGGTCGTCCATCAACTTGGCCGGGAACCAGGATCTCTGGGTGTGTGATTATCCCTGGACGTTGGCGGAGCTCGAGGATCTAGAGGCAATTGCCCACTGACGCAACCTCACAGGCCCCTGACATCTCCCTCGTGGGCGACCAGTACTACCTCTACTACTCCGTCAGCACGTTCGGCGTGCAAGACTCAGCCATCGGGGTCGCCCGTTCGTCTTCTCTCGACGCCGGTACCTGGACCGACCTGGGTTCGACAGGCGTCGTGTCGAGCGCGGGCGCCGCGTATAACGCGATCGACGGCAACTTGATCAACGAGCCGGGCACGAGCAATTACTTCCTGACGTTTGGCAGTTTCTGGAACGGCATCCACCGCGTGCGCGTGACGCCGACGCAGACACACGGGAGCGTCTACCAGGTCGCGTTTGACCCCAGCGACACGGCCATGGAGGGACCGACGGTGTTTAAGAATGGGGACTACTACTATCTCTTCTTCTCCAAGGGCTCGTGCTGCGGGTACGACGCGAACAGGCCGGCGGCTGGGAAGGAGTACCGCATCATGGTGTGCCGGTCGAGTGCGGCCACGGGGCCGTTTGCCGATAAAAACGGCAAGTCGTGTCAGTCGGGAGGGGGAACACTGGTTCTTGGGTCCCACGATTGGGTGTATGGGCCAGGGGGTCAGGGGGTCTATCAGGACCCGACGAACGGGCCGGTGAGTTTGCCCCTTTTCGTGGTTCATGTGGGAAAACCGTCTAACTTGGCAGGTCCTGTACTACCACTACGTCGACACTCGAATCGGCTATGCGGACGGCCAGAAGAAATTTGGATGGAACAAGATTGACTTCTCCAGTGGGTGGCCGGTTGTTTGATAGACGAAGGAGATACTTGGAGAGCGGCATGGCACCGGATCATCACGTGGGAATCACTGATTAATTGCTGATTTCACCATCACGCTGCTCACAACACCATGCTTGCTGATCAAATCATGTCCTCGGTGAACAACATGCCGGCAATGCTGGCCGATGTCAGGGTAGACAGGACGCCACAGACAAAGGCCGAGACCGAGACCTTGACGACGTCACCGGCGCGACGGGGCGAGATTTGGGATAGGACGCCGATCTGGATGCCGAGGGACCCAATGTTTCCGAAACCCTGTGTCTGTTAGCCGTGATCAAGCAAGGAAAGCAAACAACATAAAAGAGAATAAAGAGCAAAACAGAAGAAAAAAAAAACTAAAAAGCTTACGCAGCAGGCATATGTCGCAATGAGCCGGGACCGCGCGGCCATGGCCTTGTACCGCTTGTCCGTAACCAGCGCGCTGAACGCGGCATACTCGTTGATGATGACCTTCTTGCCAATCAGCTCGCCGACTGGCCGGAGGTCGTCCTTAGGTACGCCTAGCAGCCAGGCGACCGGGTACAGAATGTAACCGAGGATCAGCTCGAGTGAGAGCACCGGCTTGTCCGGGGCCGTCAGACCCCAGTAGCCGCCCCACCAGCCGAGCAGACCGTTAATGAGGCCGACAAAGGCGATGACGGTTAGCAGGCAGGCGACAATGGTGGCACCGATCTTGAGACCGAACCATGAGCCGTTGGTGAAGGCGTGAAGAGCATTAACCGTGTGCTCCTCATCCCCGTTGTCGGGCACCTCGACTTTGCCGGCCGTCACGGGTGTCTCTGTCTCCGGATAGCGCATCTTGGACACGGCCAGCGTCGCGGGAATGGACATGATGCAGCTTGACACAAGCGCCTGCGCATTAAGGCCCAGACCGATGTACGCGACCAGCACGGAGCCAGCGATTGTCGCAAAACCGCACGTCATGATTTGGTGGATCTCGGCCATCGTCAGGTGGTCCATGAAGGGTCGGATCAACATCGCCGACTCGCCTTGTCCGATGAAGGGTGTGGCAGCCGCAACCACGGCTTCGGCCCCGGACACGCGCAGCGTCCAGAAGAAGAAGGTGGCGAACTTGCGGATGAACCATTGCAGGAAACCGACGTAGTAGAGCATCTGTACGAGTGCGATGAAGAAGATAATGGCAGGGATCACGCCCGTGAGGAACCAGCCCTGTTTGTACGCAAAGTCGTCGTCCGTCAAGAAGGCCAGGCCCTGGCCCGCGAAGCCGAGTAGCTGCCGCGCCATGTCGGAGATGAACTTGAAGATGTCGTATCCAGCCTTGCTGCGCAACACAAAAATGGCGATGATGAACTGCGTCAGCATGCCGCCAATGACAGTGTGCCACGGAATGATGCGCCAGTTACGCGACGTCGCTGTCAGAATCGCTAACATCACGATGAAGCCAAAGATCGAGATGGCCCGGTTCGCCCGTGTGTTGTCGCCCGTCTCCTCGGGCACGAAGCTGCCGATTAAGAACACGCCGAACGTGCCAACCGCAGCTAGCGGCTGGTGCAGCTTAGCCGGGATCAGGTTGTAGCCCACAACCACGGTCCGCAGCCAGATGAAGCGCACCGGCCGCATGATGAGGGACACCGGGAGGTACAGCGTGATGAGACGTGCGAGGATCGCGAGGTAGAGCAGCGTCGGAATCAGCCAACCTTTGCCCTCGGTATGCCGGAAGAAGACTAGGCCATAGATCCACCATCTGCTCGTGCCGCGGCTATGCATCAGCTTGGCGTCCTCTCAAGTATGAGACGACAATAAAAAAAGGAAAAGGGGTGAACGGACGCGGTGAAGACCATAAAGGTGACCAGTTGGGCCACCTTCTTCCAGTGCCGCTCGCAGAAAGCCACCCAGGCCTTCTTGGGGAGCTCCGACTCGGACTTGGCCTGGAGCGAGCCGACCTGCTCGCTCTGCTTCTCCGAGTCGACACCATAGTGCTCCTCGATCGGGGTCGATGCGTTCTTCTCGTCCCTTGGGGCCGCAGCTGCCACGCTGCTCGTGGAGCTCGGCTGCTTCTCAAGCCCGTACTGTGGTGCTTCTGGTTTACTCGGCTCGATCGAGTCGTGCCCGGGCGCGGGCGACCGACGTCCTTCAGGTCCCGCCATGATGCTGTCGGAGAGCGCGCGCTCGGTACCTGGTGGAACAGGTAGCTCTAAGGCGTCGTGACGTTGGCGTGGAGGCCAAACTTCGGACGATCCGATTGGCGATGGGGCGGTAGGGAAACCGAGTCCTTGCTGTGATTGCACTTGCGGGGGCAAACCGACAAAGCGGGTGGATGTTGAATCAGGGGGTGCCCACGAGAGCTTTTAAGCGGCCGACAGCAGCGTCACGATCAAATATGACCAGGGGGCGACATCCTCAAGCAGGGGAAGTTTTTTCGGGTGAGAAGGGGAAGCGGGAGAAAATCAAGTGCGACCAGGCTTTCTTCCCACGCGATAAGAAAGATTTGATTCGGTGTAACTGGGTACCTTGGTGGATCTCCCAGCGATTCCGGTTCATGTGGAGGGCAAGGAGGGCCCGCTGTCCGCATGGCACCGGGCCGTTGGTGGATGTCGCCGGGGAGGCAAAGACCACACGGACCAGCCAGCGCTCACGCCGACCTCTTTCCCGATGTGACCTCCGCTGGCGCCGGAGGCCATTGGCCAATGGCAGCTTGGAAGAGCACGGAGGCCAGGCCGTCAATCGTTTTCCCTCACGAGGCGTTCCCGACTTGGCCACCGAGGCCCAAGGCAAGATCACCTGGGGGAGGCGTTCGGCGGGCTTCAGCCGATGCGACCTTCCACTTTTGCATGCGAGTGAGCGAACTATCTGGTGGGCTTATCTAATCTCGACACCGCTGTGTAGATACCTGCATCGGGCTAGCCGGTGCTGTGGAACGAAAGCGTGCTTGGGGAAATATGCCCTCGGGATGGACGTTGTATGCAATTCAAGAGGCATTCTAGAAACCTCGGAAGCGTGGACAAAGGTTGGCCTGCAGTTGTTGGAATGTTGCTGAGAATTTCAGCTCGCACACTCTCGGATTTTCTCCCTGGAATCTCTCTCCACTCTCCCACCTGCCCTTTTGGGGATGCTGGAAAAGTGGGTCTCATGCACCCCGCAAATGCTAGGTCCCCGGTTCTCCAACCGGCGGTTTGTGAAGCAACGTCCCATCGGAGCGAGCTGTTGGGCGCGCGCAAACAAGAGATGCTTATCCGACTCGCGCTCGTCGCGGTCCAACAGGTCTAGTCTCGCTAGTGTAGGTAGTGCCCGGTGTGGAAGGTTCGCAGGAGTGATAAGCAGGCACACATGTCCAAGGGACCTGTCAAATATCCGAGGATTCGGTTATCTTGGCCCGATTAGGAGTTGTTCAAAGGGCGTCAGCAGTAGATAAAAAAGCCTTTCTTTTGACACACCTGCCTCGGCTCGGCAGCGTGGTAATGGAGGAATGCAGCCCGAACGTGGGAGGTAACTGATAACACCCCGTCAGCTGCATGCGATGGTCTGCTGGATGATCCCACGTCGTCGCCCATTGTGAGCGTTGAGCCTCGTGGGATAACCAAGGGAACGGGGCAAGACCCAAAATAGGCATGTTCGGCGGGTTCCGACCATCTGGGTGCATTTTGACAGGAAGCCAGCCCAAATGATCACGCGAGCTGGCGCTCGTCGGAGAACCGCGGCCCTACACCCAGTATCGACCCCAGACGCCATATTCTTCCTTTGTTCCTCGGAATTTGAAGTCCACGGGGATAATGTCTTGGAATCCCTCCTCGAGCTTGGGTTCCTTGAACCGCGAGGCGAACCCAGTGAAGGCGATCTTCGGAAGGGCGTCCCGAGCTTCGGGATTGAGCTGTTCGCGTCAGCAATTGGTATGCATTGGCTTAAAGCAGCACTACATACCGTCTTATTCAAGAACCGCACCGCGGCATTATGCTCGCACAGCTGCGGGGGCGTCCGGAACCAGAGGCATCGAATCGGCACCTTGTGCTTCCGCGCAAGGGCCACCCATTGTGCGCGGGTGTCGATATCGGCGTTGGTGTTGTCTGGAGGGTTAGCTAAGGGGCAGCGAATCGAGACGCGAGGGCAAGCTCACCCACGACGACAGATTCGCCCTCATCGACAAGCCCGGCTGCTACTTTGAAGCACTTGTCCTTACTAGCGTATGTTAGCGCTGGTCGTCGGACATAGCTGGGGCGTACATACGTCTTGAGGAGGTCCTGGTTTACCCTCTCATAACCAAGAGGCTTCAGGTACTTCCAATAGAACGTGCTCTTGCCGGATCCTGGAGAGCCAACGAAGAGGATAATCTCCTTTTCGTTAGTCTTTTCCACCTTTGTGTCACCGTTTGGACCCTCTTCCACAAACGGAAACTTGTCCAGGTCGAAATCGCGAGAAAAGTCGCGAGGGCTCTCGCCCAAGAAGAACTCCTCGGGCGTCTGGTACGGGATCCCAATGTTGTGTGCCAGGTTCCGATCAGAACAGCTGAAGTCTTTCCCAGAAACCTTAGGCCCTTTCAATTCTCCCATCCTGCCCCCTGCGTCCCCAACAAATATACTGTTTTGGAGATCGATATCGGACTCGGCTAAATCGTAGTCGTCCTTCATCTCGGCCCACATCCCGGGCCGCGGCTTGCGATAAATGTCCTTGGCCGTGGCAGCATACAATGTAATCGGAAGGTCAAGTTGGCCGAGGATCGCGCCACACTTTTGTTTGAACTCGGGAACGCGGTTCTTGGCGTTCTTTGGTCCTTTCGACTTCGGGTCTGGATGCAGCGTCAAGCCGGCTTGGTTTGTGAAAATGATAACCTGGTACCTAAATGGGTCAGTGGGCGATCGACAGATGGGGGGTAGAAGCGTACCCATCATCGTTACAGAGCTGTTTTAGTCGCCCAGGGATCGAATGGTGCCACCACTTCCAGTCCGCTGCGCCATCAGAGAACTTCTTGCCCGAAGCGCTTGTGATCAGGGTTGAATCCTACTTCCAAGTAAGCAAAGCGCCGACGTCCTTGGGGGTGGCACGTACAAGATCGAATGCCGCAATCTTGCGTGGTGGAGCAGGAGTGCCAGCCGATCCAGGCGCGCCCTCTGGCGTGTATTTCGCGACGAGCAGTGTAGTCGGTGAGTCCTCGTCAGGTGCTCGTTCGCTCCATATCGTGCGGTCTTTTGGTTTTTGGGAGGCTGGGGTGAAGAAATTCGCGACGGCGGACTCTGCTCAAGTGGTCAATCAAGCGGAATGGGTTAGCCAAGGATGTGTCGCGTACTCGAAATGGCAGTTTGTGTCTTGCGTTTAATCGGCGGGGGGGAGATGGGGCGATCGCTGTCCGGTGCCAACCGCTTCGTTCCCGACGGCCCGGAGCGAGGTTTCGTGGAGGAAGCCATAGGACGGGAGAGAAAGATGCGGCGGAGGGAGTGGCCGATGGTGTATGCTTGTTTCAGGCGCATGGTGCCGTCGATGGGGTGTTTCGTCACAGGAACAGACGAGTGGGGCTACGCGTTGAGGAGCGAAAGCACGTGATGAATTAACTTAGACAAGGATATCGTCCGTGTGAAAGCGCCCCACATGTCAGATGAGTTCGCACCGACATCCTCGACCTCATCTCCTCGTTTAACGGACCGCTTAATAAAAAGGAAGCCTCGTTCCTGTATCCGTGGATGATATAATTTCGATCACCGCCGAAAATCTTAGCCGTCACGAGGGCAAGATGATTATCCGGGTCCTTCGTAGGCCGTCATGCCTTCCTAGGTTGCTCAATAGCGGCATGCGCAGTCCAAGGCAGGACGTTTTGCCTACCTTGGTAGGCATCTCGCTTCTCGTTGGATTTGCGGCTTCAAATGGGGAGATTCACTTCGGGAGCTTCACTCTTTACTTCAAGCTGTTTGTCTGCGACAACCAACGGTCAATGGCTCCCTGAAAATCGCCACGGAACAGCCCTTGCGAGCACTACCCAGGGCATCGGGACACGCCATGACGCATGCAGCGTGGAATATGCTTTCGCACGGGGCTTTTTACCAGTGCCCATGGTGTCCGATTATCTTTACATAGCGGAAGACGGCCAGTCTCTCAGTCTGTCCACCGTACCCATGCATCAGCGGCTGCGCCCGGACACGGCGACGTGATCATGTCATTTCTCTCCCATACTTGTTCGCTGAGTCTCTGCGAGTCAGCTCTTCCCACAGAACCCCTCACCTAACTAGCACGAGACAACCAACCCCTCTCGACTGTGCGTATCGTGAGCCTGGGCAACAGCTCGGCCAACCCTAAGCTCAACCTGAACAATGTAGGGTCAACAAATCCGGATTACCACGATCCAGCCAATTTCGGGACATCGTGGAGCGGTCTTGGCCCCTCGCCATTCCCCTCTTTCATCGGTGCTCATCGCTCCTTCTGGCCCACGACAGCAAAGCGGCACCCCGCACAGAATCCAGGGACCGGGTGCATGGCTTGCTATGACAAAATGCGCGGAGGAAAGAGGGGGCGAGGCTGGCTGCAAAACGGATGTATTTAGGTCACTCCATACCCCCTTCCTTCGCCCATCAGGTCCATCACCTCGCCAACCTCCTCTCCCCCATCATAGCATTATTTTTGCCGGCCGGCCGTTGCTTCAGCCCATCCTATACCTTGCCCAACCTTGTATTCGTTATCCCGGCCACGTTGTAACCATGGGTGCCCTCGGGCGGATTTACCGCATTTCCTTTCTCGCCGTCATTGGTATGTTGTACCCATCATGTATCAAGCCGACTATGTTGGAAAGCTGCTAACTGGGATAGGCGGCGCCCTCTTTGGCTTCGACATATCGTCCATGTCGGCTATCATCTCGACGCAGCCGTACCTGTGTCAGTTCAATGAACGGGGTCTCGATGCCAAGGGCCGCTGTCTGGGCCCGTCCGCGACCACCCAGGGCGGCATCACGGCCGCCATGCCCGGTGGTTCATTTGTCGGCGCTTTAGTGTCTGGCTGGTTGTCGGACCGCTTCGGCCGGAAGCGGTCCATCCTGATCGGGTCTCTATTTTGGTGGGTACTCCTCTCGTGAAATGTACCTTGTCCCGCTAACCCCCTCAGGATTCTGGGCTCCATCCTGGTCTGCGCGTCAGTCAACATTCCGATGTTAATTGTAGGCCGCTTCGTCAATGGGTTCTCCGTCGGCATCTGCTCGGCACAGGTCCCTGTGTACCTCACCGAGATTGCTCCTCCCTCCGTGCGCGGCCGTCTCGTCGGGCTCCAACAGTGGGCGATCACCTGGGGTATCTTCGTCATGTATCTGATTTGCTACGGCTGTGCTTTTGTCGAGGGCTCGGGGGCGTTCCGCATCCCGTGGGCGCTCCAGATGCTACCTGCTATCGGTTTGTTTGGTGGCCTTCTACGCGAGCCCGAGTCTCCGCGCTGGCTGCTCAAGAAGGGCCGTGAAACCGAGGCCCAGAACACCCTGGCGCTTCTCCATAGCAACGGGGACACTACCTCGCATTTTGTGTCCACAGAATTGCACCAAATCAAGACAGCCGTCAGCCAGGAACAAGAGCACGCCGATGCCAACTGGTCCGAGGTGTTTGCGCCCACTATGATCAATCGTACTCTCATCGGCATCTTCACCCAAGTCTGGTCCCAGCTGACGGGCATGAACGTGATGGTGAGTCAGTCCTTCCGGTACCAATTCAAACCGTGGGCTGACCTTTTCAGATGTACTACATCACGTATGTGTTCACCATGGCCGGCATTGACGACGTGCTCGGCTCCAGCGCTATCGGCTTCAGCCTCAACGTCGTCATGACGGTGCCCGCCCTTCTCTGGCTCGACGTTTGGGGCCGCCGGCCACCTCTCCTGATCGGCTCCGCCCTGATGTGCGTTTTCCTCACCGTCAACGCCGTGCTTCTTGCTGTATTTAGCCGCACCCCACAACCCGGCGAGTTCACCTCGGCCTCCGAGTCCATGGCGATCAGCGGCGCGCCTGCCAAGGCCGTCATTGCCTCAACCTGCTTGTTCGTGGCCAGCTACGCCCCAACTTGGGGCCCCGTATCGTGGGTGTACCCCCCGGAGCTCTTCCCTCTCCGTCTCCGCAGCAAGGCTGTTGCGCTGGCCACCTCAGCCAACTGGGCCTTCAACTTTGCGCTCGCTTACTTCGTCCCCGTCGCGTTTGAGAACATCACCTGGAAAACCTACGTCATCTTTGCCGTCTTCTGCGCCGTCATGCACCTGCATGTCTTCTTCTTCTTCCCCGAGACGGCCAACAAGAACCTGGAGGAGGTCGCCGAAATCTTTGACGGCGAACAGGACGGGGCTATCAAGTACATCGGCACGCCGGCCTGGAAGACACGGAATGACCGGCACGCTAGGATCATCCGGGACTTCATGTCAAGCGATGAATCGGATATTGCTGCGGGGCAAGCCAAGGCATCGGAGGCGGTGTGAGCCTTGTGGCTGCTGTCGTGCTGAGAGGATATTATCTGGACTGGAAGGGCCACTGGGTAGGATTGGGTTGCTGAAAGGACACTCGTTTCTGGTCACGGCGTTGATGGAGTTCATAAGGTATGATTACGTAGCAGTGCTAGCTAGCATTGTTATCATCTGTAAGGCATTCCATGTTGTCGCGCGACTGAGTGTGAATCGTTTGCTTATTTGCCGTTTTTCAAGACCCAAGGTCAAAGTTCTCCCCTACCAGAACCTCGCTAAGCTTCCACAGGCGCTCAGCCGAAGCAAGACTGCCAGCGTGTGGAGCTGGCTCTGCAAATTGGCAGTCTGAGAGGTAGAACCTTTGTGGCTCTAGAGGTTGTTAGCTTAGGTAATTAGGCTCAGATTACAGCAGAGAGCTAACATGGATGCAACGTACCGTTTAGTGCCGGATCCAACGCAGCTACAAGTGTGGTGGCGCTCCCCTGATCAGCCGTTTTCCAAAACAGCCCAGCTTTATAAAATTGGGCGGTCAACTCGTCATCCTGGTCCCTACTGAGGTCCGTTTCGACAGCTGCAGGAGTCAGCCTAGCTCTCCCTAGGTCCCCGAATTTTAAAAGCAACTTACTCCCCGGATGCAACACATACGACGCGATGCCGCTGGCGGCGAGATGCTTCTGCAGGTACAGCGCAAACAGGATATTCGCCGTCTTGGACTGCGCATATGCGACGATCCCGTTGTATCCGTCTGGCGTGCACTTGGCAAAGGCTCCCTTTAGCGGCTTGATATGGTCTTCCTCGGGGGGAACGTCCTTGCCGGGCTCCAGGTTGTAATCGGAGAAGCGGATGGGCGACAGTCTATGGCCCGCGCTGGCGAGGGATACAATTCGGGTCGTGCCGGGCGGGTTGGATTGCGCAGCATTGCGGAGTAAATGGAGGAGGAGATTGGTGAAGAGGAAAGGCCCGATATGGTTGGTGCCGAACTGCTGCTCGATACCTTCGGGCGTGGCTTGGCGTGAGGTAACGACGATGCCGGCGTTGTTAATGAGGATGTCGAGCTTGTCGGTGAGGGCGGCCACATCGCGCGCGGCTTGGCGGACAGCCTGTTGTGAGCCGAGGTCTAGGAGGACGGTTTCGATGCGGGTATCGGGGTGTGTTTGTGAAAGGTGGTCTGCGATCTCTTGCAGCCGGGATCTGGTGCGGGACGCGAGGATGAGCAGCGCAGGCTGTTGCGACGCGAGGTTGAGGGCGGTGACTGCACCGATGCCTTTGGGGCTCACTCCCGTGACGAGAACTAGGTGGGGTTGTCAGTGGGCGGAGGTCGTCTAGGGGCATGAAGCAATTCAGGTTATGTACTTGTCTTTCCCCGAATTTGATCTGCAAATGCCCGGGCTACCTCGGACCCGGCCGTTTCCTGGCCGTACTCTGCATGGGAAGTCATTGTGAGGTTTCTTGGGGGGCTTTGATACCTTACCATAATCCGGCTGGTCACAGGGCGTTAGGTGCGGCGGTAGCTTATAATTAATAAGGTATCCATTGGAACAGGATCTAGGGGCTACATTTAGGCGCCGCAGTGGTCACCGGTAGTTCACGGATGCAGCTACCCCGCAGACAAATAACACGGCAGTGTTATTCCAGTATTCCCCACATTCCTCTTGGTGTTTTGGGAAGCATGTGAGTTTGTAACCTAGAAAGTTTTCACAATTATTCTACCCCCCAAGCCCAATCTAAGCTTGATCTAAGCCTTGGCCAACTGTAGCATGATAACGGCACCCGCAAATCCCTGTTTCTCCTCCGCAATCACGTCCTCACCTCCTGTTACTTCATCGACAACCCCTCGGAGTGCCGCCTCAAACATCTCCCGTCGCGTGGAGACCAGGCCATTGAACCCAACCCCGTCCGGGTCTGAAATGACACGGTACCTCATGAGAACGTCATTGGTCGGCACAAGACCAGCTTTCTTGCGCAACCGTTGGAATCGGTTGATAAGCTCCCGAACCAGCCCATCTTCTACAAGTTCAAGGTGCGGAGCGGTATCAAGCAGAACAATCATGTCATTTGCAAACGCAGGCTCCCACCGCGATTTGTCTTCCGTTGAGGCGTCCGTCTTTCCAATCACCCGTACCAGAGTGAGATCGCCCTCACCTAGAGCAATACCGTGGAGCGTGATCTTTTTTGTGCGTTGGTACTCGCGCAGCTGTTCCTGTGTGAGCGTCGGTAGAGCCCTACGAACAACCTGCACATCGCCTTTTAGCTTTTTCCCCAGCGACGGCCAGTCCACGCGAGCTTCGAGCAAAATGTTGTACTGGGTCTCGTCGCCGTCCAGGACGATATCTCGGACGTTGAGCTCTTCCTGTATGTAGGACCTCAGCGTATCCACATCCGCTAGAGACTGCTCGTTGGCAATCACCACGAGCGATAGTAGCGGTGTCTTGAGGGATAATCCCTGGCGCTCTCTGGCGGCGCGGCCGAGCTGGATGACCTTCTGCATGGCCGACACTTGACGTTCGATGGCTTCGTCAAACAAGGCTTCCTCGACGACTGGAAAAGACAGAAAGTGCACACTTCTAGCGTCGACATACTGAGCCGTAACCTCGGTCAGGTGGGATTGCAGCAGTTGGTAAATGTGCTCGGTCAGGAAAGGAATAAATGGGGCCAGTGCGCGGACCAGTGTAAAGAGAACCCGCAGCAGCGTCGCTAGGGCAGTAGTGGTATCGTCCACCCCAAGGCCGGCAGCCCCTTTCAGCCGCTTGCGGTTGAAGCGAATGTACCAATTAGTCAGGCTGTCGATGGCCTGCAGCAGACGCGGTACGACAGTGTACAGCCGGTAACCTACAAGTATAGGATTACTGAGTCAGCGAGATTTAACTCCCTCTACCATATCATGGTCAGGGTACGTACCCTGCATCTCCTCTTCCACGAAGCGCAAAAGGCTCTGGCAGTCGGCTAAGATCCACCGGTCCATCACATTCGTCGGGGGATCACCAAAGGAGGCGGATACAACGAGATCACGCCCTGTCGTCTTCTTATAGAGACTCGCCTGTTCGTGGAAGAAGCGGTAACTGTTCCAGAGCGGCAGAAGGACCTTGGCCACGATGTCCTTGACCCCCGACTCTTTGAACCGCATCGACTCTCCTTTCACGACCGGGCTGTTGATCAGGTAGAGACGGAGGGCGTCTGACCCGTACTGGTTCAAAATGGTGTTTGGATCCGGGTAGTTCTTGAGACTTTTGGACATCTTCTTGCCATCTTCGGCCAGCACGATGCCATTGACGATGACGTTTTTGAACGGCGACTTGTGAAAAAGCCGGGTCCCGACCACCATGAGGTTATAGAACCAACCACGTGTCTGGTCGAGGCCCTCCGCAATGAAATCGGCCGGGAAGAGCCCATCATGGAACCGATCCGAGTTCTCGAATGGATAGTGGACCGAGGCGTATGGCATGCTCCCGGATTCGAACCTAGCTAGTTAGCATGACACAGACACTGGAGTAAGAGAAGGCATACCAGCAGTCGAAAATCTCGTCTATTCGACGAAGAACCCCTTTTCCTTTTTGTGATGGGATGGTGATGCCGTCCACTTTGTCGCGATGAAGGTCATCGAGCGGCCCCTCAAACCCGCTCAACCGTTTGAGTTCTTCAACACTCCCTACGCACACGACCTCTTCATAATCGTCGCTTACCCACAGCGGGATAGGCGTACCCCAGTACCGGTTGCGCGAGACGTTCCAATCGTGGGCGTTGGCGATCCAATTGGCAAACCGCTTTTCCTTGACGAACGACGGCACCCAGGTAGTGGTCTCGAGATTCTGGAGCATCTCGGGCACAATGTCGGTCACGCGGATGAACCACGACGAAACGGCACGACGAATGAGTTGTGTGTCGGACCGCCAGCAGAACTTGTCGTTGTGGGACACCTGGCTTTCGACGAGGAGTCGGCCGGTGGGCCGGAGGTCTCTGAGAATGGCCTTGTCCGCGACTTTGACGTGTTGCCCGGCGTACTCGGGGACTTCTGCAGTGAACCGGCCGGCGTGGTCGAGAGGACACGGCGGGAGACGGTCGGGTGAAATGAAGCCAGCAGCCACAGCAGCGTCGTAGTCTTCCTGCCCGAACGCCGGTGCTTGGTGTACTAGCCCAGTACCTTCACCGGCCTCGACGTAGTCTGCTGCGATGACTTGGAAGCAGTCGGCAAACGAGTTCTCAAAGTATCCAAACAGGGGCTTGTACTTCCACCCCACCATATTCTTCCCTAGGAATTTCTCGAGGACTTTGTACTTTGCATTCTTCCGGTCCTTGTACAACATTTGCAGGCCGCTCTCCATTGTGATGAATCGGCGGCCCGTTCCCCCGTCGAGGATCTCCAGATACTCAAATCCCGGGTGGACGGCGATGAGTAGATTCGATGGCAATGTCCAGGGCGTCGTGGTATAAACGACCAACGACGTGGACTCTCGACCCTCCACGCCAGTCACGGGAAAAGAGACAAGCACGGCCGGGTCCTGGGTCAGCTTTTCGTTTTCCTTGGCCTCCATGTGGCTCAGCGGCGTGCAGAGGGCAGTCGAGTACGGCATGATCTGGTAAGCGCGATACACGTGGCCGCCGTCAAACAGCTGCTTGAAAACCCACCAGCAAGACTCCATAAACTCGATGTTCATCGACTGCTTGTGTTAACCAGGAAGGCAGGCGATTTAATTAGGGTTGACGCACTTTGTAATCGTTGTCAAAGTCGACCCATCGGCCGAGACGTTCGATAGTGTTCCGCCACCCGGTCGAGTATGTCATCACAATGGACCGGCACTCGGCGTTGTACTTTTCGATACCCATCTGCTGAACGGCGTCACGCGCGGACAGGCCAAGTCTCTTGTCGATCTCGTACTCGATCGGAACTCCGTGTGTATCCCAGCCAAAGCGGCGCCTCACATGAAAACCTTTCATGGACCAGTATCGTGGGATGATGTCTTTGATGGTGGACGTCAGGAGATGGCCGTAGTGTGGCAGCCCTACGACGGTTAGCCAAGACGGGGTTTTAGAGGAGAGCCGTTACATCCGTTACCTGTTGCTGTTATGTGTTAACCAAAGCCTCAGAGGGTAAAACAGAGAACATACCGAAAGGCGGTCCATCGTAAAATGTGAAGCGCGGGCTATCCTCGGTGAGCCGCAGCTGGGTGTGGAAGGCGTCGACGTCTCTCCAGTGCCGCAACACTTCCTCCTCGGCACGGGGGAAGTTGATGTTCATTGTGGAGGGTCTCTCGGCGATCGGATGGCAGTTGGATGATTTGGTTGACTTGGCGATGGAAAGTCGCTAATCGGTAAATCTAAAAGATGGCGGGGAGCTGAGTGTGTGGGTGGTGAGTCACACCTGGGGGCCGTTTCAACCGGGGTAGAAGGAGCCCAGCCAGTCTTCGGGTACTTCACAAGGCGCTGCCTCAAATTCCTCAATTAAGCTTTAATTACAGGCCTTGGGTTTGGACCCGAGTGCTTCTTTCAAGAAGGCGAGTCAGTGTTCATTAAGGAGCTAGAATACCCCTAAAATATTGCGAATAATTCCATGTTTGATCCTGGCATCTGCAGCAGGACGAAGGTCCCTTTGTCCAGGTACAGCCCAATAACAGTTTCCATCAACAGGTAGTTACCCGTAACTCGTGATGAATTAGGTATTAATTATTAGACTAATTATTGCTAACATAGAAATATTTGTAACCTTTTCACATTTATTTTAAAGAAAGTGACAAAGCGCAATTCCACAGGCGGCTTACTACACCTCGTTGTTGGTATTGAGTCGGTGGAAGAAAAGATACCTAATTAGGTATCTTTCTCGGACATCGCAAAGACCTCTGGGAGGCTCGATCAAACCAAACTTTGGTCTCGGTGGCATTATGCCCGGGATGTGCCAAGCCCTGAGCCCGATGCAAATCGACCCACTTCCCGATGCCCCACCCCATCCTTGCACCGCGACTTTTTACAACCGCGTCACTCCATGGTCATTTTCGAATGCATTTCTCAAATTCTTAATATCTCCATTACAAATACAACGATTCCATTCTCGCATCCCAATCTGAAACGGAAATTGCCACCACACCTTTCTGAACCGCTACAAAAAAATGTCGGACTCGGACGAATCGGATGATTTTGGCTACGTCGTTGCTGGCCCCAGTAGTGATGTCCACGACGGCCACGAATCGCACGAGGACGACTCCGACTTGGAATTAGATGACGGCTCGGAGCCTGACGGCCACCCATTCATTGACCTAGAGGCGATGGACTCTGACAACGAAGCATCTGACTCCGAAGACAACCAGAGCGTGGGCTCGGAAGACAACTTTTTCTTCCCGCAGTTCCGGCGCCTGCCGTTCGAACTGCGCCATCTGATCTGGGAGCTTTTCTGTCCCGACCTGGTCACCAAATCACGCGTCTTTCAGTTTGTGCCGTATTGGATGTATGGAGAGAAAAACACGCTAGTCCTTGAGGCTGGCCCATTCGTGGAACAACAAACGAGGACGGCGCGCACGTTACTCGCCGTGCACCGAGAGACACGCGAACGTGCGCTCAAGGCATTTCCCGATGATTTCCAATTCTCTAGACACGCAACCTTCCGGTTCAATTCAGAGCGCGACATCATCGTGCTGAAGCTCATGAAACGGGACATGGTGGTAAAAGAACCGCGGGTCCCTGGTGTCAGTGACCGGATCCGGTTCCTGGCCATTGACTTTTACGGTTCATTACCCCACGCAAATCAGCTTCTGCACAAGATGTTTCCAAATCTCGAGCAATCCTATGAGTTGGAATCGGCCTTGGAGCTTCCGCCACATGATTTGCGTTGGTGCGTCTCTGACGCGGCCGTTAGCTACGGATTCACGACCGTGGAAGAAAAGCCTGGTTTAGGAGAGGACGGCGAGCACTTGTATTGCTGGCCTGACACTCGGGACGGCCGCACCTGGCAAGAAACGCAGGGGGGGTCGAGCTTAACCAGTAGCCTCGTGACGCCAACAAGTCCCTTTCCTAGGATGTTGCCTTTAATAGAATTTTCTTGGGAGTCGGGTCAGCGGCGGTTTGAAGCCTTGAAATCATGGAACGGCGAGGGTGCGCTAGACTGGCCGTCCTCGGATGGCGAGAATGAGGACGGAGATGGGGAAAACGAGGAGGATGACCCAAACGAATACGAAAGCGAAGGGATTGACGACTCTGAGCTTGGGGAGGACCACCTGAGCTCAGACGACGACTTGGTCCAAGGCGAATCATCTCAGAGCGGGAGCGGAGCGTCGGAGGAAGAGTCTGATCATGAAGACGGCGGTTCAGGATTGCAACAAGGCGAGACCATCGATCTCACGGGTGATGACGAAGCTCGTTTCTCCAGCCCTGAGCCATCTTCAGCCACTGCTCAACCATCCGACGACGACTCAGACCGGCCAGCGGCCCGAATTCCACGACGAAAGCGGGCACGGGCGCGGATTATCGACTCCGAATCGGAGGATGATTCGGACGGTAGACCACACAAGCAAGCACACACCGAGTCTAGGAACCTGCCGATTGTGGTGTCGAGTGACGAGGAAGAGGACGAGCGGCGTAAAATGCAGCGGAATCGGCGGGCACGGGCCGTGATTTCCGAAGATAGCGAGGAAGACGAGTCAGAGGAGGACGAGTCGGGGGGTGACGGAGAAGGCCGGTCGCTGTCGCTGGTGGAGAGGTTGCAGTTACACCGCGAGAGGTACCCCGTGCCGGCATCCAGTGAAGATTCAGAGTTGGAGGAGCCAGGCGGGGATGACTACGATGCGCGAGATTATGCCGACTTTCAGGATGACGAGGAGGGTAATGAGGTGGAGGAGGGGGATGGGGATGATCACGTTCTGGACGGCGACGACGACGACGACGACGACGAATATTGATCTCGTGAATGGTGTGGCGATTTGGTGACACCATGCTGCGTGCTACATTACAATGTTGGCCCTTCCCAAGTCTCCCTGCGCATCCGCCCCACCCACGCTTGCTTGTGAGGAAAGGTGATCTCTTTTTCCTTAGTGAAGCCTTCCGCTTCGAGGTGCCCGATGAACCTGTCAAGTTAGCGGGCCGTACTGCGCATTTACCGGAAGTCAATGCCCACCTCTCATTATCAATCCTCGGTTCCAGCCAAATGTTGGCGGTGCGGTAGTCAGAACACCAGATCCAATGCACCAGGCTGGACAGCCAGCTCGCGACTCGGCCTCGTGCCCACTCCTCACCGATGAGTACATGGCACCCGCGGTCCCAGTCCTCGACCGCGGACCCGACGTACCGCCCCAGGAGATCCTCCTTGACCCAGTAGATCTCGAAGTACCCGAACGGCACACCGTCCCAGAGGCCGATGACCGGGAAGCTGTGGCGGCTCTGGAGCGCATTCGGCAGCAAGTTCTGGCTGTACTGGCCCCAGAAATGGGAGACACGCGGGTTGGCGTGCCACGACTCGAGTAGCGCAGCGTCAGTCTGGGATCGTAACGACTGTTGTTGCGGAGGTTTGGGCCCGATAGGTCCCATGTACGGCACGGGCTGCTCCGCGATGGAAGCGACACGGAAGGAAAGGTATTGGCCGACCGACGGAATGAAGCGGGTGTAGAAGACCTCGCCCATACGTGGTGGCTTGGGGCGGAGCGGGTGCCGGACATGTCCAGTCATGATGTACTGCAGTGGGGGTGGTGGGTAATAAGTTGGCAAGTGTGATGCGCTAAAGAAGGGGCTGATCGGGAAAGCCGGAGGCCCCGCGAGCGAGGTAGGCGGGGCCGCGCCAGGGAGATCACCAGCTTCGGCGACTGCGCGATGAGGGTGGATGGCGATGGCTTGGTGACGGTGCTGCTCCTCGGAGGACGCGGGCGACCCGGGCCGGCTAGAATACGGGGAGCGCGGAGTCTTGCTGACGGGCTGGAGCGTGAAAAGGAACAGCCGGCCGGGCAACTGCCAGAACATGCGGCGGGTGACAAACATGTCGGCCCAGGTTTCGCCAGAATCTCCGAGCGCGGTCCCCACAGCCGAGTCGAGACTCGCGATCAGGCCCATGCGCTCCAGCTTGGGGATCAGGTTGGGCCCGCGTAGCATGCCGTCGCGCCTGATTCGGACCCGCCACTCGCCCTGCGGCCTCCCAGGTGCCGGCGTCGGCTTTGACGCCTCTGTGGATACAATCGAGGGTGGGGGCGGCTGTTGGTGAAAGTACCAATACAGCGTGACCCAGAGCATCATAGCTGTCTGGCGGGTAGGGCTCGCGGGGGGCTTGAAGTCGGCAATAGACGGGTTCGAGACGGACGACACGAAGATGCTGTCGCTCTGCAGTGTTGGCCCCTTGAAGGAGTGGACTTGTGGGCGCCTGGCTGGTGAGGGGTGGCCCGGGCCGGTGATGGGAGCATCGTCATCGCTGCCGTCCTTGTCGTCGTCGGTGTGAATTACGATCGTCCACCCGATCGGGAACGCGCTGTTGTGCGAGCTTAGGTCGTTGGATTGGAAAAAGAGGCCGGCAAATACGGGCGTCACGGTGAACCGCTGCCCGTCGGGAAGATAGAGAACTTGAGGTCCCATGGGCGATGGTTGGAGCCGATACCGAGCTCCACTCGCATTTCAATCGTGGGTTATATTGTGGGTGTCGAGTAGAAGGCGTGGGCGCGGGGTCGTGGTCGTGACTCGTCAGCCCGTTACACAGGAGTAATCAGTCTTTCGGTGTCGCGCGCAAGGCACGTGTACTGTGATGTTCACAGTCGGGATTAGAAAGGATCCGATTGAGATCGAAGGAGCAGTATCTTGTCTTGTTGGTGCGTCGTTGGAGCTTCAAGGTCTGTCGTCATGAAGCACGGAGCTCTTATATAGACCCACAAGTGACCAGGGTCACGCACACGGGAATGCCCGGAATAGTGGAGCCTCCGCCTGGTCCTTCGGATCATCAACATCCCAGCATGTATGGTTGATGTGTACATCGTATGTATGTACCAGGTGACTACATTTCTTCGTGTAGAAAGCGAGTATACTATGATAGCCTTGAGACCATCTACTCTCCCTTCCTTCCCTTTGGCTCATCTTTCTCACGCTCCTTCTCCGTGAACTCCTCGTCTTTTTCCTTCTCCGACGACCGAGACTTGTCTTCCTTACTGCGTTCCTCACTCAGGACCTCCTTGACATCATCGCCAACCTCCTTGGCCTCATCCCATTCAACGTCGTACTCGACCGCCGCAGCCTTGATCTCATGCCGGAGCGCATTGGCCTCCTGCGCCAGCTGCTCCCACTTCTGTTGGTCGAACCCGCGCGCCTCGTACAGCGCGTTTTGCCGTCGCGAAACCGTCACGTTCATGGCCGCCTTGTAACTCAAGTCCTTGCTGATGTAAAGAAACCAGAGGTAGCCGCCCATGATGGTGGACAGGCCCGCTAGGTACGTGACGGGCTCGACGAGGTCCCTGACAGGTTAGCGAGCGGGCTTTGGAGTCGGGTATCTCAAACAAAGTTCGACAAGTAACTTACCAGCCAAACTCGGTGTGAAACGTAACGTAGTACACGACCCCCCACCATCCGCTCAGCAGTGCAAATCCCCCCTTAGCCAGGAGATTCGCCCCCCTGTGAGCGAGCAAGTCGCACTCCCGCTTGATGTGCGATAGCCGGTCGATCTGCCGACTCAACTTGCGAAGCTGTGCGCGCATGTAGTGCGTGCGGTCCCTGAAGGACGGTACGCTGACTCGCATCTCGACGTGGTACCCTTCGATCTCTACGGCAAACTCGCGCCCGCGCGCCGCGTCGCGGATGAAGTCGCCCATCTCGGTGCTGTTGCTCCAGCGCACCCAGTTCTTTTCCGATCCGTGCCGTTCGGGTCCCTCGTGACCAAGACCCGAGTACGACTCGACATGGCTCCGCGACGAGGCCTCATCACGCTTCCTAGCTTCGGCCCGCGTCGTCGGCTTGTTCTCCCCTTGTTCCGTGTCCTCGGCTCGGAAGTACACGCTCGGAACCTTTTCCCTGCCATCCTCTACTACCGGTGGGATCTCGGCCTGGATGAGCCGCTCTACGTACGAGAGCGGCTGCTGCGGGTGTATGAGAAGCGCGAGCGGCTGGATGTTGTCGTTGAGCGATATGGAGCGTCCGTAGTCGCGTTTCGGGTTGTTGTCACGGTCTTTTTCGAGGGTAATCGGGAGCGGGAGGATCAGCTTCAGGAGACGCGTCGGCGTCGTCAGGAGTTTCCCTGTGCTGTTAGCAAGCGAAGAAAGCGAAGACCAGGGACGAGATACCTTCTGTAACCGGTTCGGCAGACTCATTGTCAGTCACAGGCGGGTCGTCGGCGCCCTGTCGGTGCCACGGCCGTTTTACCTGGCCTTGCCGGGTACGCACTTCTTGTTCCTGCTCGTTCAAGACTCTTTGGTCTAAATGTTTGGCCTTGGCCTCTGCGACCTCCTTTGCTTTCGCGGAAAACCACGCGGGGCCTAATCGAGTCACGAACGGCTCTGGACGATGAGCGAGGCGCCAGGTAGGCGGGCCCACGCGGTGCAGAGCTCTGCGGGCGTGGTTCATCGCGGCGTTGTCGGTCGCGGCCGAGTGTCGCTTATCGCGTTGAGTAGAAATTGACTGGTGGGCCCGGTTAGATGACATCATCGCCCCATATTACCCTCCGCTTGCCCGAACTCTTTCAGAAGCATTCAGCTGTCGAACCATAACTCTGTACTTCGTATACAATAGTAGCCATCCCTCCATCCGTGAACCAGAACAGTATTTCGCAAAACATCGATTGTTTCACGCTGATGAAGCCATCTTCCTATTCTTTCGAGTACGCATGGTTTCACCTTCACCTCAAACTCGACCATCCTGCTGACATCGCAAGTCTTGGCACACTGCGTTGCACGACTTGTGTTGTCTCAGACAACCGAACATGTCGTGCAGTTCCTGCTCCAGCTTCCCGCTCGCGTGAACTCGTTGGTCGAAATGTCTCCACTGATGAATCAACTCCCATGATCCCGTTCCGTCGACTTCCCCGCCCCCAGACGGACTGCCGAGGAAAGACTGGCCATTGAGGCCTCGACTTGGTCATGGACTCTTGGCACGGTCGTTGAAGCGGGCCACCGTTGCGTTACCTTCTCCGGCCGACATGCCGCCGCTCCTGGATAAAGTGCCTCGACAGTGCCAGATGTCCTAGCCGGAGAGCGGTTCCCGCACCCGTCCTCTGCTCACATTTGTCTACTTTTAAACCTGCTCAGTCCTCTCAGCCTACCACAGACCACAACCAAGCGCGAAGAACGGAATTTTTAACTTGGGTTGCATTCTGTCAATGCCGGCGGGGAAGGACACGGGCCGGAGTTTTTGACAGCCCTCACTTTTTTGGACCTGTGCGGAGAAGGGCAAGGTTTTTCTTGCTGACGACGCGCCGAGGAGCGTAGGTTCCGGCGGGTGATCGCTCGGCGATCGATGCTTGGTGTCAATTCAACTCGCCGCCGCCATCATGACATACGCTGAGAGTTGGCGGGCTTCGAAACCTCGCGGACCGGAGAGACCGAACCACCGACAAAAGGGGTGTCTCACCGGTCGCCTGTCATCAAAGAGTTGATCGACGACAGTCGGGGGAAACCAGCGCTCCGTCGTCGTGGTGCTGGAACCATGAATGTCTCAGAAATCCTTGAGACAGGCTCACAGAGGCGAAGCGGCGAACAACCTCTCGCGTGCGAGTAGTAAGCTGGGTTGCAGACAGCCGACGCCGACAGCCGCTTAGCGCAGCCACCACAATTGCTTGTGGCGACCCGAATCGCAGAACTAAGCCCGTTTGACATGGCAGGTTATTTGAGACGCATGGGGCTGGCTGTGAGGTTTTGAGGCTGCAAATTCTCTGCAAATTCTATCGGCGCCAGCCCAAACCGGCGATGCCAGACACAAGCGAGGCCGAGCTCGGAGTCAGGGGGCAGCCCAGGGAAGCTTAAAAAAAACCCACAGCTCGGTGCGCACAGGCCGCCAGGGATCGCATCGCAAACCGCACTAATCACTGACCGAGAACGCAAAGGAGTTGCGAGTCTAGACAACCCAGGAACGCTAGAAAAGTCCCGAAGAGCACCAGCAGAGCCCATCCTCAACGAGCGCGTTCCCGGCCCGCCGGGGATTTCTCACGAGTCACTTCACACGCTCTCCGCAAATGGCTGCCACACCCAAACGCAGAAAAACGCGGGGAAACACGATCCATCTGGGGGGCGCCGTTGGCCAGCAAAACTCGGGACCTTGGTCCGAGCTCCCGTTGGGGTGGCAATCCTAACCGCAAACGACGGTACTTGGGAATTCTCCCGTTTGTCCCGTCGCCAAATCGGAAGAGATCGGCAAAACGTCAAAGCTTGGCGGGTCTCTCTCAGCAACGGGTGCAGGGGCGAGCGATCCTGGAAATCTCTGGGTTTTCGGGTTGTCTCTGGGCTGGGGAATTTTCGCATGTGTGAATCTCGTGCATTGCTGCATTTGCTGGCCTTGGGGATTTCGCTTTCTCGGTTTGTGTGCGGTTTTCCCCTGCTGTTCCCACCACGGATCCCTGAGCTGTTGGGAATTTTCAAGCGAGACCTCGCTAAATACCCGGCTCGCACGCGCTGCTCCCATTTTTGGTTGCGCTGTGAGACAATTACAAACTCGCCACGCGACTCGCTTCACCACGACGGAGCGCCGGGCCCGCTGGCCACACCCTTAAGCGAGATCTGTGCGCAAGCCCAGTGGATGCTCTCGTCGCGGGGAATCTCGCTACGCCAGGGTTCCAGGATGCAGAATGACGCCCGGTGTGCCCAGCCCTGGCGCATTTTCCCAGTTGCGGATGGTTCGTGAACCTGCTGCCGCTATATTGGGAGGGGGACAACCAGCCGCCAAGCGAGCTCCCCCAGCCCGGGCCAGAACTTGTCTTGAACCCCCCGGCCCCCAGCCCGGTTCTTCTTGTCAGCCGTTTTGTCAATTTGTCTCAATTTTGTACCTCTGTCCCGACGACCCCATGATCGAGCACCGGTCGCCATTTCCATTACTACCACCACCAACCCGACATGTCGATTCCTCCACGCCTCGTCCGGAAGTAAACGTTGTCTGAGTATCGACTCTTGAAACGCTGCACGCCAGCCGCCAAACCGGCCATGCCAAATCCACAAGCACTGGCCCGCATCCTCGGGCGGGACTATGAACCAACACCACCAGCCGGCCACGAGACTCTGGGACCATACCTCCTGCGTGTAATCTGGACGCTCGCCGCTCTGTCAAGCTTGTTTCTCGGTCTGCGCGCGTACTGCAAGTTGTCGAGGGGGCATCGATTGTGGTGGGACGACTATTTCCTCATCGCCAGCTGGGTACGTGTGCTTGTCCTTGACTCTGAATTTTTGCCCCACTAATTAACCGGACAGGTCGCCGTCATCTACTCCATCTCTCTCCAGACCGTGGCTGTCCACTATGGGCTCGGCATGCACTATGAGGACCTGAGCGACGCGGAAATCTCGGAGCTCGGCCTCTTCTCCATGGCCGCCGGCTTTGGCACCATCTTGGCCACCTGCTGGACCAAGACGTCTTTCGCCATTACCCTGCTGCGCATCTCAGACGGCCACATGCGCCATTTTATCTGGTTCATCATCATCTCGGTCAACCTAGTGCTCGGTTCCAATGGCATCATCCACTGGATCCAATGCTGGCCCGTCCAAAAAACCTGGCACTCCGAGATGGATGGCTCTTGTTTCTCGCCGGATGTTGTCCGCGGTTACAACACTGCGACTGCCGGTGAGTTTCTTTTGTTCTTGAGGCCTGAGCTAAGCTGATCCAGTAACTAGTCTTTTCGGGTGTCATGGACATCTTGCTAGCGCTTCTGCCGTGGAGAATCATCTGGACCGCCACCATCAACAAGCGGGAACGTCTTGGCGCCTTGGTGGCCATGAGCACGGGTGTTTTGTAAGTTCGCCGGCCCCCAGCCCTGCCAGCTCTCACTAACCGTTTAGGGTCGGTATCATTGCGTTCTTGAAGATTAAGACCATGTATGTCATCGGCAATGCAAGCGGTATGTTACCTCGCTCTCTTCTTGGTGAACTTCACTAACTTCCCGCAGCTACGACGGTGGACTTGCAAATCTTTGGCACTGCCGAGCCCGCCACCGCCATCATGGCCGCCTCCATCCCCATGCTGCGCGTTCTTATTCAGCGCAGCCCGGCCTCCAAGCCCTCGCGTTTCATCGAACTTGTACGCAGCCGCACCGACACCGCCCCTTCCGCCCTAGATACGAAACGCAACGCTGAGGACTCGTGGGAGGAAACCGTCACCAGAAGCCCCGATCCCGCGCACGCCCGGCTCCGGTCCCCGGATGAGGATGACGATGAACGCTACCGATGGGCTTCGTGAACAGTTAACGACTTGGGATGACTTTGTTTTATGATACGATCGCTATTCTTAAGCCAGCACCTCACGTCCGGCGGTATAAACCGCGTCCGGCGCGGACGGTGCAAGGGCCAGGCGAGTCGCAGACAGCCACTGATACCGATATGCCTAAAGGGCAGAACCACACGATCACTAGGGACGAGTGAATGTGGCATAACCCGGGCAATACCCGACGGCACGCCGCGGATGGGTCGAGTTAGAAGCACAGGGCTGCAGTCGAACGTCGAAGCTGGGGTGGTTAGGCCGATTGGGGGCTCACGCGTGCCCTACAGTGTCGAGGATTAGTGAGGGGGTTGGGGGTTCACCGTACTGAGCGTTTGTCAGTGCGGGTCCTCCATTGGCAAAGGGGCGAGGGAAATGGCGAATTTATGTTTATGTCGGGTCCTCAAACGATCGAGGTGGTGATGGACTGAATTTTGGAGCCGGGTAGCCTGGCAATCGCCAGCCTTTCTCCTCCGCGGCGCCTATAGTGAACGTCAAAAAGAATCGATTCACATACAAATACTCCGTAGCTAAAATTTCTACCTTCACGTCCCATTTTATTTTCTTACTGAAGATACTGCCGCCTCCATCACTCCCCATTCCCGCTTCAGCTTGAAGGGGATGTGAATGTTAACAACGTCCTGGTCGTATTACTTATCCTCAAGTGCACGAAAAGCCCGGCTATTCAGCTCGTGTGGCACAGTGCGGAACATAAATGCATATGACTAGGCTCCCTGAAACCCCGGAATACACATGTGACTAGATATACGAAGTGTATCTACTGGTTGAAGAACAGGTGGTTAGCCTGTGCAATGAGGAGAACTCATCCAAGAAGGTAAGGAAAATATGCAGAAAGCGCCGGTTAAGGTAATACGGCAGATGCTGGAGCAAGAGGACGAGATGTTGCAGATCAAAGAGGAAGCTGACATTACTTCTGGGCCAACCGAATCAGAACCTTTAGGAGTATTCGTAATTATCAAGATACATGGGGGAAGTGGTTTTAAAACATCACTGATGCTGTAAATTGGCATTTTATTTTTTAGCGCCTTGGGTAGTGAGTATTCCGCAAGAAGTACGGATAATCGGGAAGATATTGATCATTACATGCAACATCCGTCAATGGTTGCGTTTGTTGTTTATGGTATCTTTTCAGACGGCCGCGAGAATATCGGTCTCACAGTACAATTAAATGTATTCCCGTAGCAGAATACTCAAGTTCGGTAAATTAAATGTCCTCCACTCCCAAGTTGTAATCAGGTACCCTCTACTTGGTCTTTCCGCCCTCATCTCCTCGCCCCCAAGCCGGCGGCAGCCTTGTACCCATTTGCAACTCCCACAACACCCGGTCAAACCGCCCCTCCTTGAGAGCCACCGCATCCCCGGCGTACTTGAAAGTCTCGCCGGGAGTCGGCTCCTCGTCCTCCCGACCATCCGGGTTGTCGGTAAAATAAATATTGCAGGGCTTCAGGGTGTAGGCACCCGTCTCGTACTTCGCCAACCGGTATTTGTGGTCAAGTGACTCCACCAGATAGGCATACCCCGCCAACGCAACTCCCGGTTTGCCGTTAATAAGGGCTTTGTATTGGCCCCAGTTCGTAAGTTCATAGCCGTAGACGTTGGCAGGTCGCAGGGTCGGTTCTGTTTGCAGGCCAAGAACGCCCTTGAGGATGTCGGGCTTCATGAGGGTGCCATAGAAAAAGTAGTAGACTGGTTCGTAGACAAATGGCTTTGGTTCCTCTCTCTCTAACAAGTAGTTTTCCGGCATGCAAGCGAGCTTCGCATGGTATTCAGTTTCCCAGGGCTCAAGTGCAGCAGGTTTAGGTTGTGCGCGCAATGGAAGTGGGAGCGGGGGCGGGGGTGGAGGTTGAGCCCCTGTCGGGTGGCTGCTCGGACTGGATGCATCGAGTGGGGGACTGGAGTTTGCCATGGCTATGGCAGAAAAGCAGGGGCAGAGAAGTGGTCTAAGGTAGTGATAGTGATTCAGGAGGGTTGCAAGAGTTGAGTGAGGTACGGAGTACCTAGGTACCTTGGTAAAAACGTAAGTTGGAATGTCCTGCAGGGGCTGCAACGGACCGGGTGGGGCTGGTGGCCTGCCTAAATGAGACGCGATGTCGCTTGTTATTGGTCAGTTCCGAACCACGCAGCGCCACACACAGGCAGCCCGGTCCGTGTTTCCCATGCTCCCAGATTCCAGGAGTTGAGTGTTGGGTGGCGGCGAAAGTGGAATTCCCTATGGGATGTCGCACTGCTCGGAGCGGGTTCTCGCCTGTTGAAGAATAGTTACAGGTAGCTCGGTCCAACGTTTAATCTTGACGTCTTGTTAGTATGGTCGGTGATTACAGACACTTATAAACGGTCATGACCGTGTGGGAGTGGGACGGCTTTGCGAGCTGGATGGATATGGACCAATGGTTCAAGAAGGAGTGATAACAAGGGTATGTCTCGTGTGGCCTCTATTGACGGCGGCCTTGAAGGGGCTTGTTAATCATTATAATTGTAAGAACACCGTCAAAGAGTTCAATATTACTCCCACCTGACCCTTCACCATCAGTGCTCAACTCTCGCCGACCTAGCATAGCGATGACACCCACCTACCTACGCCTGGCAGCCCTCCAGCTCTGCTACAAGTCGAGCACACAGTTCCCTCTCGCTAACCCTCGCCACTTCATCATCCATGCTATCAACCATGAGACAACTAAGCACCACATCGGCATAGACGTCCCCACACGCCCATCTGACACGATCTAGATACTCTCGACAAATCCAGCGTCTCCGTTCATACTGATATTCGTCGTCATAGTCAGGAATCATGTTATATCCCGAGCGGAAGTCATCGTAGTTCCTCAACGTTTCCCACAACCCGATTTCAAGAAGAAGGATACCGAGAGAGTAGACGTCGTATGCATGACGATACAAGCGCTGTGGGTCTGCGTGTTTGGCAGGGTGCTGGTAATAGTCTAGCGTAAAGCCGCTGATGTTGATGTCCTTCGTTGGCTCGGAGACGGTCGACTTATTGAGCATGTCTCTGCCATAGATGTTTTTGAGTGAAGGGGTTCTGCTTCTTAGCCTTGGCGCTGCCTCGTCTGAGGGGCCATCGGGTTCCCATATGCTGGTGGTCTTGCTCTGGGATCTTTGCATCTCCATTTGCGTGGATGATAGCATTCGGTTGTCAATTGGCGGCGCCGATGCTGATTCCGTGGGAGTCATTATATCGTCTGGCCGTGAAAAGATATAGCCCATCAGAATAGGCTTCGAAACATCAATCTCGATTTTGACCTCGTAACGATCCTCTTGGAGTGCATTCACGTGTTCCGGGAAGAACATGACTGACTCGGCGCGGATATTCTTGTGTAGCCACCCGCTGGAATGAAGGAGACAAACGGCACGAACAAGGTTCCTGGCCAGCTCGAAACGTGCCCCGAGCGTCGATCTGATGCCATGTCGCCCTTTGTTTCCAAGAAGGGACTTCAGCGTCACAGGTGCACGAAGCTTCAGGTTCTCCGCTGGCCGCTGGCGGCTCTGGAGGCCGATGGTGCCGGGGAGCTTGTATAGGATGCTGAAATGGCCCTTGTGTTCCCCTTCTGTATGGTCAATCATTCCTGCGATATTCAAGCCATAGACGCTTTTCATTACATTCTCGCCGTGGAATGTGTTGAAGAAGTTTTTGATGAGAGCCCGGAGTTTCGGGTCTGGTGGCCGAACACTCTCTATCGGCTCATCATCATCAGTCTCATCGCTGTCACTCTTTTCGTAGTCTACAGTGATTCCAGCGTTGTTGTAATGGTGTGGAATACCAGTCTCTGACAACTTCAAGGGACGTGCTCGGTTCCGCCGACGCTTGATCTTCTGCTTTTGCTCCGGGGTGAGTTCCGGCGGCGGTCCACGGTAGTCTCGCATTTCCACGTAGACGACTTGGCCGTCGAACAGGGCGAGACCCTTGCCCAGATACCACATCTTTGGTTGTTCTTCTTCGATGCTAGGAAGAGTGCCGTCATCTACCGCGTCAACCCTGTCTCTGTTTTCATTCACTGATGCTTTCAAAGTGGCCGCCGAGGCCAGCAGTACGTAGCCTCCCCGCACTGAGGAGCCATCATCCACCTCCGCGTGTTCGGTCGCGAGTTTCGAAGTCCACTTCAGACCAGCCGGCGACTCTTGCCTGGCCAAGCAGTCCATGGTGAGATAGATGTTCATGGAGCCGAATGCGTTTTCCGGACAAAGGCGGTACAGCGATTCACTGTGCGATCTCAGGTCGGAGATGAGTTTTCTGAAGTTGTCTCTGTCCTTCAGAGCCCACTTGAACTTGTTGAGGACCGAGAGCCGATGTTTGACCTCCTTGATGACCGGCTGGATATTCTCGATAGTGGTGTTTTGGATGGTCAGCTGGACGTTGTTGGTTAACTGGGATGCATCTTGGATAGCTTGTGTTGGCTGAAGCTGGATCCCATAGCGCTTGGTGAGCTTTTCTTGATTTGACAGGGTATCGGCAAGAGCGGAAAGCGTATTGAAGACGCCTTCGGCCTTGAAGCGGTTGTTTAAGAGGTACTTGTGCAATTTAGTCTGCCCTTGCCCGGTGGGATCGGGGTGTTCCGGCCCACTGCTGTCCTGGTTTTGGATCCGCCAGTGGAAGCCCCAGGCTTTGAGAATTGACTGCTGAATCACCATTTCGCGAAGATGGGCTGAAGATTCTACTTCGGCCGTTTTCACCGTTGTGAAGAAGCCGTAACAGTCCCGACACGTCGTGTAGAGGCCAACAATGCCGACGGCAAGGCCAGCAGCCTCCATGATGGTTATGATGTTGTCGGCGGGCCACGGGAAATAAAAATGAGCGGTGTCTGATTCAAAAGTCCGGAAACTGTGTGGTATAAGGACGAAGTTGAGGGGTCAGTCTACGCTTTTACCAGCGACAAAGACGCGTTGATATGAGCGTGGGAAATCAGCAGTGATCAGGCGGCTCATGGTGCATGAGCAGGCGGGGGTCGGGGGCTGTGCCCAAACCACCCAATCATAATGACCAGCTTCCCTGTGCAACACGTCGTCCGCCTCTTTCCGGCAGATATTGAAACCAATGGCCTGACGCCCGGCCTGCAAGGACACCTAGCGAAGAAAGGCAGTGCTTTCCAGTTGCAAGTTCCAATCAGGAGCAGCGGGTATCAGTCCATTCCATTTATTGTAACTGCGAAAAGGCGTAAGTGAGGACAGGTAGAGTAGGTACTAAACTGGAGGCTATTTATATTGTAGTTTGCGCTTGGTGACGGCGGGACTAAGGGAAGAACTTCCATTGGCTAAGGTACCTTAGGTTTAAGAATCTGGTGTCAAGATACGTATCACTCATCCAATTGCTACAGGGTGTCCTGCGAAAGCGGTGAGAATGCATGATCTCACTCAGAAACGAGGACAATCGGCTCCCCATTAGTGATATCCGCACACAGTTGTCCGTTCCCATCCGATGAGTACGTTTTGCCGTCCAGCGCCCCCTTCCACGACCCGTTCTGCTTCTGTGCATCGAAGCAATATTGCTGCGACTGGCTGCTGCCGCCGTTTGAAGTCAGCGCGATGACCTTACCGCCGGCACGGCTCCACGCGTACGCCGCGTCCGCGGTGTACAAATGGACATGGTCATCTTCCGGCAGGCCGCCGGCGGCCTTGCGTACGCCGGCCACCGCAGCGATAAACTTGTAGAGTGCGCCATCAGTGGCGAACCCGCTGCGCCAGAGGTCTTCCCGGTTAGCTGGGTCTGCACCGCCTGTGTAGCCCTGCTCGGTGCCGTAGTAGAGGATGGGCACACCACGCGCGAGGAGCACGTATGTGAGCGCGTTCCGCAATAGGACGGGGTCATTCTTCTCGTTCAGCCAGCGCGGGTTATCGTGGTTGTCGAGGAACGTACCCAACGCCGCAGGGTCGGGGAACTTTTGGCTGACACTGTTGTGCATGTCGACAATGTCTTGCGACGAGCCCTTCTGCTGGTAGAAGTTGTTGACCGGATAGTAGACGGCGTAGTTCAGCAGGCCAGACATGAGCCCAGCGTAGCCGGAGAGATAGTCCGGGTCACCGTCAAAGACCTCGCCGATCGTATAAACGCCAGCAGCGGAGGAAAATCCTGTCCAAAAGTCCTTTTCGACATGCTTGACCGTGTCGATACGTACTCCATCGAACTTGAACTCAGAGACGAGCCAAGTGATCCATGACTGCATAACATCTCGAATCTCGGAGTCTTCCGTGTTGATATCTGGCAGGACATCGGCGACCCAGCATCGCTCGACGCTATCCTGGTTCGAGTAGTCGATTTTGCAGGACGTGTGGTACGAGGATGTCTGACTTAGCAGGGTGGGCTTATTGGCAGTCACATCGGCCGGGCCCATGTGGTTGGCGACGACATCGACCATGATGTACATGCCCTGTGCTTCCATCAGTATTTCACAAAACATAAAGCAGAGCTTCGTTCGGACGAACCTTTTCGTGAGCCGCGCTAACAAGGCTCTTCAAGTCATCTGCGGTGCCAAGCTTCGGATTGATCGTATATAGGTCCTGGGCCCAATACCCGTGATAGCCCCCTTCGGTGTCTGCCACCCCCAACGTTAGTATGCGCTAGGATCAGGTTTCTCTTTTAGGAGCGGAGGGGGGGGAGGGGGGGTTCTCACTTGCAACCACGGGCGTGATCCAAATGGAGTCGAAACCGAGGTCTTTGATATAGTCGAGTTTCGATTGGAGTCCCTGGAAAGTCCCCCCGCAATAGTTGCCGAGGTCGCCACACGCGCTGCCGCCGGTGTCGTCGCTGTTCCGAGCAACGCGGTCTGTCAACGCAAAGTAGATACTGCGAGCCTTCCACGCGGCAGCGTCCGCGGCGAACGCCGTGGTGCAGAGCTGAAAAAGCAAGGCAAGAGATGAGATCCTCATGGCGGGCGATTAGGAGGTTGTCGGCAGTGTCCCTGAGTGATGGAGATAAATCTGAGCTGAGCTCTGGTTGGAACGCGACATCTTATACTCGAATGCCCGTTCTCTACGCCGACGAATTTTCCCTCTTCGCTCCTAGAACGATGCCGCGCAAGCTAGGATTCAGGCGTGATGCATCGCTTGTGCCGATCGAGGGCCTGTAGCGCCGCGAGTTCTCCGATTGGTTAAGGCCCCCGTGTGTCGTTCCCATAAGCTGGGACCACGCACGATAGTGGTTAGATCGGTAGATCCGTTGTGTCGGGGGGCTTCCCCATGGGGTAGCCCACCCGTATTCCTTGTCTTGTGGGGTCGTCGGTCGCGCAGTCTGCCATTTCTGACGGTGCCAGGGTGAAACACTCGCTTAAGTTGGTCGGCCCGAGATGTGCGAGCGGTGGATAGCGTCCAATGTACGGAATGCATCTGGCCCGACGGGATGCCAAGCTGTCGGCCCGACATCAATTCATATTAGTGACTGATGTGTCTGCGGAGATAGATCTGCATGAAAATCTTCGCTAATGTGCCATCGACGTCGACAACAACACAGGAAGGCTTGATCTATTACTGGGTCCTTCATCACGATGAGGGTACTCGCGGCTCCTACACCACAATGCTATCCGGGGTCACCAAGCATTGGTGACACTCTCGAGCTCAATATTCGTTTGAGTCAGCGAAGGCTCATCCCGACCGAAGTCATGTTTTATCTCGACCATATGTTCGGACGCTAATTAGGTAGGTGAAACAGGTTTATCTCGCGGAATTTAGGAGAAGTCAAACGTTGAGCGGTACCTGGGTAAATGGGGGAAATAACAACCACTACGGCTTGGACGAAACCAACTCTCGTGAGAAATCCCAAGTTCTCTGTATGGCAACTCAACCGGCTGCCGACGTAGGTACTCGCGGAGTTCCGCACTACATTAGGAAGAACTCCGACACCCCTACTCGATCAACGCGATCGGCGCCCCACGTATCCCTTTGTCCTGGTTTCCCCGTCTGGGCGTCGGCCTTATGCCCGGGCCCTAGAAAGAGGTCTAAGCTCACGCCTGACTGCAAGCCCGAAGCACTCGGTCGCACCATCCTGAAACAACCAAACCTGGCTTGTTGGTTGATCTGTGAATTCCCGTGGTGGGGTCTACAGTACAGCTTTCGTTACAGTAATTACAATCCGAGTGATTCGAAACGATCGGGTTGTCCTGCCTACCTACCTTTATGAGACGTAATGCCGCTTGTTATTGGTCGGTTCCGAGCCACCGAGTGCCACATACGGGTAGCCCGATCTGTTTTCACAGCACCTACAAAGTAGGCCGAACGAAAGTAGTCATCAGAAGAATCAGCTGCAGTAATTACAACTAAAAAAATGGTGTTGTAGTTGGCCCGGACTGACCCCACATCGTTTCATTTGTTGTAGAGCAGATAGAGTTTTGGGAGGTGATTAAGGTCGAGTTCAAGACGAGGGAGGCGGGAATGCACAATGCATTCTTAGGGGAGGACGGTTGGTTTGGGTGTTGTTCGAAGTGGTGATGGAGGTATAAGTTGAGAGGTTTAGCGCACATTGGCTTCCTCTTGTGTTGTTTTGTTGAATCCCGAGCCCCTTTAACCCTCCTCCCTTCCCACTCCCTCCCGCCCCTTTTCTTTTCCACTTCCCCCCACCTCCTCCCCGGATATCATATTTCTATTTCAGGTTTAGTTTCTCCACACATCGCTCGTTTATCGCCTACTGCCGTTCTGTTTTATGACAGGCAATGGCAATTGCTTGTCGTATTGATCAACATCGGCCTAAAGATGGGATTACCAGCTCATGCCCTTGTACGGGCGAAGTTTTCAAATGGTTCAACCCGGGTGCTGGGGACCCGAATGTCTTTTTCCTGGTCCTGATTCCGGCGCTATTCCCGGCCGGTGTACGGGAACGGCCGGTTACGTGTCCAACTTCGAGATCCGCGAAATCATCGCGGCCGATTCCGAGATTACGCAACACAACGACGACAACGGCGATGTGCTGGTGTACGGCGGCGATCAGTGGGTCTCGTGGCTGTCCAAGTCGTCGTATCAGGCTCGGCTCGACTGGATCCGGGGCCTCAACTTCGGCGGCACGTCAGACTGGGCTACCGACCTGGACGCTGACTATGGATCGTGTTCGGGAAGCCCTGGGGGCAGTCCCGGCGGTGTTAGTAGCGGTGACAGTGGTTCTGCGCCTGTCATCATCAGCCCGTCCATTTATGACGATGCGGCGGATGCGCCCGATGTGTTCTGCGAACCGCCGTGTACCTTTATCTTCCCGCCTTGGCAACTGGACACGGCCACGACAATCAGCATGGCGCTTGTGACAGTGGTGTACACGGAGAACTGGGAGAGCACAACGACCGTGAACTGCGCTCCCGTGACGGCGTCGACGGGCACAGTCACAAGCACGGTCATTACGGTTCCACCACTGACTACAACGGAGATTCCACTGTGGGATGTAGTGTGGAACGGAAACACCGACGACGACAACGACGACGATGATGATGATGACAACGACGGCCTCATAATTTACCTCACTAGCAGCGTGCTGTTCCCGCCCCTCACATTGACCCGGACCCGACCACCCGTCCCGGGCAATACCGGAACGGACACGATCGGGTGGACATACAGCCCAGGGCCGTTCCCCACGATACACCCCCGGCTGCTTCGACTTTGGTTACGGTGGAGGAGGAGGTGGAGGGGGCCCTAGCGATCCTAATGAACCCGAGGAGTCGTCATGTCGGACAAGGACTACAGTATCGGATTGTGAAGTTGAGTGCTCGGTACTGCGGTACCCAACGACAGAAAGTACGTATTGTGCTGAGCCACAGTGTGAGCACCCCGTGACGGCCTGCTCAACGACGGGAACTACCACGACAACCACAACGACATTGTCTTGTCTGGCTACCGTCGCGTATACAGCAAATATCGGAATCCCCGTGATGGGTGGTGGTGGTATTGGCGGCACCTGGGAGTATCTGGTGGGCGATGGAGGTGGGGGTGGAGATGGAGATGGGGATGGGGATGGGGATGGAGATGGGGATGGAGGTGGAGATGACGAGGGCGGTCCCGGGTGCACAAGTGACGAGGAGTGTGCCAATCAGCTCATGGACTGCCGCAAGGATTCCCTCCGGCGTGTGTCTATCGAGGTGGGGGGCACACTTCTTGTGCTTGTGAAAATGACTTTTAGAAGCGCTCGTGGTTTTTACACAAATAAACAGAGCTGTTTTGACCGCCAACCACAGGGCTCGCTTTGGAGTCATGGAAGTATGTAACGCTTTGGATTGATTCACAGTATTCTATTGGTAACTCTAACTTTTTAAGTACATATCTGAAATTACATCGCCGAATATCGTACACGTCTAGTCCCCTTAATAACCCGCATAGCTCACGTAACTAGACTCTCTCTTCGGCCACGAATGGCTCCCCTGTCCATCGTGCGATCTCCTCGACGTTCGGCGTTGCCGCAGGACCTTACTAATTACTTGGTGGCCACAATCTCCTCATCGTTTGCAAAAAGTGGTTGGTTCGGCGCGCAGACAGTACCCTTTTTCGGCAGTGTTCCATCGGCAAAGTACTTCGCGATGGCCTCATTTGTGCAGTTGGACCTCTGGGCGATCGAGGTGTGCCCGAACCCGTCATGGTGGAGCACGACGGAACCTTCGAAGCCCGCGCTCATGTTCCGAGCGGATGCGAGCGGCGTGATCGGGTCGTATGTGTTTCCGATAAACAGGAGCGGGGACGATGTCTTGACGCGGAAGTCGCCCTCATAGCGTTCTTTGGCCTTGAAGCTCCATTGCGCGCACGCGTAGAGGTAGTAACCGGCGCCGAACCCGGGGAAGTACTTGCTGGTCTCGTGGAACTGTTGCTCCACTACCTCGATATCCGAGAGCTTGTCTTCACGCGGTATCTTGTCGCCACAGCGAATTCCCATGATGGCCTGTGCTTGTTGTGGGATAGCGCTGGGGCTACCCAGGCCCGAGAAAGCAGCCACGAGCGCGTCGGTGTCTTTCTGGATGACGGCCGTGAGGATACTAGCCAAGAACTGGTACGAATTGGGGCGGTAGAGGGTGCTGAGCGTAAGGGAATTGGCAATGGAGTAGGTGATGGGGACTGGATCGGCGTTCTCCGCGGGGATAAGGAGCGGTTCTGTCTTGAGTTCTTCAAAAGCTCCAACAATGGCCTTGAGGGCGTCGTCGGAAGAGTTCGCGACGGCGGTCAGGGGGCACTTTTTGGGATTATCGAAGCAGGCGCGGATAAACCCCACTAAGGTATCATCGGACGAGATGAGCGCCTCCGTTTCTCTGTTCAGTCGCTATGTTAATGACGCGGACGATAGTTATTAATGAGGGGAGACTCATACCCGATGCTGTGGTAGTATTGGTGAGAGTTCATAACCCCGTCGAGAATGACCTTGTCAATCCGATCAGGGAACAAGGCAGCTGCCGTCGCACCAAGCGTCGTACCCCCTGAGATACCTGGTAATTTAGCATGTCAGCTTCTGCACCTCGACCACTAGTACCAACAACTCATCATTGTACCCACCCCAGTATCGTAGTTTGCCATCTTCGCCGAGTGCATCGACGATGCGGAACATATCTCTCGCGGTAAAAGCCATCCCCACGAGGTCTCCCGTTTCACCAAGTCGCTCGGTGCAGTTCCCTGCGATGTAACCGGCTTGATCCCACACTCTCTGTCTCACCTCAGGGGACTCGTCCGGAAGCTCGTTTGCTAATACCAAGCCGGCTGCTTCTGGTTCGAAACAGGCAAATCGAAGGGTCTGGCCGGTCCCACGAGGGTCCCAACTGACGAGATCAAATTGGCCACCAGTTGCACTAGTCCCCCAAGTTCACTGTCAGCAAAGGGAAAGAGGCGCGGGGGGGGGGGGTCCAAGGTGAAGGCAGCGGGGTGAATGAGGTTCACTTACGGCCCTTGTATCGGTGCATAGCTAATCATGTTGTTCAGTCCGTCCTGGCCAGGGCCGCCGAAGTTCAGCAGGATGGTCCCCTGTGAAGGTCCGTTTTGCGCAGGATACCGTATCAAGGCGAGGTCGAGAGTTTCCGCAGAAGAGCCATTCGAGTAGTCAAGGGGCACCGGAAGCCTGGCGCACTCGACGGGTAGGCCTTGGGTCTCAATGTCGCACTTCCCCCATTGGATGCCGCTGTTGCCGCGGAGTTTGGTCGTGGCCGCGTGTATCACGGAGGAGCCGAGGGCAACGAGTAAGGGATTAGTGTTGACCATTGTGTTGTGCTTGAAGTCGAGAACTTGCGGGCGATTGGAAATTGAATGATTTGGGATGGGTGAGAGACTCGACCGGGTGTCTCTTGCGCGTTTGCTGAGGTTTTATCCTTCTTTCGAGCTTGTCGCGGACTCACTGCATGGAGTTGCCGTGGGCATCCTATTGCCGAATTAGGAAAAAAATACACAGAGGCGACGCTTGGCCCAATGTTAATATGTTGATTCCTCATTCTGGGCATTCCAGCCGCTTGGCTGGCGACAATTGGCGAGTAGCCTGCCAATCGTACATTTCCAGGTGGTGATCGACACTGCTGCTGACGCCCAGGCGGGGCTGTACAGTCGGGAGGAGCCGAAGCACAGGGCTGAGCGAGGGACTGCCGCGGTTGGAGCCTCAGATTGGAGGCGAGTCCGTCGGAGTCATTGCCTAATTCAGCTATTACTGTGCAGATTGCAGCCCATACTCCTTAACCGACAAGGTTTCTCTAACAACGAAGACAATATCGTAGCAAGATTATGTTGATACACGTTCACTGCCTAGACTGCACGCCCAGCACTGGACGGTTCGATGAGCCTGTTGAGACTTGGCTGCAGACTTTGGTGAGGCTCTGCACAGAAGGCGCACTCTGACTCACCGCCTAACCAGGAAACTGCGTTTCTGCCGGCATAAATGCCCAACGAAATTAGGCGGTGGGGATTCTTGGCTCCAAGCCTCCAACCCCTGACAAGGCTTAGCTGACATTTGGATACTTTACTACAGATTACCACGACACTATTCTGATTCGGTCTCGCTTCTGGATGAACCCGAGTCAAACCACTCGCTCTCATCATACACCACCTCCACGTCCTCGTCGTCTCCCTTAACATCACCGACGTTCGCGCCCATATCATCAACACCGTCAAACACCGCGCCCTCGTCCACACCGCCGTGATCATCCACATCCCAGCGGCTGCCCTCGCGCCACGTCGTCTCCGCTGCCGTACCTCCAGCCACTGGTTCCAACCGTTCCACACTTGTTGACATTCCCTCGCTAAAGAATGGATGGCTTTCCTGTAGCTTCTTGCCTTGCGTCAAGAAGCCCATCGGCGTATGAACAAAATCCTGTCCGTGCCGGCGGACCGCCAACCAGTCCTGGAGAAACGCCAAGGGCCGGGGCGAGAAGGAAGACGAGACCCTGTGATTTTTCCCCTTCGATGCGGATACCACCTTGTCTTCTTCATCTTGGTCCTCGGCAACTTCGTCATCAGAAGTCACGGCATCGTCTTCCTCTTCGTTTTCCGAGAGCCCCGAGCCGGGTTTCCCGGCTTCCACTACGCCGAGGAATTTACAGATTTCTGCGTGTTCGCGCCATTGAAAGTAGAGTCTTCCCGCCAGGAGACCGAGCTCAGTCTTTAGCCATTGCGGTGCTTCCCAGTTTTTGGGTAGCTGCGGTATGCTGAAGAACGTGAGGTTATTGAATTCCATCATGCGTCTCGTAACGGGAGAGGCGTAGGTTAGGAGGTGGACCCGGGGGTGGGTTGATCTTGTGTGCATCATGCGGATGACTTGCTCGGCTTCTTCGGGAATGAGGACCACGGCAGTTTCGAAGACCGCGCTCCAAAGTACCCAGTTCACGGGCCGCTATGGCACGTTAGATTCGGTGCGGGGTCGGGTATCGGGTGCTACTTACTAGCAGGTTGTCCGGGGGGAGAGTGGTGTAGAGCTTCACCGTCCGACCGAACTCGACCGACACGAGCAACTTAGAATGTGCGAGACTAACCTTTCCGGACACCCTATGTTTCCGGCCTAGCTTAGTGGCAGAGATCAGCTGAAAGACGCGACAGACAGCGCTGGTCTCAATGGGAAGTCGCCCAGTGCGGGCAAAGACCTCGAGGTCTCGGTGCAGGCCGGGGAAGCCCAGGGCGTCGTATTGCACCGCCTTCTTCACCTGACGGACCGCCTCGACTTCGAACGCGACCTCACGCTCCTGCTCGACTTCCTGCAGCGCGGAACCATGAACGGCCCTTCCTGTGTCCTGGAAGCCCTTGCGTCGCGTGTTAAGCTCCTCTGCAAACGCAACCATCTTGGGATGCGTCGATTGGAAGCCACTTTGCTTGCCGCCCTTGGTCTTGGGCTCGTACATCTCCTGCAATGTCTGCAGCTCGTTCTGCTTGATGGATGACACATACTGGGCGCGGTCATGGGAATCCACCAGATAGTTGGGATAATCGAGGGCAGCCTGAGTTCTCCTGCAAAAGTCGACGCCTTGCGAGTAGTATAACGGCTGCAGCTGTTCAATACTCTCGCAAGAGTTGTCCAGTAGCCAGTGAATCCTAGGAACAAGCGTCAGTACTACTCGCCATGGCAGTTACCGCGACCGGGGATGTGTACTTACACGTCATGCGAGTCAATCCTATGGAAGTCGGACTTGGCCCGCAGGTCAACAATTGCTTGGCGCACCTCTGGGGGGATGAAGAAGGTAATGGATTGGGTAGTTCCCAGTTGTCGGAGCCGCATTGCAGCTGCTAGAGTTAGCCCCTGATAGCGAGAATATTGGGGAAGGGAGTTCACCTTGCACCGTATGATCTTTGGACTGCCCCTGGCCCACTGTGAGCGCACCTCGAGCATCTGGGGGAAATTTGAGATCGGTTCCTCGCGTGTGCGCCTCGTCAAGATACACCAGGCACTTGCTCAGATCATCGGCATACGGCGATGCCAAGAGGGGCGTTTCGCGGCCCAGTTTCGAGATGACCCACGGCTTGTTGTCTGAGTCGAAGTACAGCGCAGCGTCACCGCGTTTGTCGATCTCCAGCCAGGTCTTGGCGAGCGTCTTGTTGTCCATTTCCAGGATCTGGGCCCCCGCGTCGATGAGAATCTTGATGTCCTTATTCTTCAGCATAAAGAGCAAATCGCGTTCAGTCGCTCGGCCGCCCCGGACATCTCTGATGGTTTCGCACTTGCGTGATCGGTCGTGGAGTAAGTACGTCAAGACCTCGGCATTGGTGTGCGATAATGTCGGCAAGTCAGCCTGCTGGATGGTAAGAGGCAGCATGGTTCGATTGTCGTTGGTGCCACTGAAACCTGTGGTGAGAGCCCGCGTCCGAAGCTTCTCTGGGATCTTTACATCAGGAATTGACTGCGCAGAGAATAACGGCACGTCCCAGCCGCTGGACTGCAGCTTCACTGTGAACTGCTTTGCATGTTGCGGAAAGACAAAGTTGTTCAGAAAGTAGTCAGCAACGACCACCCGATAGCGGACTGCCCGCCAAATCTCGCCGACCTGCGTAGCATCTTCGGTGTTGATCGTGTTCCACGCCCGGACAGATGCCGGGAAGTCGTCTGAGGACTGCACCCACTTATCGTACTCGGTCGACGGGTCGTCCGACTTGAGTACGCGGGCCAAAGCTAGTTTCAGCTGTGTTTCGTCAAGGCCGTCGTAGTAGAACACCAAACAAGTGAAGAGGATGGCCACATCAGGATGTCCCCATTCTGACTGCTCGCTCGGTACTCCTTTGGCATGGTACGGCACGGCCACGGGATCTGAATTTGGACGTAGGCCGTACTGCACGTTCCACCGTTTCTTCAGCGTCATGATGAGAATGCGATTGATCAGCAGGCCGCGAATGAGATACACCGCCTGGCGCACTTGGGGTTTATCCGAACATAGGGTCCGTATCCTTGCAAGAGTCGTGGGTTTCAGTCGACGCGCAGTAGGGGAAAGAAAGTCCCGCACTGCGGCGCGTTCGCGACTGTCAAACGTGTTCACAGGCAGGATGTTGCCGTGCCCCTTGGTGATGTCAGCGGCTAGCCGCTTGAGCAGCTCGTCCTCGACGTCCCGGCGGGCGAAGTAGATGAGGGGGAATCCACCGCCTGGTCGTCGGACCACTTCGAGGGACCGCGGGAAAGTGGTCTGTAAGTCGTACAGGTGTTGGTCGACAAGATTTAGGAGGGCTTGGGCGATATGCCATCGGTGTGGGTGACCATCAACAGATAATTGTGAGCCAGAAGGATAGATGAGCTGTGTGCGTGCCGCCAGCGTGTAGTCGGATTCATCCAAGATGTCACGGCAGACCGAACTTAGCCAAGAGTGTACCTTGATCATCGGCGTTGCTTCGTTGACTTTGTTGTCAAGTATTTTTTGTTGTCCACTCAGTAAAAAAGATAAATTGTGCTCCGGCAAGCACAACATGACACCAGCTGTCTTCAGGGTGCGCTTGTGGATGTCGTAGTACAACCGGATGTTGTCCTCGTTCGTCGCAGTACGCCTCGAGAAGGGGATGTGGCCGATTTGGCGGTTCAGAACTCTACCCAGACGAGACTGGAGAAGCTGCGCAGTCTGCTGGAGGAGGGCTTTCGGAACGATTATACGTACAAGGCTCTTCTTGTCCGCCATCGCAGCCGCAACCATGGGAATGATACACGACGTCTTGCCCTGGCCCATGTTCATCTGCAGGACAGAATTAGTTCCAGACGCTGGCGAAATGGTAGCCCGGGCCACGTCAACCTGGCCGGGTCGAATGAGGAGGTTGGAGTCGATCTCCAGCAACAGCCAGTCGGGGTGATCCTGGGGCTTCCAGTTTGTATGCCCTAAATTCGCTTCTTCGTCCTGAAAGCGTGATGTGTCACCCGCTCGAACACAATCGTTCAGCCTCATCGCTCGTTGCAGGTTGGTTATGGCCAAGCCAAAGGTGATCAGCGCGTCCCGTACGCCGATCCCGAAAGATGGGTTTGCCGTCGAACGCAACGGCTCCAGCAACGAGACTGTGGTGATTGCGGGCCAAAGTCCCCCCATCTTGAGCCAATGAATCTGGCGGCCTGACATTGCCGGGGTTGGCCTCTCGAGTGAGCTCTTCAGGGAGGCAAAAGCGCCGAGGAGTTGTGATACGTCCTTTTTGTTGTCACGGAGTCCGAGGAACGTGGCTAGCTGCTGGGGCGTCCTGAGCTTCTTGAATGCCTCGAGACTTTGGGTGAGATCCTGGGCATAGGTCTTGCGCACCAACGATTTGCTCTTCGCGAGGCGGTCGATAATTCCTTGCAGCTCTTCGATGTGCATTCTAACCTCATGGGGGGAGATTGCAGGCCTGCCGTTAGCAATTGGCCTTGAGTTGCGCATGTGTATCAAGAGCTGGCGGTCATCTTGCGGGCTGCTGCCCAGTGGGGCCCATTCCATCGCCGAGGGTTCTGACCAAAAGTACCCAGCATTTGGCTCAAAGAGCTTGCCCAGAAGGTCGGAATGTAAGTTGGGAACAGCGGCTGGGTGACGAGGCGACGCAAAGACCGATCCCGACGCAATCACTGTCGGGGGTTTATACTCCAACTCGGAGCGACGGCAGTTCAGAATTTGTTGAACTTGGTTTAGGTGACGTGATAACTCCCTGTTTTGGAATAGTCGCAGCCATTCAGGGCGGATCACCTCGAGCGCTCTCGTGATGTCCAGTAAGAGATCAGTACGTGCACCATTAGAGACATCAGGTTCCCGACATGGCCACTGAGCCACAAGATATTTGGCAAGGTACCGGCAATCTTGTTCGCTTCTCATTTCGTGCGCCTCCTTAGCCGTTTTCATCTTGCGGCGCTGCTTGGCCGTGATGAGCATCCCAAGCTGTTCGCCATCGTCTTCTGGAGCTGGGATCCGGAATGGGTGGATCAACTGGGCGATAAAATCCACCTTGGGGTCGCTATCCGGTTGAAAGTTGAAGTAGGAAGGCCAGGGCGGGAGCGGCAGGGCCTGGAGTTCGTCGAAGATTGCGAATGACAAGATTCCCTTGAGTAAACCGTCATCAAAGGTATCTCGGAAGGACAACGTTACCAACAGGAACATGAGGCTATAACTTGATTGACCACGGCGGCAGGTTTCGACCAGCGCGCCCCAATGTTCCCGAAGGTCAGTCCTCATCTGCTCGGTCAACGATACAGTCTGATACTCAGCCCCGTAACCACCGATCGTGTTGCCTTGCGACAGCATGGTGGCTAGATTGTGCGGGGTTTTGAACCCTTCCGGTTTCGTTCGCAAGAGGTGGGTAATTTCCATGGTTGTGGCGTACCGCGGTTCTGAGGCTGACGATTTGTCGCGAGATAAGTAGGGCGGATCCGTTTCTTTGTCATTGTCGTTACTCCCCTTTCGCTCATACAGGCGACGACGTACCAACGCTCGGGTAGTTAAATGTGGTTCTCCAACGGGAGGGAGTCCGCTAGCGCGGGGAAGATCAGCGTAGCCTGTGGAAAACTTCTCGAGGTCTTTTGAAATCCCCAGAATCTCCTCCACCAACTGTCGATACAAGGGATGCTGAATGTGGCAAGTGAGTGTCTCGTCCCAATGGTTTGTTGCCATGACTCTCAAGTCGGGTGGGTAGTAGTCTCGCACAGGCGTGAGATGTGCGATTTGCGACAAGATCATGGCGGGCGATCCCGCAAGAACTGTCCAGGGACGGCAGATACCCGAGCGAAGCCAGTCGAGACTCTCTTCAACCCCGGTGCGTCCTGTTAGAGAATCCGGAAGCAAGAACGACGTGTATGCGTGCAGCAGAGCCTTGGTGTACACTAGGGTGGGCTCGGCCGCGCAGTCGATTCTGCCAAGCGTATCATTGATGGTGAATTTTCCATATCTACCGTCCCCTTCGACATGGATCCTGACATGGAAGCTCGATCTGGTGGCGGACACGGGGCCCATCGGCACGAGAACCGTCCGGCGAAGCGGGTTCTCAGTGCTGCAGCACACTAGTTTGCTTGTCAAACCGTACCATGTTCCAGCATCTTGGTTCGGGTCAACCTCGAGCTGAAGCTGCGGCGAAAACAAACGTTTGTTCGGGTTGACAAAAAACATCATTTGTAGTCGCGGGATGTGGACTTCGAGACCGCCGTCGGGCGATGGTTGTATGACAAGGAGCTGTCGCCTGTTTGTCAAGCCATCTAAGATATTTGCGACCCGATTGAAGAGGGGGCATAGAGGGTCCACGATGGTGTGTTCCTTCCCGTTGCGTAGGAGTTTGTGGCATAACCCCGTCCCGACATTGAGGGTCCAAGTCCGAGAGCGGTTGAAGATATCCCAAGGATGGGTGCTGGGCGTAATGTACACAGCCCCACTTGTCAGATCCCTAACAATGGCTTGGTTAGTACTTAGCCCTGCTGGTATTCATGAGTAAAGCACGTACAGCCAATGTATGCGCTCATCAATGAGTGGTCCTGGAAGATCCCATATGGACCGAGAGTGAAAGGTATCGCGTGGGATAAAGCGGACGATGCGGGGCTGCGGGCCGCTGGACTTGGCCATGATAATTGTGTTACGACCTTCGTATCCGATGTGGACGGTGAATTTGTACGGTCGAGTCGTCAGGGCTGATACGTTAGTCAAGATCAAAGTTTGGCCATCCCGGAGGCTGTGAGGCTTACTGTATGTCATGCCCGGAATCGATGACTGAAACACTCGAAGTGGCTGATCGCCAAAGAGCTCCTTGATTACCAGTGAGTCTTGCACATCTTGGGGTAGTTTCTAGGACTGGTCAGTATGGACTCTCGCAAAGTGATGTGGTACGTACCCCAACACGTTTCCCATTCACAGCCAATGCCCCGGAGATCAAGTCGAACTCCACCACCTGATGATTCTCCGTTTCCGTCTCGGCAATATCACAGGAAATCCAACCCGTGTGTTCAAGAGTGATTTTGGTGTCCGTCGACCTAATCCGATCGGCGTCGGGCCAGAAATGCTTCAAGCCATCGCAGAGACTAAATGGATTGGCAGAGATGGAGTCGGTGACGAGGGTTTTCAGCTGATGTGACAGCTTGATCGCGGACACCATGTCATGCAGCATGGTCTGCGGGAGCGACTGGATCTTATTCACCATGTTCTCGTGTGTGGCGACGACCGATTCGATATAGGCCGTCAATGCTGCGACATCAAAAGGGACCGACAACGAATCTTCTAAGTGGATGACAAATGTGCGTCGACACAGCAGAGCGGCAGCAAGAGCACGCTGTTGCAGCTGTTGAGCCGCGGCCGTGTCGGGGGATTTCTGAATCTCTTCCCGAAGGAGTCTGAACCAGCGACCGCAGATTTCCCGGGCCTGGAGGACGCAGCCGAGTGCCTTCTCCTCAATCTCAGGTCCCGCCTCTGCAGCAGAAGCCAGGTCAAGAATACGCAGACCCAGAGTGACGATTGTTCCCATCAGATTCGTTTCTCTCCAGCTGGCCAATGCGGCGAGATTTGACAGACGAGCGCTGATTTGCTCAAGTAACTTCTCGACGAAGGGGGCGTCGCCGAAAACCCAGTGGATCAGCCTCAAAGGTTGCAGCTCGTCGGTTTCCTTTGATCTCGGCCCGCAGTGCAGGACGAGGTGGTCGAGAAGTATCGCGCTGGCTTCGGTCGACCAATTCATGTTCGTCGCGCCGAGCTCGATTAGGATCGATATCCACCGGCGGCTGGTGCCTGACATGAGCGTCTTCAGGGCCAGGAACTCGTGAGGATTCAGACCAGAAGGACAATTCACCTGGGTCGCCATGATTTCGTATGATGAGGGACCGACACCGTCGCTTGCGAAGCTCTTGTGATCAAAGACGGCACGGAATGGAGAATCATGTGGCAACTGTAGCTGAACGTGGTGGGCGAACTGGGGTTTCACCCGTCCTCTGCCGGTCCAAATCTTGCTGTTCTGATCAAAATAGGCGAGCTTCAAACCGTTGGGCTTGCACAATGCATCTCGGCTGCCTTCCCACTCCACTGGAAATCCGACCGTGGCATAGTGCGTCTTTAGGACTGTCACAATTGTTAGCACTCAGGAAGAGCCGCCGTCGTGGTCATTTAGTACTCACATGGCTTTGTGAAAGACGCAAGGCAAAAGCTCCGCGTTGTGCCAATACCAAACCCCACAAGCGCTTGATAGTCATTCAGGAAGCACTTCGGTTCAACCCCTCGAGCTGGAGCAGAGGAGGCGAGCTGTGTTAAGACCGCCCAAGTTGTATCGCGATAAGTTGCAAAAGCACGAGGGCACCGTAACTCGAATACCACCACTTTGGCCATGACGTCGTCGGATGGGAGTGGGTGCTCGTAGATTTCGATGCGGATTTTGTTCATTTCACGGATCATCTGACACCGGGGGCAAGAGCGGGCGTTGTGCTGCCCCAACCCATACGGATCATTCTCATCAACCGTGAGGATACAGGCGCTTCCGTTGACCCGTCGGGTCAGATCATCATATTCAACAGTCTTACGCTGCCACTCGATTGACTTGGCTTGCTTCCGGGAACTCGCGTCTTCCTCGATTTCGTCGCGGAGAATATACATCTCTTCTGCCACGTCGACTTCATCGTAGTATCTCCGTGCAAAACAGTCGTTGGTGGGATCGTCAAAAATTGTGACCTTGGACCCATTACAAGCCATAATGCGCGCGTCGAGGTAATTCTGAATGTTTTGCAAACGAACCATGTCCTTGTAAAATGCGAGGTGTAGAATATCCAGGATTTCAGGCGTGAAGACGGGGTGATAGTCTCGGAGAAGGGGGAATTGTTGGCATGCCCTGGTGTCCAGTATTGTCCAGAGTTCCATGACGTCTAGGATCAACAGACTCATCTGGCTGGCGTTGCCTCGGTACAGTGGCAATCCTTTGTCCATGAGGGAGCATATCTCGGGATGTAGAGATCCAGCACCCGAACTGAGTGTCGCCCGCACGTTGTCCTCTCTCTCAGCCATGTCCAGAATCGGCGCGGCGAACTTGGCAAAATGCTCGTTGGCTAAACTAGAAGGGTTGAAGTTGGACGGCGGAATCCATCTTCGCCGGTCCCCCTTGATCATTTTGTTAGACGAGGCCAGGATTGACCGCAACGACTCCCCACTGACTCGCAGGGGAAGAGTCGTATCAGTCCACGACGCTCTCCTAGGCAAAGGCGGGATGTGCTTGAGAAAAGACTGCCGCCATGCTGCCCACACAGATTCTATGCGGTTGGCGGCGTTGTGGATACTGGGATCGATGGTTGGCGTCAGGTTGGAAAAGATTTGGTCCACGTTTTGCATCAGATGCTTGTCCCGGACATTGCTTCTTTCCATGTCCAACTTCGCCAATCTCCGGCACAACTTCGCTTTGAGAAAATGCACCTGGTCTACCTCGAGATATGATTGGCTCCCCTCGAGAAACTTGGCCAAGCAGACGCAGAGGCAAAACTTGTACTCGAACCGGCCCAGGTCGGGCCCAAGTGTAAGCAGCAGGTATCGCGAAATGGTGACACGGAGCGCAAGCCAGCCAGGGGAACGACGCCACGGTCTTCGGGCTCTGTCCCAACAGACGTCATCCCGGACCCGTTTGCGAAGCAGAGGGGTTGAGAGTCGCCGTCCATTCTCTTCGAGCACTGCCATCAATAGTGAGCTGATGATGGCTGGGTTCGCGGTCGCTCGGTCTTCGTAGCTTTGGATTCCGGCCTTGAATGACTGACCCCCGAAGTCTTTGGTTGACTCGAGAGATGCTTGCTCAAGGAACTGGGCAAGGCTGTTTTGGAAGTCGTCATCGTGTAGTGTCGATAAAGGGAGAGCAATTGCGCTGCCGGGGAAGTCCCACTGGAGGGCATTGTTCCCCGCGAGAACATCCTCATTCCTCGGGGAGGTTTCGAACACCTCGAATACAACCTCAGATCTGCGACCGTTAGTCAATTGAAGAACCGGCGGGCCGGTGAAGACTTACTCGGAGACTCGGTGGATAAAGAGAGCCGCATTCTGATTGCGGATGTGCAAAAGTATCGCCTCAAGCGGCCCTATGGTTCGTAAAGCGGACAACAGCCGTATTCTGTCAACCCTGCCGTTGCTGGTAATAGCTTTAGACACGACTAGGCATTGGCGAACGCGTTCCCAGACACGGCCGGACCCAGATCGAAGCCCATCTCCCGCAGAGTCTCGCATCAGACGCACCGCCGCAAGAAGCTGGTCGGTTAGGCTGGCCTCGATAACGGAAAGATCCGCATCTTCAGAATGTGGAAGTTGCTGCGGTAGCGCGAGATGGTGGAAAAGCGATTTCGCCATTGAGGGAGTAGGTGACAAAGAAGTCGACAGAAAGAGTGGCAAATTTTACAGGATGATGAGGGGAGTTGGGAAGAAGAGAAAAACGGTAACGTATCTTATCAGCGAGCTGCGCATATCACCGAGCTGCGCACGCCCCACCGCAACGCGCCCTCTCTGCACCTTACATCAATTTTTTCCACAACCTAATATGCCTCCTACTTCAAAGGAAGCGA